TTGATACTTGACCATTTCGTTTTTAAATTAACATGTACTGTTCTACACAGTGGACATATTGAACTCCTCTCTCCTTGCTTACCATATTCATATTATAAGCACTGTTGCATAAAATACATTGTAATTCTGAACACATGATAATGTGTTTAATGTCACACCTACTTCTGAAAAAGGAAAAGAGAGTCAAAATCTGGTAAATACACTGAAAGGCCTGGGCCTTTCAGTGTGTTTACATGACCTCCCAGTTTTTTTTTTGTGTTTTTTTTTTTTTTCCTTTTTTCCCCCAGTATTCCAGTTTCCTTGTCTGGTAGATCCAAAATGATATGATATATTTGTTTTTTGTTTTTTTTATAAAGATTGATATGAGTCCCTACGCCCTGTGTCACATCTAAACCCCAGAGCAATTAGAATATATCATGAACAAGGGAATATATTTCATATATTTTCCCTTCAGCCAATTTAAATTTGGTTAAAATTGGTTGAGCTATATATTGTCAAATAATATATCAAATATCTCTGCTGATATATAAGAGCAAAGAAGTCAGTAACACCAATGGCTTCAGTAAGGTTATGTCCCCATGTAGCCTAAATAATGTTATAAACAATCATCAAGAAACTAATTTTGCATAGCTGCCAGTGAAAGTTGATGGGACTTAATGCATATGAAAAGTCCAAATAAAGTAGTAAGTAAGTAAGTAAGTATAGTATAGTATAGTTAAAATAAAATGTTTAGTTGTGCAGATGCCAGTTTCCTTTTATTTTGGTACCACTGGGATTGGGGGATCTCATCCTCGTACAACACATCACAGATAGGAAAAATACAGCTTCTGGATTTAAGTAATTAAGGTGTCACGTGACAGTAGTAACAAAGGTTTTATCACTTAATAAACAGTGCATCGCAGCCTAATTAATATACTCCACAGTTCAAATTTCGTGTATCTTAACGCAAGTTTATGCAGCAGAAACATGCCGCTACCTTACCATGCTCCGAGTGCCACGGGCTCCTATCGGCCCCCGGAACACTCCCTTGATGCTCCTCAGCTGTCCGTCCCGCAGGTGTGTGGACCTGATCACAACGTAGTAACATGCCATGGATACAGCGTGGAGAGTTCTGCTTCTGGAAACAAAGCCACTGAACGTGGAACAGAGTTAAGTCCGCAACTCCACGTGAAAACTCTACCAGAGTTGTGTCTGTTTATCAGAGTCTGTAGTCCATGCGTCCATTTGAGACTATCGAAAGCATATCCATTGAAGCGCACCTGTTTGTGCGCCTCGTCTGGCATGGATACGTGTAGCCCTGTACTGTGTGAATTCTCCGTAATGGTCTCTTTATACCCATTGCTCCAATATGCTTAAACGGCACCACTCTCTCCACCTCCATCCCTCCCTCATTTTTAACCATTATCCTCTTGACCGAGCGCACCCTCTCCTCACGGCGCTACATTCAAAGGAGACGCCTGCCATCTAGTGGAAAGAAACAGTGTATCTGAATTGCAAGGACTGCTTGTGTATAACTCGGAGCTCACGTCTCTACATAACATTAGTCTATTATTATTTTATTCTTATTTGCCTCATACAGTTGATAAGGCAAGTTTCCACAGTTGCATAGCCTTAAATAGAATGTATTTCACATTTCACAAGACACATTTTCTTATTTTGTACCTATGTAACCATATACAACCTATTCAAAAGTCAGTTAATCAAGCTAAATAAACTACAGTGTAACTGAGTACATCCCACGTGTCTCAGTGATTTGACAAAAATTCTACAGTTATCTTCAAAATAATACCAATCATAAGATCAATCAGTGAGTCAATATAACGGGACTGCAGCTATGGTAGAAAAACAGAAAACCAGTAAACGCTACTACTGCTGTTACTGTGTATTTGAATCAGTGAAGGAAATGAAAAGTGGAAATAAAACTATAGAAATAAGGTTGCCAATAGGTTGCTCTTATTGGGGAAAACAATACACAGCACAGTTAAAATACATTTAACAGCCTATTTTTAAATTGAACCCACAACTTTAAAGAGGTGGAGAAAAAAAAAAAAATTCAGTTCTTCAAGAGTTTGAGAAATACCTATAATGATCGAGTCTCAGCCAATGGTCAACTCCAGGCTGATTAAAGGTGCACTATGTAGCTTTTCTGGTCTGCCACCTGCTTGTCTTTATGAAGATGTTATTGCATTATTGTGATGTTCCACTCTATAACATCTTGATGGAGACAAAGGCAAGGCAAGGCAAGGCAAGTTTATTTGTATAGCACAATTCATACACAAAGTAATTCAAAGTGCTTTACAGAATAAGTAATACATTAAAATCATAATAAAAACAAATCAAAACATAAATAATCATGAAGATTAAAATTAAAAAAGAGAGACATAAATTGGAGAGAGGAGTGTGGAATGAAAATCTTTCAGTTATATGCACAGTTAAACAGAAATGTTTTGAGCCTGGATTTAAACAGCGTCACAGAAGAGGCCTGTCTCACATGTTCAGGAAGACTGTTCCAGGTTTTAGCTGCATGAACCTGAAACGCTGACTCCCCTTGTTTAGTCCTGACTCTGGGCACCAGCAGGAGGCCGGTCCCTGAGCTCCTCAGAGTGCGAGATAGTTCATATGACACTAACATGTCACAGATGTACTTTGGTGCTCGGCCATGGAGAGACTTGTACACAAGCAGAGCTGCTTTAAAGTCTATTCTCTGAGGCATAGGAAGCCAGTGCAGAGACCTGAGCACAAGACTTATGTGCTCGTACTTCCTAGTTCGAGTAAGGACCCGAGCTGCAGCATTCTGGATGTTCTGCAGCGTCTCACAGCTCGTTTGGAGAGACCAGTGAGCAGACCATTACAGTAGTCTAACCTACTGGAGACAAACACATGGATAAGTTTCTCCAAGTCTGCTTTAGACAGTAAACCTTTGATTTTTGCTATGTTTTTTAGATGGTAAAAGGCTGCAGATGTTATTGATTTGATGTGGCTGTTAAAGTTCAAGTCTGAGTCCATTATTACCCCTAGATTTCTTGCCTGATTTGAAGGTTTTAGAGAGAGAGACTGGAGGTGACTGTTGACACTGTCCCTTTGTTTCTGTGGACCAAACACTATGACTTCAGTCTTGTCAGAGTTTAGCTGGAGAAAATTGTTTTGCATCCACACACTGATCTGTTGGATGCAGTGACCAAGTGAGTCCACTGGTCCATAGTCTCCTGCTGCCAGAGAGACGTAGATCTGAGTGTCATCTGCATAATTGTGGTAGGACACATTATTGCTGCTTATTAACTGGCCTAATGGCAGCATGTAGAGATTGAACAACAGGGGGCCCAGGATTGACCCCTGAGGCACCCCACAGGTCAGGGCCATGTGATCTGAGACACAGTTTCCAATTTCAACAAAATACTTCCTGTTTTCTAAATAGGACTTGAACCAGTTTAGTACAGTACCAGAGATGCCCACCCAGTCCTCTAGTCTCTATAAGAGGATCCCATGATCGACAGTGTCAAAAGCAGCACTCAGATCTAACAGGATCAAGACTGAGACTTTGCCTGCATCAGTGTTCAGGCGGATGTCATTTGTTACCTTGATAAGAGCAGTCTCAGTGCTGTGGTGGGCTCTAAAACCTGACTGGAAAACATCAAAGGAGTTGTTCATTTGGAGAAAGTTCGTAAGCTGTTGGTAAACAGCTTTTTCAAGGACTTTGCCAAAAAACGTCAGATTTGAGATGGGTCGGAAATTGTTCAGTACTGTGGCATCAAGACTGCTCTTCTTTAGGAGAGGCTTAATGACCGCAGTTTTCAACGCGTTTGGGAATGTTCCAGATTGAAGTGACATGTTAACTATGTGAGTGAGTGGTGAAAGTAACCTGTTGCGGACAGACTTTAGAAATCTAGTGGGTAACATGTCCAGGCAGCAAGCAGATGAACTCAGACTGGTAACGATCTGTAAAACAGTTTTGTCAGTTACAGGTGCAAAGTGATTCAACTCTAAGTGTCTCTGTGGCTGCATGCTTGTTATTTGTGTTGTGGAATTGATGGCATTTTTGATGCCCTGAACTTTGTCATTAAAGAAAACTGCAAACTCATTACATTTAGATGTGGAAATTAGTTCTAGTGGCAGTGGAGCTGGAGGGTTTGTTAATCTGTTCACTGTTGCAAACAGGACACGAGAGTTGTTACTGCAATTACCAATAATGTCCGAAAAATACTTCTCTCTTGTTTTACTCAAAGTGTAGTTGTACATATGCATTGTTCCTCTGTAAATCTCATAATGAACCTGGAGGTTTGACTTGCGCCATTTCCGCTCAGCCTTCCGGCACTCCCTTTTCTGTGCTCTGACTGAGTCATCATTCCTCCACGGAGCTTTTTGCCTATCTTTAACCATTTTAACCTTTATCGGGGCGATGGCATCCAGAACATTCAAAACACTCAAAGTCACAGAGTTCAACACATCATCAACATTAGAACATGAGGCAATTTCAAAATTTATCATTTCCATGAACAGTGCACCTGTGTTTTCATTTATGTGTCTTCTTCGAACAACTGTAGGAGCAGCCGGTGGTTTGGGAATAACAGACAGGTCAAAGAAGACACAGAAATGATCAGACAGGCAACATCAACCACATTGACATTTGAAATATTTACACCCTTTGTAATGAGCAGGTCCAGAGTGTGCCCTCTGTTGTGAGTGGGCTCACTGACATGCTGAGTCAGACCAAAAGTTTCAAGGACAACACTAAGCTCTTTGGCATTTTTGTCACACACATTATCCACATGTACATTAAAATCACCTGTAATGACTAAACCATCAAAGTCTGTGCATACAACTGAAAGCATCTCAGTAAAATCATCAATAAAACTTTGACAGTGCTGAGGAGGTTTGTATATGACTATGTAGAGTATGGACGGTGATTGTTTTAGCTCCATTTTGAAGGAAACATACTCAAATGATGAAAACACCCCAAATGACAACCTGTGTGTAACCAAATGATCTCTAAAAAATGCACACACTCCTCCACTCTTTTTATTTGCTCGTGTTTCAGATTCAAATTTGAAGTTGGGAGGGGTTGATTCCACTAGCACTGCATGACAAACTAGTGGTGGACCCTTCCCCACATAGATACATAGTGCAAATTTAAAGCAGCTGTTTGGTTATATCTGCATTTTCCTTGGTGTGTAGCAACCACAGTGTAGAATGATCTGTAATTTGTCCTAAACACGCACAGCACATTAGTCCAGCTAGTTACAGTACTTCTGACGCAGGTGTGTCCTTTAAGGCTTGTAGTGAAGTAATTGGCGGTAAAATCCCGCGTTGGGTCGGGCTGAAGGCCTAGCAGACTGGACCTGGCTGTGGGCTCTATCAAAGGAAAGTTTCTCCTGTGCCATCAAGTAGCCAATCACAATGGAAGAAGAACGTGATACTCCCGCATTGCAATGAACCAGCACTACTCCATTCTAAAAAAAAAAGGAACACAATTTATTAACTATCAGCAATAATAATACCATAATACTAGTCCATACACCATTTAGTTCCTTTTATTTTGGCAGCATAGTCAAACAATTTTTTCTCCAACTGAACACAATGTGGTTACACTTTATATTTATTATTATATATTACAGCATAGCTAGAAAATTCAAAATCAACTAACTTGGACCAAGTAAGACGACATTTACTGAAGGAACTAAATCTAACTGCAAACTCAACATGAAATGGCAGCTCTCTCCTCGCACATCACCAACCTGTTCTCTGGCCTGATTAATGAAGCTGCTGCATTCCTCCAGATAAGCAGTGATGTTGGTGTCTGGGAGGTCCAGAATTTGCACTGTCTTGTAGACCAGCTGTTCTGGAAATGGATTGGACACGCCATAGGCCACATTCAAAACATGGGTCACCTAAGACACCAGTGCAAAATATTAACCCTGTGTTTCCGTTTAGATGTCTGAATAACTCAACCAAATATAGGTAACTGAACTAAGATGGCAGAGGAAGAGAAAAGGTTGAGCGCTTCACTAGGTCATAAAAAAATTAAAAAATAGCTTTACAGGTGCTCTACAAAGGTTAAATTTGGAATTCTCAACAGAATGTTGTCCTTACGGTAAAATGTAGAAATGGACAAGGTACAAACACGAGGCACACCGACTGAATATATTAAAAGTCCCTTATTACATGGAGAGACACCAACACATTTCGACCAGCAAAATGGTCTTTGTCAGGGCATAAAGAGAACTATGAACTATGCTTCAGGACTAAAAAATATATATAATAGGGCTAAATAAATATCAAATTGAGATTTCTCTGACAAGCATTGTAATTGCAATTATATTTGAGATTTATGTTGTAATAAGATTCTGTTCCGTTCATTTTAGGGCATTTAGAAGAATTCTAATACACGAACTACATTTCAGAATGTACAGACCTATAAACATGGATTTTTTTATTTATTTCATGAATAACTATTGTTTCTAAAAACAAAACTGATACTAACAATATTTGTTTTGAATTCACTGACAGACCTGATGTGTGCGGAGGGTCTCCATGTCATGGGCTGCATCCTGAGATGCTGTAAAAATGCAGAATACAACGACAGAGAAAAAATAGAGAAACTCCAATAAACGTATGCTCATAAATAATCTGAACAAATCATTTAGGCCGATATATAAAAGCAAATAAACCCGCCCCTGTTGACACATTTTGTATATATTCATTAGATACTGACAGGTATTTTACCTACGTTAGTATAGTAACCTAAGTGCTGTATTAAAAATGACTGAATTGGTTACGTTTATTAAAAAGAAAAGTTCGTACCAAGCAGTAAAAAAGGTCGAACTACTCCAACCTGAAGATCCAGGCTGTGATCCAGCACAATCCCACAGCCCTCGTCCAGCGATTCCAGGTGCTCCTCTCCTGCATCATTCCTAGTCTCCAGCAGCCTCTTCCCCGTCGCAGTGGTCACACAGGTGCTCTGCTTCTTCAGCCGAGATTTGGAGAATCCCTGGATCTCGTGGGCCAAAGAGTGCATGAGAAGATGCGATGGGAGCACGGGCTGTGCTATCTGGTCTTACGGTCAATTCTTGTGTGACAAAAACAGAGTTACTTTGAATATGACAGTGAAAATACAATACAATAAGACGATGAATTAGAATGAAAAGTCTGAATTAAACTAAAGCTTCAAGCAGATCATCATAACCATGGTCCACTTCCACACCTCTCCGAATGTCGGAAATACGTCACAATGATACGTTCAAGTGAGCCGCGTGAAATTAGTCCCCACAAAATTGCAGATTTGTGCATAGCATAACTGCTGTAATAATCAAGTGCATCAGTATAACAGTCAATTGTTAATCCAAAATGAATGTTTATATTTCAATATTAATTCAAATGTTCCATAATTGCCATTTCCGGGCCTTAGGTTGGCTTTCACACGGTCCAGCAGCAAATATATTGGTTAACAGACGTAATAAATGAGTAACTCTGTTTCTTCTTAGTTACATGTCATAATCTTAACTAATTGTACTCACTAAAATCCCAACAGGAACGTAGCTAAACTTTCATGATGGTAAATGACTCTCACATGTCTCTTGTCTTTAGGCGTTTAGTAGCTACTGTCAATGTTCCGCATGACCGTGAATCCTTCGCGGCTGCAGTGACAGACAGGACAGCCCTCCCCCCTCATCCGCCTCTCCCGTCCCAATTCTCCCCTCAAACCCACAAACGAGCTGGACACGACGGGCTGGAGTGTCCCTACGTTCGGAACATGGACTGCTTCCACTAACCCTACCATCAGTGCTGTTGTTTCGGAGCCGGGGGACCAGACACTGCTGGATACTATACACACCAGACGCGGAGGAGCCTCTTTCTTTCTGGTCCGAGCCGCTGCCTGAAGCAAGCGAAGATGTCTCGGGGTGTGATCCAGCCCAGCCAGCAAAAACTGGCTGAGAAACTCACCATCCTCAACGACAGAGGCATCGGGATGTTGACCCGTGTTTATAATATCAAGAAGGTGCGTAAGCACTCAGCGTCTCATAATAATGCATAGCTGTAATACTATGCACTGAGCCCTCCTAAACACCAGACCATTGACTATCGATTAATAAAATGCATCGTATTTTGGCTGTAGATTTGGTTATAAAACATTTCTTCACACAAATATGGCACCCTGTGTTTATAAAGTAAGCTGTGGGCACCGTCAGCTCAAAGCTGTTAGCTTGCGGTATAGTCCACAGATTTCATTGGTAGAAACACCTCTAAAATACTTGTTTTTGTGCGGTGAATTATTAAAATGAGTTGGATATTAAGTACGCACAGTTAATATATACTCTGCTTGATGGAATTGAAGCTATAGTACAGTTTCTAGGCCATCGATTAATGGAGCTTAATGGCGGCCGCTTCTCGCTAAGCTAACCTCCGTTAGCCACCGGGCGTCGCCTCTGCTTTACAGGGCCAGAGAATTTCCCTGTAGTACAGAGTGAATAGTCTTTATGTTTCACATTTAATATAGCATTACGTTCTTATTTTGAATCTTGTTATAAGTCATATTATCAGGCCATGTACCCTACAATGCAGAATGTTTTGAACTTTGAAAAAAAATGCATTATTTTTGTTGTAGACTGATATGATATTAGAAATTTTACAAAAAATTAAAAAACTTCGAGTTTGTATTTGCAGCCAGGTATTCACATTTGGATCAGATACACAGGCAAACATACAAGATCTCATTTTTAGTTTCTAAACGTTTGAGAAAATAACTGCACAGATGTTATAACCCAAACTAATCAAACTTGATATTTATTTATCACATCTCACTTCCTTAAAATCACAGTATGTAACTTTTTATCCAAAAGTAGAGTATAATGTAAGCTTTGTTTCTTTTTATTGTGTTTATTGCTCTGAAAAAACATTAAAAAAAAAAAATATATATATATATATATATATATATATATATATATATATATATATATATATATATTCTCACTGTAAGCCAGCTTGCATCTCCACAAACCTGACTTATTTGGCCTAGAGGAGGGTCTCCCCCTGCTTGTTTCCATGGAAATGTTGTTCCTTAGACTATAATCCTCCACAGTATAACATAAAACTTATCCATCTCCAATGTTCCATAGTTGGTTCTCACTTTTTATTTCAAAGGAATCATGCAGGTGCCATGCCACCTCCAGAAAGTTATGTGCCGTACCTTTAAGCCTCCCCTTCCCCTAGTATATAAACATACATGTTCTCTATGAGGAGCAGAAATTGGCTTGTCTAAAATCTTTATTTTTTCTGCCTCTGAACAACTTGTTATTATGGCTCTGTGTGTGTGGTCATCATTTAACTGTGGAAGGATCAATCTGTTTCACTGTTCTAATTTGACCAACACATTTTGCTTTAGTCATCATTCATCAATCACTCTTTTACACTGAGAAAATTTCAGGCTTGCTTCTGCACAGAACTTTAAGCATTTCTCTTCCTGCTGCTTTTTGATTGAATAATGCATCTTTTTACTTATATAGTGGCCTCATGTCTATTTTTCAAACAATACAACGACAACAAATCCAAAAATTATAAAAGCATAATCTTTGGTTGTTTATCGGATCCAGGTGTAAATACTATCTTAGGTATAATATAATTTCACGTAAGATAAAATCTGTGATGTCTCTTTGACATTTGATGTAATATTGAAATCATGTTTATAATGTCAGTGTTAGTAGTGATTCTTGTAATACATCTGGAGGGAGCTGATGGATTACCTGGCCTGAATCTAGCCTTTAATTGAGGGTGGTCCTCTTGATCACAACTTTTCATGTGGACATTTACTCTCTGCTCCACATGCTGCAAAATGAGATGAATATACATGTTCTGTTTTGATCATTTAATTCTTAACAAAGTGGCTGTAACACTGAGCTTTGGGTGGGATGTGATGTAAATGACAGCATCTGTATTAAGATGGCTCTTTGGTTTTGATTTCTTTCTCTTCTTCTCTCCGTTCCAATGCTTCCCCCTTCTTCTATCCAGCAAGGACAAGTTTGGAAGGTTTGCAAGTTTCTCACCTTCCACTGACAAACCCTCCATCCTCCTTTCTCCCTGCTCCTGGTTTTCCACCTCTGACCTGGTCCTCTCTCGAGCCTCTCTCCTGTCTCAGTCTGACTCCATTCAAGTCCAATCTTTGTTATTCTGTGCACAATACAACCATACTAAGTTTTTAAAAAGATGAGTTTTTGTTGTATGGAGTGTATAACAGATACAACATAGCAGTAGGGGGGCGTGGTGTACATACACAATATCTTTGCTCTCCAGCCTCAAGAAAATGGACAAGATGCAAGCTTGAGCCTCACTGGGTTACTTTAGAGGAATAATAATCATAATAAGTCTTGTTAAGCTGCATCAGATTCAGTCTCAGGTCATTATGCAACAACATGGTAAAAATGACAGAAAATTTAGTTCCAGACCAGAGAAGAGTTAAAATATATATTTTAATGCTCAAATAAACAGTGGACAGCCACATTGTTTTAATGGAGCTTTTTTTGACAAGTTCCTCAGTAGTAAAATTTGTATATGGGCCCATAGCCACTTAGTAGATGTAAGATTTACAGTGAGATAACTGAATTGGCTTGCTGGTAGGCTGGTCAGAGCAAAGGCAGGTTTTTAAATGTAATGGTGAGAGCATAGAGTCACAATCATGAGCCTTTATTAGCCTTAATTATTATTTATGTTCAGCAACATGGTACTTCAGATATGGTTATGGTTGTGGTTAAGGTTAGGATCAGTCTCCTGGAAATGAAAGTCAATGTCATGTCCCCAAGATGCATGAAACTCCAACATGCATGCCCTTATAATAGATGTTAAGGCTCTTGGACAGCTATACAAAGCCATACTGATCTCTTTCATTTATTCAAATTGATTGACTGTTCAGTCCTATTGGAGTATGCTCTTGTGGAAAATCATTGACCAAAGTTTTGTGGGGCTGTCTTTTGCCCCTCACTTGAGTTTCCTTTCACCCATTTTTCGGATAGACTTCTGCTGACAGCAGTGCAAAAGTAAAATCATATGGAAATGCCCTTCTTATCTTGTATAGTTTCTTATCACCAGAGATCATCAGCTCTCAGACCTCTCTGTTCACTGGTCCTTTGTCATAAGGCCGTGTGAGTTCAGTTGCTGTCCAGAATGGAGAGAGGACGGACAGGATTCAGGTCTGCATTCTCCACCCATTCTGTCATTCTCCACCATCAGTCCCACCCAAACCACGACGGCTCACTGCACTCAAGTGGCTAGTGCTTAATGTCACTGCTGTGTGAGGCTTCCTTCTCTGCCCACAGTATGGAGCTAGCTCTATAGTCAAATATGTGCCAAAGCCCTTTCAGGACTAGAACTGATTAATTTTGTTCAGTAATTAAGAGCAGCCGTAAGTTTGTGAGAAAAGATTGTAGTCTCTTGACCCTAAGCTATAATGGTTATTTGTCAATAACTCTTACCTTGTCCTAGATCAAGCTGCGGGTTCAATGACAAAGGATCAATCCATGTAGAATAGATGTCTGTGATCCCCTAGTTCCACAACTCTCTCACTGGGCAAAAGTCTTAAGGGCCGAATGTGTTTTTGAATGAGTGGCAAAACATATTCACCCTTAACATTTTGGTCCAGGTGACAGAATTGAAATTTCTTGTCCATGTACAATATTTAACATCAGATTTCTGATGGGATTTCATTCATCTTGGAAATGCCAATGTTTTTAAGAAATAAGGAAAGAATGCCAACATATCTGGTGCACTCATACCAAATGTGCATATTTCTCGTATTATGTGCATTCAAAGTAAGGTGATGCTCAATAAAAACAAGGTGTTGGAAACCGTCATTTTACCGACAGGTTATCTTTGCTCAGTCCTGACCCACCACCAAACCACTCATGCTGATGTCTGATATGTGAACTGTGGGTCCCTCTTATGACAGGTGGTTTAGTCAAACACACTGACACCACTGCTCCACTGGCTGCAGGTAATTTTTATGGCTTTAGCACCTCTTTTCCTGCTCATAGGAACTTGTATGGTCCCAATGATGGGTTGTGTGGACCTAACCCTGCTTAGATCTTTTGCAATAATTGACAATCTCCTGGAACCTCCTTGCTTTGGAGATTGCTCTCAGAAGAAATGTAGTGTTGTCTTTTCAAGTCTGCCTATGCTTCCATGCTTGGAGGTTTATAGTTCTGAGTTGGCTATGATGGCATACTGATAAGTGCATTATATAGCACAAAGCTTTTTAAGCTACTGAACTGAGTTGGTGCCAGACACCATTTAAAGAGACAGTATGTAAGGTTTAGATTTAAAATTTAACAAACATGACTCATCTGGTCCCAGATGGTATGATACGAAAATCATTTATTGATTTTACTGATAAAAAGTGTATTGATTTATTCTTAATTACAAAAACATCGTGCATGACAAGTTATTAATGTTATTAATGGAATTAATGTAATTTGGTGTTTTGGTTCTCTAGCCAATCAGAAAGCACAGTGAACCTCACATGACTCTCTCATTTGGGTTGCCAATTTCAGTGTTAAAATTTAGTTAGTTTAAACCAATGATATCTCAGGAATGAGAAAAATGTGTGTCCACTATCTGCAAGTTAAGGCACTGGCAAACAAACTAATGTAGCTTCACACTGTTTGCTGTTTAGCAAAATTATTTTATTCTGTCATTTACAGCCCTATGTTAAAGCCATTTTTGTAAAAAATAAATAAAAATAAAAAATGTTTGAACAAGTAGCAACTTGTATGGCCTGAAAGCCTGACGAAACACTACTGCACACTACTGCTTTTCCTTTATAGAAAATGTAAAAAATGTGCTCAGTGAACTATGTAAAACAGTACATAGTCCACAACTAAAGAATTGGAGCTTCTGGGCCAGTTACATTTTTCATTTCAGAGAATAATACAATTGGTCTGATGTCTGATTATTTTCTATTTGATCCAATCTGTGTTATTCCCAGTTTGTCCTCAGCAGTTCAAAGGGAAATGGAAAAGACACAGGTGTATGTTAATGTTAGCACATTCATAAAAACACACTAATTATATGATATCACAACTAAATGCCTTTTGTAATTATTTTTTCAAAAAATTTTAAGTTAAGTAGTGAACTTTTCTATACGACCAAAGAATCAAGATATATTATTACTGTAATGCTACTTACATATTTGATCATCTCTATAGTTAAATGATTCTCAATACTTCCCAAAAGAGTTTGTATTAGATAAAAAAGAAAAAAAAGTTTTCTTCCCATAACTGCAGTTTGTTTTGATGTTCTGTTAAATCTTCTTTCCCCTGTCCTGTATGTTGATGTAAACCTTTGTTCATCCAACAATGATTCATAGTAACAAAGATTTTATTAAAATTGTACCCATGATAAATATTGTGCCCCAAAATATAGACCCAGTTTTCAGATATTGGATGATAAGTTGATATAGTAATAATAATGACAGAATGTTTTGTCTGGATATGGAAATAATGTAATACTTTTTTATTTCCAAAATCAGCACCTGACAACTAATAGCACTGTGCATTGTGACTTCTGTAGTTACAGAAACAACAACAACATTGCAAATGGCTGGATGGCGACCTGATAGTGCTAACTGCTGGTGAATCATTCACTTGATACAGTAACTCCACCCAGTATATTTATACTGGCTAAATCTGAATGCCAACTAAGCTTGAATGTCTTATGCAGTTACATTAGTGCATACTACAGTCAGACTGACATTGCATAGCCTTCACTCTTTTCTACATTTATATCTATATATATATATCTATTTCTATCTATCAAAGCGATCGCTCAATCGATAGATAGATATATATACACACACACGCACACACATTTGATAACCACCCTTTACGCAGTGGTTAGTGTTATTATGTAATACGCAGTAGATTGGAGGAAAAGCCCATGATCATTATTTTTCACCTGCCACAAAAACAAAAAAAAGAGAACATCAATAATCAATTTATAAATTGAATAATGAAATAATTTATGTTTTGAAGACCAGTGCTAAATAGATCTCTTATCCTCAGTGAACATGGAACTCAGCCCTCTCATTAATATATATGACATTAAAATATCATTATTGGTATTTTATTGTCAGTAATATTGATGTCACACAATATTGCAGTATATCATGATATCTACTAGAAACCCCCTCCCCCACACCTCCATTGATATACACTGATGTGTGTGTCCTTTTTATCCCTGTATTTTTAGTCTCTGTACCTCTTTGAAAGCATGATCGTACTGGAGTATTTGTGATGTAGCATAGCCCAGGGTTTATATAAGATCTAAAGTAGAGGACTAAGCGCACAGCCCAAGGGGACACCAGTGTTCAGGTATGGCCAGTCTCCTGCTATCAATTCATACATGTTTTGAGCTTGTCCTGTCAGTTTAGCTGGTATACTAGTAGTTCACTAAAGGCCGCCACACACTACAGGAGAATTTGCCCGACTTTGGCTGTGAATTTCTTCTCCCAGAGTTCGAGGAGGCGTTTGTGTCATAGTGTGCTATGTTGAAGCTGCTGCGCTCCTCGTGTGTGGCATCTCTGAGCTGCACTGTCAGATTGTAACCATCAAACATGAGCAATGCTACGGTAACAGCCAATAAAACAGAACGTCAGAGGCAGAGGGGTGACAGAGACACAAGATACAAACTCGAGCTATAGCGAAAATAATGAGAAGACTTTATTACTCACCTCTCGTAAAGTGGTAAATTTAAAGTACGGCATCTCATCCACATCATCCATAGAAATTGTTAATGAGAGTGAGGTGGGAGTACTTCCTCACGTGTCTGTTTACATCCACACAGCGCATGGATCGAGGTGAAGATGCAGATTAGCAATAGTGACTCTTACTTCCTGTGGACTTTATCACCAGTCTTTTGTGCTTTAAAAATCATGTAGCTAAAGTTCACACATAATAATTTAACAGTTTTGACTTGTATCTAAACTGAAAGTGCAGTGCTCTGATCTTCTGAGCACTTAAGAGTCTTAAAGTGAGTGGTTTTACTGTAGACAGGAAACAGCTGACACACTCACAACTCTATAGTCTGTGGTCCGCAGACATATCTCGCTGCACTCTTTGCAATTGGAGATTTTAAGTCTCATAACATCCTTGTGTCTGTAGTGTGTGCTATTTGTCACACGTTTAAAAATCGTTTAAGACCAAAAAAATCCTGTATTGTGTGGCGGCCTCAAGTTAACAATGAACACACACCAAGAAGCCACACCAAGAAGCCAAACCTTTGAGTGGACCATGGTTATTTATCTGTTGAGAGAAAAGCATGAACAAATCTGTCAATTTAAAGACCGAAGTTCTTGCGTCTGCCATATAATTATAATTTTTGATCCCCTGTATTTTATAATCTGCACATTTTAAATCGCAATACTCATCTGAAACAATTTAATAAAAGAAATAAGTCCACTAAATTCTGTGTTTAAAAAAAACAACAGTGGTTCCCAATGGGATCATCGGCATAAACGTCATCACAAGAAAGTAGTGTTGCTGTCGGCACCTCCAATGTACAGCTGCATATCATGCTAGTGAGCAGCTGACTTTTTTTCTTCATTTGTACCAAATTGACTATGCATATCACCAATTGAGAAAATAAAATTGGAGAAGGAAATAAGTACAGAGCAGTTGGCATTTGTGAGCTGTGGTAAGAAGGGAAAATAAGCGATTTAAGATAAAATACAAAATAAATCCAGATACACCTTTGAGAGGGTAAATGAGAAGGGGACACACTTATAACATGATTAAAGTTGATTTTGGTAGGTCAACATTAAACTGATTACAAAAATGCATTGACAGATGCATCAGGGATGTGTGTCACATATTCTCACACCTATGTTATAACTGTGTAAGAGGGTAATGCAAAGTTGTGAATAACAGCCCGCTGTAAAATTAATTTGCCCATAGGTGATACAGTAACTTGAGGTAAATATTGGGTCAGTGACATATATAGTGCTTGCTCCAAGCTAAGAGCTGCTCTTGTGGCCTAATGCTGCTAAATATATGAATGTTGCAATGTTAGGAAATAAGTCGACTTTAATTTACTCTTACCACAGAACTGGTGGCCAGAGATATTCCGATCCAAATGTAACTGAAGTTTCCATCATCAAGCTTTTTAGCCATGACTTAAATGAACCTTGAGACTGTGCACCTCTGAGCATTTTAGAAGACACTGTAACACAAGGAAGAAGAGAACTGAATATTTTCACAATTGTGCATAAAGTGACCAAGTGTTGGGATAATGTTGGACATGTACACACATCATATGTATTTGTGGCTGTGACAACAATTCATGACAGCATGAAACATAAGTGTGAACATGTAGCTGCCTTTTTTTTTTTTTTTTTTTTTTTTACAAAACAACGAATAATGTTGCCTTACTACATTGCACCTACTGTATGTGCTCTGTATTTGGACCTAGGCTGGGTTCACAAAATGTTAAACTATTCATTCACCTCTAATTAGAAATATTGGCCATAAGTTATGCCATTGCCAAGGCATCTGCATTTTCATATTTTGACAACAAAATGATCACATCACATGAACAAACCCCAATGTGTTGTAAGTGGTCGGCGCCCACACTGAACCCATCTCTCTCTGTTGTGTGTTACAGGCATGTGGAGACCCCAAAGCCAAACCTTCTTATCTTGTGGATAAAAACCTGGAGTCTGCCGTTAAATTCATTGTCAGAAAGTTTCCGGCTGTAGAAACACGCAATAACAATGTGAGTATGCAAACTCTATCTTCAGTATTTTTAGATCATATTTTGTTTGTGTTGTCTTCCTTCTGAAATGCCTATTTCTTTTTGTCCTGGGACTACCTAATCTTATATAACATAGTAAAGATGTAACATCAGTATCCTGTCAATGCTTGATGATCAAAGTTCTCTGTAAAATTGTATGATAATATTTTATATTTTAAGTGTTTGGAAAGAAAACATAAGAATGAAAAATGAATGAAAAAACATAGAAAACACAAGTCTGTACTGTGGAGATGCATCTCCCACAAACTTGACTTTTTTGGCTTTGAGGAGAGAGACCATGTTTGGAGGGTCTTTTGTCAGTAATCTTCTACAATATCTGAAGTATGGTTTTCCAACTATTTTCATGCAATTATGCAGGTGCCACCTTCAGGAAGTAATTACTAACTACTAAGTCAGCATTGATTGATTGATTGCATTTATATAGCGCCTTTCAAGATACCCAAAGCGCTTTACAGTTCATTATTCAGTCACTCCACACTCAGTGGTGGTAAGCTATTATTGTAGCCACAGCTGCCCTGGGGCAGACTGATGGAAGCGAGGCTGCCAATCTGTGCCATCGGCCCCTCCAACCACCACCATCTCTCACACACACACCACTTTCATACTAGGCAATGTGGGTGAAGTGTCTTGCCTAAGGTTAAAACAACAGGGTTTTTTTTTTTGCCACTGGCACCCCACTGTGGCACCTGGAATTCCTAGCAGTCTTCCATCCAAGTACTAACCAGGCCCAGGCTTAGCTTCTGATATCTGATGGGATCAGGCTTTGACAAGCTGGTATGGCCACAGTTGAGTTAAGTAAAGACATTTGATAGAAATGGCGTTTTCCACATGTTGTTTCATGTTTAAGGCTACAGCTAGCTAGACTGTAAATGCATAAACATGGTACTCCCACAAGATTTAGTCTAGTTTACAAAGAAACATGATTTTTTTTAGACTGCATAATAACTCATCTAGAGCACAACAATCAAAGGCATGATGGAGACTGGAGTTATGTGGTAACAATGCCCATGATGCAGTGATTTAATAACATTTAATATTAATATTATTAAAATTATTATTAAACCTACAAACCTAAATGTTTTGATAATGTGGTGGTTTTTTAAAATGTACTGTAAATAGACAAAAACTCTACCTGCACTGTAGATTGAAGCAGTTAAATAATGCAACTATCAGAGGTGAGTGCTCAGAACTGCATGGTGGATCACCACCACATGACATAACACAGTGCAACCCTGAGTGTTTTAAGCTGTCATGAGTGAGACAGCCTAAACAAGCAGGCGTAGACACAACACACAACTACAGGTATGTTATTGATGAGGAAACAATGTTCTCTCGGTTTCGCCTAAAACATTAAAATTGTAAAGCATCAAAAGTATTTGTGTTGACTGTCTCTGTGTGTCTGTTTGGAGCCGCCGTGTGACTGCTGAGGCACTGGCTGGCACTGACCTGAAGTGTGCAGACTGTCTTACATTATTATCTGCTTTGTTTTTGTCCGTTTGTGTTTTGCATGACGCTAACATGACGCTTATACCGGACATGTGCTTTTTGGTAAGTTTGTATTTGAGTTTGTACCTAAAGTATTTTTCTTTTAAGCTCCATTCCTGTGGCTTTTTGCTTTGCTCTGCTTTTTCTGGGTGCTCCTTTCTATGTCTCTCATTGGCTGTATGCTGTGTGCTTGGTTTAATCTCGTAGACTAGAAAGGTGAAAGAGTTGGGAGTCTGAATGACCTCTTACTACAGGCAGTTTCAATCACTTTGTGAAGAAATTCTGTTATAAATTCCATTTCAAATGAAGATTAATTTCACTATAAGAATGTGTGAGTTTGTTTATCTTTTTGGGTCTTGAGTAGACCCATCTTTTCTCTTTTCTACAGATTCACAAAATAAACAAAAACATAGATGATAGAGAAATAGTGGATCAGTGATATTTGTACATTTATATTCATTTGAAAAGAAAACTTCCACTGTTTCTGCTGTCTATGCTTTTGCTAGGACATTTAACAGATCTGTTTTAAAAGATCTGATTTTCTTGTATACTCTTGTGATCTGTTCATCATAAATGACTCTTTGAACACATTTTCTTTATTGCAATGACCAGTTTCTTATCAAATTCAACTGCATCAGCATAATCATATCATCATTACAGACCTGCATATAGTGATGGGAGTGAATATTTAATATTGTGTCCTTTCTACAGCAACAGTTGGCTCAGCTCCAGAAAGAAAAATCTGAGATTCTGAAGAACCTGGCACTCTACTATTTCACCTTTGTGGATGTGATGGAGTTCAAAGTAAGAATACAAACAGGAGCAACATTTTATATATATTATATATAACACCTGTGTGTTTTAAATGTCTCCAGGACCATGTCTGCGAGCTCCTCAACACCATCGATGCCTGCCAAGTTTTCTTTGATATTGTAAGTATATTCACACCCAAGGTAAAAGAAGAGTGATGCACACTCAAATGCACTAGCAATATTTCTGAGGCATTTTGGATATATAAGATACATGTCGATTTTTAGAAAACCCTGAGCAGCAAGCAAAAAAACAAAAAAAAAAACAAACAAGAGGCATGCCATTTGAGCTCCTTTCTCTAAGTTTTTTTTTTTTTTCCACACAAATGGCTACAAAGAAGAAAAAAAAAAAAAACAGTCTCCCACATTCTAACCGAATGCCTTACCTAATGAGTTATCACTCCAGACATGTGTGCAATATACTAGGAAAACACAGTGTTTGATTTTTGATTCTTTTTTTTCCATTGTCCTCATCAACAGGTGAAAAAAAAAATTGAATAGAAATGGAGCCTAATAACTTGCCTGTTATTTTGTTTTTTTTTCTTGCTTCAAATTTCAAACTTAAGATATTTGGAAAACAAATAAAACATACTCAGCCCTGATTATGATCGATACAAAAGTAGTAACTTGATTTTTATTTATTTTTTTTGTATTTTTAAGACTGTGAACTTTGACCTCACAAAAAACTACCTTGATCTGGTGGTGACTTACACTACACTGATGATCATTCTCTCTCGGATTGAGGAGAGGAAAGCCATCATTGGACTTTACAACTATGCTCATGAGATGACCCATGGAGCCAGGTAATCCCATTATTTCATATGTATTTGAAACTTCTCAATGATAATTGTATTGGAATCAAATGGCAAGAACTGTGCTAAAATGAACAATTGCAAACTCTGTCAGATATGCTAGTGAATGCTTTGAGATCACAGTGGAACTTCCACTAGCATCACACACTGTAAACTGCGCTGCGCCACGTTAAAGGGGGAATGCTAATAGCGCTTTTTTAAATATGCTGTTGTCCACAGTGACAGAGAATACCCACGCTTGGGCCAGCTGATCGTCGACTATGAAAACCCTTTGAAAAAAATGATGGAAGAGTTTGTCCCACATGGGAAGGTAAGTTTACGGGACATTGAACCTTTATTTTCATGTCTACACTTAGTTTGGTTTCCATTTCCGTATCTGTAGTGCCACAAATTGTTTGAGTAGGATTGCAGCTAAATAAAAAACAGCTCTGGTATATTTCACCATGCAAATGAACCCTCAACTTTTTGGACAAACTGAGACAAATTACATGACCTGGCACTAGTGGTTAACAGTGATATTGTCATACACACTGTACATGTCAGTGAAACAGTGAATGACCTTTTTGGTGTATTTAACTAGTTTTGGCATTGGCTCTTCTGCCTCCTCTCTTCCAGTCTCTGTCAGATGCCCTGATCAGCCTGCAGATGGTCTATCCACGGAGGAACCTTTCGGCTGACCAGTGGAGGAACGCTCAGCTGCTGTCACTCATCTCTGCCCCATCCACCATGTTGAACCCTGCCCAGTCCGACACGGTCTGTCTCACTCACAGCCCCTGTCATTTAATAAGCACACTCACTGCACCACTCACTGTTATCTGTTATCTTTACTTTCAGATGCCTTGTGAATATCTGTCTTTGGATGCTATGGAAAAGTGGATTGTTTGTAAGTAATATAGTAGCGTAAATATCGCTTGTGTTCTATCAAAGCCCTACTTCTTAACATTTCTGGTGCAATTCATTAAGATGGAACATGGTCTTGCAATGCTATATAAAGTAAAACGATACATTGGGATATTGTCCATGGCAATTCACTTTCCATGGAGACAAGTAGGCAGTGCAACCATGTCTTTGCAGAGTTACAGGTCAGCTCTATGGAGAGGCAAACCCACTCACTATTAGGGGTTTTTTTCCCCCACTGTATTTAATGCAATAAAAATCCATTATGAAAGTCATGCTTTTTAATCTGTTTTGGGTTTGGGTGAGAAACCTGGTTATGTGGACATGTTTCTGCTCTCATAGGCTCATTTGTTTTTGTGCAGTTGGTTTTATCTTGTGCCACTCAGTGCTGAACAGTGATACAGCCGCACTCTCTCTGTGGAAGCTGGCTCTGCAGAGTTCCACCTGCCTATGTTTGTTCAGAGATGAGGTTTTTCACATCCATAAGGCTGCTGAGGATCTGTTTGTCAACATCCGAGGGTACTGCTTATTCCAAATAATATATATATTTTTTTGAATAAACCTATCTGGTTCTTCAGAGAAATACCCCTGATGAATGTATCCTTGTCTGATAACATAGTCACTGCAAATGCCACAACCTTGATTTGATATTATAATGTTACACCATCCCAGATGCACGCTGTGTAGAATTTGACTCAAAAAGTGTTACACTTATCATATAACATGTAACACAGAGGGAGACTATTTCCTTAAAGACAAATTATCTTTTCTCTTTTTAAAGCTACAACAAACGAATCAATGACATCAGAGAGTGCAAAGAACAGGCCCTGTCCCATGCGTAAGTTTGACTTTATTGTTTCTACACTTGGCTGCTTTTGCCTTTTTTGCTTCTCTTCCTTCCATAGTGTCATCTTTTTACATTTCTCATTCTTCCTTGATGGTTTTTGAAATTTCAGAAATGCGTAATTGTTTTTATGTCCTGCAGAGGCTCCATGCACAGAGAGAGGCGCAAGTTTCTCAGATCTGCTCTGAAAGAGCTGGCCACTGTCCTTGCTGATCAACCTGGACTCCTCGGGCCTAAGGTATATTTAATAATATAATATATACAGTAAACTACATATGAAGTTACAAGTGACTACAAGTAACTTAATCTGTTCTAGTTAAGGAAGTGGAACTAAGAACATTATTTAATCATATGTTGTGGATTCCAACTGCATTTATCTGAAGTTACTGTGGTTATTCCTGTTCCATTTACCCCACTTTTCTGGCATTGCTTTCAGGCTCTGTTTGTGTTCATGGCCTTGTCTTTTGCTCGTGATGAGATCATATGGCTGCTTCGACATGCAGACAACATCCAAAAGAAAAGCACTGATGACTTCATAGACAAGTAGGCACATGACATTGAGTTAACATGCCATGGATATTATGCTCTTATTATTTATTACTATTTCCTGCTGCTTTCTTTTATTCTGATGGGCAGGCACATTGCAGAGTTGATTTTCTACATGGAGGAACTCCGAGCTCACGTCAGGAAATATGGCCCTGTCATGCAGCGTTACTATGTGCAGTACCTGTCTGGTTTTGACGCTGTGGTGCTCAATGAACTGGTGCAGGTACAGTTCATTTGACTGGACTTTGTCTGTCAGCTGTGCCTTTTCTTGTGTTTTAAAAACACCAACTAACCAAGACTTGTGTGAACTTTGCAGAACCTGTCAGTGTGTCCTGAGGATGAGTCCATAATCATGTCTTCATTTGTCAACACTATGACTTCTCTCAGTGTTAAACAAGGTGTGTCCCCAGCACCTTCTCCATTGTGACATGGAACTGAGAAATGACCCAAGTCTGTTCTTTTGCAGTGGAGGATGGAGAAGTGTTTGACTTCAGAGGCATGAGACTGGACTGGTTTAGACTGCAGGTAAATGCTTCCTCAATATTACGTGCACTCAATCTGTCCTTGAAAGTGATGGCTTACTTTGCTGTCCTCTTCAGGCATACACAAGTGTCTCTAAAGCAAGCCTGGGTATTGCTGACCACAAGGAGCTGGGCAAAATGATGAACACTATAATCTTCCACACCAAGATGGTTGACTCACTTGTAGAGATGCTAGTGGAGACATCAGACCTATCAATTTTCTGGTAAGGCATCATTGCATCAAATTACTTTGTTGGATTGCAATCAGGTTGTCAATTAGAACAAAATGAACATTCAATATTTAACATTTTACTTAAAATAAAAATGTTACTTTAAAAAAAAAAATCTGTGCTGGGCAGTGTTTTTTACATAATGAGTGTTGTGGTTCAGCTTCTACAGTCGTGCATTTGAGAAAATGTTCCAGCAGTGTTTAGAGCTGCCATCTCAGAGCCGCCACTCCATCTGCTTCCCTCTGCTCTGCACACACTTCATGTCCTGTACACACGAGCTCTGTCCTGAGGAGGTGAGGCTGTCTTATGTTGAAGTAAATCTCTCATGTGATTAAATTGTTCTTTCATCTTTTTTTCCTTGTCCTTGCAGCGCCATCACATTGGGGATCGGAGCCTGTCTTTGTGCAACATGTTTTTAGATGAGATGGCTAAACAAGCCCGAAACCTGATCACAGATATCTGCACAGAGCAGTGTACACTCAGTGACCAGGTACATGCGCTTCATGTTGCCCTCTATTCACCTTTTCAGTCTCAGGAGAAACATTGAACTGAGCCTCATGGTGATTTCACACCAAACTCAAATGAACTCCTAGGCATAAGTGATATACTGGTTATGTGTACCTGAAGGCTTAATTAGACGGAGATTATGTGCGCGCATCTGAAGAATAGTGATGTGTGAATCTTTAGATTTTGGTCTACAAAATACTTCATTGACATCATGTTCAGATAAATTGGTTAATTGACAATTTTGCCTTAATAACTGCTTTACGTGATTGTTGCCTACCATGGATACAAAGTCATATTTTTTTCTGTCTTTTTAGCTTCTTCCAAAGCACTGTGCGAAAACCATTAGCCAAGCAGTGAACAAAAAGAGCAAGAAGGCCACAGGAAAGAAAGGCGAGCCAGAGCGGGAGAAGCCTGGAGTTGAGAGCATGAGGAAGAACCGCCTGCTGGTCACAAAGTAAAACTCTCCCTGAATTCAAAGAGACATTTTTGGGAGGAGATTATTAAATTCTTTCTCTTTGTCTGTGCAGTTTGGACAAACTCCACACTGCACTATCCGAGCTCTGTTTCTCCATCAACTATGTGCCAAACCTGGTGGTGTGGGAACATACCTTCACCCCCAGAGAGTATCTGACCTCCCACTTGGAGATCCGCTTCACTAAGTAATAATTTAAATATAAATAAAGGAAAATGCAGTTTTTTTTGTTTGTTTCAAGTTAAAAAGGCATATTTTATTTATTCTACTAAAAAAACATTTGGTGGTTGAACAATGAAAGATCTCATGTATGTTCGCTTATGTTTAGGTCTATAGTGGGAATGACCATGTACAACCAAGCCACTCAGGAAATAGCCAAGCCCAGTGAGCTGCTGACCAGTGTGCGAGCCTACATGACTGTCCTGCAGTCCATTGAAAACTATGTGACCATTGACATCACCAGAGTCTTCAACAATGTACTGCTGCAACAGACCCAGCACCTGGACAGCCACGGAGAGCCTACCATTACCAGCCTGTACACTAACTGGTACATGAACACATGCTCACTGTAACATAACCTGCTCGCCTTTACAGAACCCTTACACACAGTAGTTGAGGCAAATCAGTGAATGTCCAAATTTAAATACATTCAGAGATGTAGTGCCATATTCTGCAAAATAGTTTATTATCTGGTTTTCATTGTAACTGAGAACATGTTCTTAATAGCTTACGTGGGTCAGAGATGGTCTGAGCAAGTTCAAAGGAGGGGTCACATTGAATTTATGGGTTGTATGGTGATAATCTTCTTTACACAATGTCAGGAGAAAGATTTATGTGATGAAAATCCAATATTGAAGCCTATGATTGAAATACATTAAGTGAGTGCTAACCCTTTGAATACAAAATAGTAGATACATTTTTACATCATTGTACTACGTTTGTGTTATAGGTACTTAGAGACTTTGCTGCGTCAGGTCAGTAATGGACACATCGCTTACTTTCCCGCCATGAAGGCCTTTGTGAACCTGCCCACTGAAAATGAACTCACCTTCAATGCTGAGGAGTATTCAGACATCTCTGGTAAGACAAGAGATGCCCTATGGTTGTATTGTACATGCGTGATGACGTGTGAGCTTGTGTGGGTCAGAGAGTGGACATGATCACACGACAACATTATTTACTCATGTGTTTGTGTGTTTTTAGAGATGCGTTCACTGTCCGAGCTCCTGGGACCATATGGTATGAAGTTCCTCAGTGAAAGTCTTATGTGGCACATCTCCTCTCAAGTCGCTGAGCTGAAGGTGAGTCTATTGAAATGCATATAAGATTAAATTATATTTTAAATGATAATAACTTTGTCCCTCTGAATGAATCTGTGCAGAAACTTGTGGTGGAGAACATGGAAGTGTTGACCCAAATGAGGACCAGCTTTGATAAACCAGAGCATATGGCTGCCCTCTTTAAGAAGCTCACCTGTAAGTATAATCAGTCATAAATGTTAAAGTGATTGAAACTTACTATGTTTGGTACAATATTGTGCAAACAAGAAAAGAATCCTGCACAGTGTTAATCCTTGTGAAGTTAATTTATTACATGACAAAACTTTGCAAGGATTGACAATATGCAGGATTCTTTTTTTTTTTTTTTTTATTTAGTTTTTTTTTTCAGCCAATGGATCTACCTGTACATTAATGTGCGAGGTCTGCTGCTCCTTTTTGCTCAAACAACATTGTCAAAAATACCTATACTTTGACTTTTTACAGCTGTGGACAGTGTTTTGAAGAGAATGACCATCATTGGAGTCATTTTGTCATTCCGCTCTTTGGCTCAAGAAGCTCTCAGAGATGTAAGGCATATCCTGTTTTTTGGGGTGGATTCAAACTCTTTATTTTGTCCAAACTGAAACATATTTCTATTTCCAGGTCTTATCATGCCACATACCCTTCCTGGTTAGTTCAGTGGAAGACTTCAAAGATCACATTCCAAGAGAAACGGACATGAAGGTAAAACAGGACTGTAAGATTTTGTGTGTGCGCTTAAAATTTTCTTTTTTATATGTTGCAACAGGCAATCTAAGCCTTGACAATCTAATATCTAAAATACTATTGTATAAATGTGCAGGTGGCCATGAATGTGTATGAGCTGTCTTCTGCTGCCGGTTTGCCCTGTGAAATTGACCCTGCCCTGGTTGTGGCTCTGTCATCACAGAAGAGTGGTAAAGACCCTCTTGGTCTTAAACTGGACCTAGGTCTGAGTATAAATGGATTCATGATTATATGTTTACTTATAGAGAACATCAGTCCAGAGGAGGAGTACAAGATCGCCTGCCTGCTCATGGTGTTTGTAGCTGTGTCTCTTCCCACTCTAGCAAGCAATGTCATGTCACAGTACAGCCCTGCCATTGAGGGTAAGATTCAACAGGCCCTGATTTTTGGGCCCCAGTTTCCAACATATGATAAGTCTCCTGAAAATCTGACATGAAATGTGAAGAGTGTTATGACATGAAATTATGTGCAATATCACTAATAATGAGTAGGGCCTGACATATCTGTTGCCTGCTCAAATCTTAAGCTTAAACTGGGCTTAAGATGTAAATACACATCTTAAGGGTGGTGTAGGACCCTTTTTTGTTTCTTTGGGTTGGGATTAATTTGCGTCACTGTTTACGCTGAGCACAAAGTGACCTATATTTGGTTTGGTCAGGAGAGGGCAGGGTGGAGTCAAGCCTGTAGGAACACACAGGTGCAAGTGTACTGGGACAATCCAATGGTTAGGACTGAAATCGCCAGAAACTAGAAAAGAGACTTACTGACTGTGGCTTCTATTCTGTTCTAGGGAATCCCATTGTTTAATAATAATTATGTGTCTGTAGCAACAAGCAAACACAAATTACAATATTTCAGATTTTTCAGATGGACACATTCCCATTTGTTTGGTTGTAAAAGTTCTGTTGGTGAAAATTAACTCTGTGTAATGCCCTTAACAGGACATTGCAACAACATCCACTGTTTGGCAAAAGCTATTAATCAGATTGCTGCTGCACTCTTCACCATCCACAAGGGGAGCATCGAGGACCGACTCAAGGAGTTCCTAGCGGTAAAATCACTACTATGCCAGTTCACACTTTAGGATTTTAGCTTGGAAAATGGACCTCACAAGACCATAAATCTATAATAATTAAATTGCATGTCTTTTTTTTATTTAATACCACTTAAGGCTAGTTGTTTGTGTGTATTTGTGTTTGACTCTCCAAATATCACAAGTTGTTTTTTGTTTTTTTTGTTAGCTGGCCTCCTCAAGTCTATTGAAGATTGGCCAGGAGACGGACAAAATGACTACACGGAACAGGGAGTCTGTGTATCTGCTACTGGACATGGTAACATTGTCACAGCACAAAATAATGTTCTTAACAAGATGAAGACAATCCCCTGAAAGAGTTTTTGTGCATTTCAGATTGTGCAGGAGTCTCCTTTTCTTACCATGGACCTGCTGGAGTCCTGCTTTCCCTACGTTCTGCTGAGGAATGCTTATCACGCTGTGTACAAGCAGAGCATCAGCGCTAATGCGTAGAGACAACCCACACCCTGACTGACAAATCTGATCACCCCCACTCCTCCCTGGTGTGACTAGCGACACTAACCATTTTCATTTAATAATATATTAATTGTCTAAGAATTTTTTGAGAATCTAATGTGCAATGGTTGTGACATCTACTCACAAACTCTACACTACTTCCGCGAGTTTGTGTTCAAGATGGTTGGATTTTAAGAGAAAGTTGTCCTGAATGCAGCTAAACACCAACACTAAAATGCCCCCAGCTTTTACCTCAGACATGACCAAGAACACAACTTCCGTCAAATTTACTTTTATTTTAGCTGTTGCCTGGGACCACTGCGACAATGGCAGTAGCACAATCTAAACAATATAAATGTGGTATATTTATAATTATCTATAGATATATAATTGTGGCCATCTAATAACTTTATGTTGACAGATTTGAATGCCACAAAGATGGACTTTTTGCTGATGACAGGTGATATCTGTGTTGATGAGACATAATTCTTGTTGCTGCAAATTAGCTTATTACATGGGCATCTTTTCATTTATAAATACTTTTAACGGTAATATTCCTACATTTTGTTACGAGTGCACATTTGTATAACAGTGGTGTTTTTCTTGCTAGCTGTAACATGAACTTTTCTGTGGGTAAGATAGAAATTTGCTTTGATGTGAAATGTCTGTTCTCAATGTTTGTTTTTTATTACCATTTGCCAAACATAAATGACTCATGCCAGATAAATGTACAGCTATAAAACATATGGTCTGCACAGTGCTGTTAAGCTTTTGCACCCTCCTGGATAACTAGATCTGTATTGGTTTAAAGCTATTCAATCTGCCTGGGCTGGTGTGAAGTTGTTCTGGAGTTGTTTATACCCTCCAGAAATCACATGGTAGCTTGATCACTCTCAAATCTTCATCTCACACTACACAAGAGCAGTCCTCTAAACTTTTTTTTTTCCTTTTTGACAATACCTGGCAGTTAACAGATGTCCTGGTATGTTGGATAACTCTAACAAATGTGATCTAAACTGCATTTGTATTTTACACTGTTTCACGATTGAAACACTAAAGTCCTGAAGGGTGCAAACATTTTTTTGACATCAATGTAGGTGTGCAAGTATCCAGGCTGCATGTATCCAGTGTTGGGATGCTGGAGCTGGTCCACAGAGGACTGCTCATTTTCTAGTTTCTGTGACTCCTGTGTAATTGAACTGAATCAAATAAAACGCAGTGTCAGACTACGATGAGTAAAGCAGCACTTTGTACACACAAACCTGGAATCACAAATATAGCTGAGCTGACTGCTCTGTCTCTAGTTGTGCGGTATTGAGTGTTATGCCCAACAGTCAAATGTTGTGTCAATAAACTGGGTTGACTTTCCCATCATCACCTAATTAATTTTGCAGCAATCCCTATGTACATGAGGTAGATACACTGAATCTAAACTACAAAACAAGTCATGGAAAAGGCTTTTATTGATATACAAAAGTTTTTAAATAAAATGCTTTTTAAAATGAATGCTTATAAAAGTCATAAAAAATATATTTTAACTGCCTTTTTACAGTATGATTTGTTAAATGTTTAAAGGCACATTATAAAGCTTCTCTGCGGAAAATAGTGGTAATATTTATAGTGCTGACTGAAATGACTTCACCAAGGATGGACCTCCTTCTCAGACACAAAGCACCCATGGGGCTCTTTGGCTCCAGGGGGTAACAGTGCCAGGTAGACGGGGGTGATGGCGCCCTCATCTGGACTCTTTGGAGCTTTGTCACCTGCCATGTCCGTGCGCACCCAGCCTGGACAGCATGCATTCAGCAAGATCTAAGGGATGTCATTGAAACAAAACACATCATTATAAAATGATCATTCGTAATTCAGAGTTAAATTTTTTCTTACATTATCATGTGGCCTCTCCTTGGATAGCCGACGTGCCAAAATCATGGATAATGTCTAGAGAGATAAATATTGGGGTTATTAACTATTGCTTCTGTCTCAATCTCTAACATGAATTAGTAGCTTAATACCGTCAGTCCGGTCTTGGACACTCCATACGCCGTCTCAGGCCAGCCATCCTCTTTATGCTGGCCAGTTTTAGTTTTCTCCACAAACCTCTTCATTAGCCCCACCAGCTCATCCTCTGTGATGTCCTCACTACGGAATCGTGCCTGGAGTGCTTCACTGCACTTCTTCAAGGTGTTAACGCCAACAAAGCTGGAGACATTCACCACTCTACCTGCAGAACACACACAAACCTTAACTGCTGTCCAATACAGACATGTGAACAGTTTTTAAGAGTGCTTACCTCCTGGTTTGATGAGCGGCATGAAGTGGATTAACATGTCTCTGGTTGCAAAGAAGTTAGTCTGAAGAGTTACCTCGGCCTGGACAGCGAAGGGAGTGGTATCTGCCACTAGAGGTTGATACAAACATAAAATCACAGCAAGAACCTGCAATATGGTAGTGTCATATGAACTATCTCAGTCTTCCTGAAGATGTGAGACAGACCATGTTCAAATTTAGACTAGGCCAAAATTTATGTATTTATTTATTTTATATATATATGTATAAGTGCACAAAAGTCAGTGGCGCACTTTGAAAAAAAAAAAAATTATATATATATACACACACACACACACAGATAGCTATATATATCCATCTTAGATAGTCAGTCTCTCTCTCTCTATATATATATACATATATAAAAGTGACGGTGGGTATGTGATGAGCCGAGCAGGTGACACTGCAGGAGAGCAAATAGAGGTAGATGGAGAGTCAGAGAGTCAGTGTGTGAAGAGAATTATAATGAGTCTCAATGCTGGTGACAAGAGGAAGGGCAGTATTTCTGTCTGAGCCTCAGCTACAATTTAATGATGATCCTGTTTTTTTTAATAACTGATTGCATTATGATTTTAACACACCCTTCTTATTATGTAAAGCGCTTTCAGTTACTTTGTCTATAAATTCTGCTCTACAAATAAACCTGTCATGGTCAAAATAACAATAGAATTTACCTTTGAAAGCAATGGCAGCATTGTTGATCAGAACATCCACCCCTCCATACTTGTCTTTGAAGAAGGCTGCTGCCCTGGTGATGCTGTTCAGATCATTGATGTCCAGCTGCTGAAACTTCGGCTTTAGTCCTTCAGCGTTCAAAGTCTTCACCGCTTCTTCACCCCGGCCCCTGGAGCATTAGAGTTATTAGTGTGTAATACTGTCAAAATATGTTAAAGGTCCTGATGCATCTACAACTACAATGATTTAGGAAAAAATGTGAATTAACTTACGTGTCTCTGGCTGTGAGGTAGACCTCGCCCTCATACTGCTTGCACAGAGCACGAACAATCGCCAGACCTATGCCCTTGTTACTGCCGGTTACCACTGCAACCTTAGTCATGGCTATAAATGAAAAAACACCATTTGGTAAATTGTTCTTCTAGTAAACTAATCAACATAAATGACATTGTATTTTGCATAACCAAATGATAATACCCTACTTAAATACTTTGTGTGGCGTGAATGAACAAGAAGATCACATTCACTGTAGAGGTAAGATCTTAAGACCAAGACCAAGCCCAAGCCCGACCCGACCCGACCCGACCCGAAATGTCAATCATTACTTCGGGTCGGGTCGGGCTCGGGCTTCAAATAAATATATGTTTATAAAATGTATGCTAAAACGATGTGTGGATACTAAACTAAGGAATACTTGTTATAAAATAAATAATATGGATAAAACAGAGAAGTAATGTAATGTAATTGCTATTTAACTACTAAACAGGATCCGCAGAGCCAGAGCTCTGCGCACGTGAACGCCCCCTCTTTATTTAATAACCTTCCCCTCCGCAAGTCTGCATCTATTTTGACCTGGTATCCCCAATATGGAGGAGCAAGAAGTTAAACTAAAGGCAGGAGAACTGAAAAGACAAACACGCACCGGTAAGAGTGAGGTGTGGAAAAGCTTCAAATTGATTGTTGAAAATGCTACAGAAACTTGCGTTGGCTTCGCTGAATGTCGTCAATGTGGCGCTTTGCTTTCATAAGAGAGCAAAAAGACTGGCACCTCGACGCTGAGCACTGCTCCTCACAAATAAAATATGACATTTCGGGTTTGCTTCGGGCTCGGGCCTGCAAATCAAGTTAATTGGTCGGGCTCGGGCCGGGTCGGGTTTTAATACCCGCGGGCCGGGTCGGGTCGGGCTGGATTTTTTAGGCCCGATCTCACCTCTAATTCACTGGTTCATGAAAAATTGCTTAGTCATGCTGAGTACAGCAGAATCGTTCTTTAAAGGCAAATTCAATTACAGAAGCAGCAGTAGCCTGGATGCTTTTAAAAGCCTTGCAGTCTGAGTGTGCTAAATTAATCAGTCTAAGTAACATATGTTTACCTGTTATGAGCAACTTCAGCGTGAATGAAAGGTAGCTGCAGAGAAAGCGATCAGACCCAACAGAACTACAGCGAGTTTCTTCTGAACGTGGGAAAAACAAAAACGTGATGTAATACGGCCCACAGAGGTCCATGCGCATCTTGTGCGCAGGACCGGAATGACAAAACAAACACGTGTGCCGTGCGATCATGTCGGGTCATCTTATGTATCAGGATCGTGGATCTATGTTCGGGACAGCGATCATGGATAACAGCGGCCCAAATCCATGGGTTTATTAAAGCCCACATCCCGCCCAGAAATGTATTATTCTCCGGGAAAATGAAAATTAATTAAATTAATAACATTCGTGGACAGGTTCCGCTAAAGGCAGCCCCACAGTATTTAAGGGTAAGAACAGCTTTGTTGTTCATGCATCATTGTTTTCAGATGATAATTTGTAAAATTGCTACTTTGCCAAAATCCATAAATGGAGCATAGGCAGGGTTTGTTCTCGTTAACGTGATGGTTATTGCCCCTGTGTGTTAGCAAACTTGTTCTAAGTGACTTCACTTGTTCTCAAAAAAGAGCGCTTACTTATGTTGACCAAACGTCCGTTTTTCCCCGGACATGTCCGTATTTTGCGTCAGGTCCGGGGCGTCCGGGTTTTTTTTTTATAAAGTGATGCAAATGTCCGGGTTTTCAGTACCGTTCACTGGGGGCATTAAACTGAGCGTCTCTCGTAGCGTCTGTGACTCAGAAGGAGCGAGACACAAACAGTCGGTCAGTCTGCAACATACCGAAGCACAAATGCCCATTTAACAATGACTTGTACAAGAAATTCTCCGTTTTCCGTCCCGGTCGGGACAAGTGGGAGGTCATGTGCACACGTTTTGAGGTGAGACTGACAGTGTCCCTCGTTTATCGCGGGGGTTACGTTCTAAAAATAACCCGCGATAGGTGAAATCCGCGAAGTAGTCAACTTTATATTTTACAATTATTCTATCTGTGTTAAGGCTGTAAAACCCCTCAGCACAAACTTTATACACTTTTCTCACACAGGACAGGTGCAACCCTTTTTACTTCCTTCTTAAAACTTGTTGCTGCTGTCGTCCTTGTGTTATTTTCCTCCTTCTTTATGTAACAAACAGAAGATTCACTTATTCCATAATGGAGCCCAACAACTCAGAGTCCCGCACGGGTCCATTTTTGGAGACCTGCAGTACAACACCGCACCCGCGCAGTACAGGACCGCACCTGCCCGTTAACCTGAGATAATATAAAACTTTTGCGCTGCCTACGCCACGGACTGAACCAAGACTAAACCAGGACTGATTCCAGGACTGAAGAGGAGGACTAATCCACGACTGAACTAGGACTAAACCAGGACTAAACCAGGACTAACCCAGAACTGAAACAGGACTCACCATCAGGACGGGCTCGGAGGTGACGCAGGAGAAAGGACCGGTCCAAGATTAGTCCTGGTTTAGACCTGGTTTAGTCCTAACACACCCTGTGTGTAATTACTACCCGCCTGTAATACACAATACGCGTTCATACGCTGTAAAAAATTGCACACACAAAAAAATCCGAGAAACCCCCCCCCCTCAAAAGGTGTCCAGGTTTTTACAAACGGAAATATGGTCACCCTAGCTTACTGCCTTCTGTGATCATCATAGACAATGGCGATCAAAAACCCGGGTAAATTACAACTCAAGGAAAAGGTTTATTTGGTTTCAGTTGAGAAGGACGACATGTTTTCCTTTGAATTTCTAAAAAAAATTAAATACAATTATTTTGAGAGACATTACACAATGGTCACACAAGCAGTTTCATCAGTTGGATTCATTGAAATATTTCAAGTTGCTACATAGGTTCTGCACTTGTGCATCTATGTACTTTATTATGTAGCTAAATTGCTATTCGTTGTATAAGTACATAGAGAAAAACTTCTCTTATGATTTACTCTTCCTTCTCTGATCTTCTCTGAAAAACTTCACCAAGGCTGAACCTTCTTCTCAGACACAAAGCACCCATGGGGCTCTTTGGCTCCAGGGGGTAACAGTGCCAGGTAGACGGGGGTGACGGCGCCCTCATCTGGACTCTTTGGAGCTTTGTCACCTGCCATGTCCGTGCGCACCCAGCCTGGACAGCATGCATTCAGCAAGATCTAAGGGATGTCATTGAAACAAAACACATCATTATAAAATGATCATTCGTAATTCAGAGTTAAATTTTTTCTTACATTATCATGTGGCCTCTCCTTGGATAGCCGACGTGCCAAAATCATGGATAATGTCTAGAGAGATAAATATTGGGGTTATTAACTATTGCTTCTGTCTCAATCTCTAACATGAATTAGTAGCTTAATACCGTCAGTCCGGTCTTGGACACTCCATACGCCGTCTCAGGCCAGCCATCCTCTTTATGCTGGCCAGTTTTAGTTTTCTCCACAAACCTCTTCATTAGCCCCACCAGCTCATCCTCTGTGATGTCCTCACTACGGAATCGTGCCTGGAGTGCTTCACTGCACTTCTTCAAGGTGTTAACGCCAACAAAGCTGGAGACATTCACCACTCTACCTGCAGAACACACACAAACCTTAACTGCTGTCCAATACAGACATGTGAACAGTTTTTAAGAGTGCTTACCTCCTGGTTTGATGAGCGGCATGAAGTGGGTTAACATGTCTCTGGTTGCAAAGAAGTTAGTCTGAAGAGTTACCTCGGCCTGGACAGCGAAAGGAGTGGTATCTGCCTCTAGATGTTAACAGAAACATTGTACAGAGTAATTGAGTTCAATAGTACAGAGCTCTGAGCTTCAGAACTGAACCTAATTCAGAACTTCAGTGTTTACCTTTGAAAGCAATGGCAGCATTGTTGATCAGAACATCCACCCCTCCATACTTGTCTTTGAAGAAGGCTGCTGCCCTGGTGATGCTGTTCAGATCATTGATGTCCAGCTGCTGAAACTTGGGCTTTAGTCCTTCAGCGTTCAAAGTCTTCACCGCTTCTTCACCCCGGCCCCTGGAGCATTAGATTTATTAGTGTGTAATACAGTTATAGGTCCTGATGCATCTACAACTACAAGGATTTGTGGGAGAATGTGAATTAACTTACGTGTCTCTGGCTGTGAGGTAGACCTCGCCCTCATATTGTTTGCACAGGGCACGAACAATGGCCAGACCTATGCCCTTGTTACTGCCGGTTACCACTGCAACCTTAGTCATGGCTGTTCAAAAACAAGGAAAAATTAAAACAGAAGCTTATTATATTTCAAGCAGCGTCACAATTATTGGACCACCATCAGTCATCTTCAAATATGTTATTAATTTTAACCAAAAAAGTGGTTGAGATATTTATATTACAGTAGGTGACATATGTGGTCTGCTGTGTCATGCTGATTTTTACAAAAGTTGAGTTTAGTTTCCACACAACTACAGCCTTGTGAAATATTTAGTTTTCAAGGGACTAAACCAAGACTAAATCCAGATACCTCTAAAATAGGTCTGTATGGACTAAACTGTGACAAAAGAAATTAAGCTTTCATAAAATACATAATATATATTTAAAAGGTACTAGTGGTACACATAGCCATTTTAGAGCCACTGATTTGGTTAATAAGTTAACCAAATGCAATGAAACATAACAAAACAATTATGTAAAAAGTAATTAAGTCTAGTATATCAGAAGATGCATAATCCCATACTCTATGCCTTCAAAGCTAAGAAAGTTTAAACAAATGCAGATTCTTGCCTTCTTCCACATGTTTTACCTTTGTGTGTGTGGATCAGAGCTGCAGAAAAGGTGAACTGAACGAGCCTGAGAGAAACCAGCTGTTATTAAGGCATAGGTCTCCTTTAGGCTGGCTCCTCCCTAAAGTGTCTGACCTCAGCCCAAACAGAATTTTACAATGAACCAGCACAAATGTTATTATTTTAAATATAATTATTTTTCTCATTGTTGCTCCATCCTTGTAAGGACATCAAACCTGCATGGTGGTTAAGTTGCGTGCACTCTCCCATCACAAGGAAGTTTGTGAAGACTCCAGTGAAGGAGGCATCGACTAATGGATTGGGATATGGAGATGGGTCACAAGGCATGGCACTGTGTCGGGCACTGGTTCAGACTTGTTGTCCAATGGTATTTAAGGATGGATCAAATGAAGAGTACTAATATTTATTCTCTGTAATCAGGTTTGAGGTTCACTTATAGTTGAATTCTTAATACCTGGAAAAAAGGCATATGACTTCATTAACAAACTCCTTCTGAGGGTTTAACAAGTTTAAGCGGGTGTGTGGACTGACAACAAGAATAACAGGTTAGAGTGAATGGCGACAGTGCTGAGATTTTTGTCTGATTTGATGTATTTTGAGGTAAAGAATGTCAAAAAAAAAATCAGAACTGTTATACAATCACTACATATTTTCACTAATATACAAATGATGGTGTATATTATGGTGTGTATTGTTCAATATTACTTTTGTGAGTTGTATGGTGATTGCTGAGTCATGCTGATTCAGTTAAATTATCACGTCAAGTACCAACTCGCAAGATATGTATGCATTGACCTGGACCATAAACTGTATGACCAGGACTAAATAATGACAAAAGCCGTACTGAGTCATACATAAAATTGTATCTAATTTAATAATAAACTATTGTTCCATATAAACAAGTCCTTGTTCCAAATTGTTATGCTTAAAATGTCCTTTCATTCATCTGTGAGGCAGCATTTATGTAGTCAATTCTCAATATTGAGTTTATAATGTGTGCAGTAAGTAAAATGTTGTATACTGGGTGCAGCTTGAGCCCACCTATTACACAGCTGCTCAGTAAACTGGATGCAATAAACGTTGCCCATTTGTGTCCCATACCTTTGTGTACGTGCTCCTGTGTGCAAGACAAATTCTAATAATTTGCTCATTCTAATAGACAATAGTTAGAGTGATTGATCTAGCTTCCTTTGTGTTTCCTCAGAGGTTTAGCAATGAAGAAAAGGAGACGACCTGGACGAGTGGCCCGGAAAAGGAGGAGAAAGTGTGGTATGAGAGTGCAGTCAGGTATGCACTGGAAGTACTTCTTCACCACCTCTATACTGCAGTATGTAGCACACTGACCAATGGTACAATCTAATGTATGTTCTTGTAGTTTCGCTGTGTCACCAGGCCTCATATGTGCGGCTCATTAGGTTCCTTAAACAAAGGGGTTTTGCATCAACCATTCTGCTACCAGCGCAATTCACAGGTACAACTATTCTGTAAACCTGCTGTTGAGTATCAGCGTGTAAGTGCTTATGGAAGTTGAGGACACTGAGTACATGAGGGCGTGTCTGTAAGATGTGCTTGATCCTGTCTAAATAAATACCATAGGTTGCAGAGTGTTTTTGAATTAGAACTTGATCTGCGTATATGGTAGCCGAGATAGCTAGACACAAATCTTTCTAATTAAATATTTGTTTGGTGGGATAGTACCTGTGGTAAATACTTACATTAAGTGGCAGTTTGAGAAGAAAAATTTAACAAAATTCTATTCATGTGGAGCACCATCATTTCACAGATTAGAACATTAACTAACATGAGATTGCCTTGGAACACACAGCAGTTGGCATGCACACTGCAAATGCATCATGATATTTTAAACATAAATGTTTAGCTTATCACATCTCAAGTGTTTGTTCTTCATAGATACAGGCAGAGGACTGCAGACTCTCAAAACAGTAAAGGTCAGTTGTAACATTTAGTTTGCAACATTTATCAAATTGCATTTGAATAGTTAATCATTTTGACCATTAAAGTTTTGTTGACAAAGGCTGCTAGCAATAACAAAATGTATTTCCACTATTGGTTAATAAAGGACACCTCATGAGACTGGTCTGGTGATTCAGAAATAATAAAATATTTAATAACATTAAGTTTTGGATCACCAATTTTCAGCCTGTTTGCATTTAATAATGCACTTTCATTTCTACATTTCAGCCTGGCCAGCTGCTTATATCTTTGCCCCAAGCATGTCTCCTGACAACGACTACTGTTCTCAACAGCTATTTGGGGCCTCTGATAAAAGGGTAATGGATCACACATCATGTATGCTCTGTTGAATGATTTTTTTATTTTTTTTGATACACAATATGTTCTGAATGTGGCTTTTTCTTAACAGGTGGATGCCCCACCCCTCCCCTCTCCTGGTGCTATGTGTGTTCCTGGTGTTGGAGCGGCATAGAGTTCCACTCTCTGAGTGGTATCCATATATTGATGTGCTGCCCACAACTTACACCTGCCCTGTCTACTTTGCTGATGATGTTATTGCACTTTTACCAAAGGTTGTTCAGAGACATGCTTTAGAGCAGAGAGCATCTGTACAAGAACTACACTCTTCAAATCAAGACTTTTTCCGGTAGGCTTAAGCTTAAGCTTAAAAGCTAATGTTCCATTGAACTACTACATAACAAACTAGTCAAACTGCAATTGCACCTTGCTACATGTGGCCATGTAGCTTGTCAAAACCTGATCCTGTCATATCTCAGAAGCTAAGCAAGGCTGGGCCTGGGTAGTACTTGGTTGGGAGACCACAGGGAAAATCAGGTGCCACAGTGGGGCGCCAGTCACAAAAATTGTCGTTGTGTCCTTAGGCAAGATGCTTCACTCACATTGCGTAGTATGGAAGTAGTGTGTGCATAGTGGTGGTCAGAGAGGCCGGTGGCGCAGAATGGCAGCCTTGCTCCTGTCAGTCTGCCCCAGGGCAGCTATGGCTATAATATTAGTTTACCACCACTGAGTGTGGAGTAAATGAATAATGCTCTGTAAAGCGTCTTTGAGTGTCCAGAAAAGTGCTATATAAAATGGGTATATAGGTAAATTGGTATAACAGTCAATTTCATGATGATGAGGGTAAGTGCCTTTTTTTTCTTCAGGTGGCTGCAGCCTCTTGTGATTGAGCCAGTGGAGGAGGTGTTTACATATGAAGCTTTGAGGTGCATGTTACAGTAGCACACATTATTATTTACATCATCAGTCAGCAGCTTTTTACACAATCTCCTAACCTCTCCCACTAACCTCATGCACTAGGTGGGCCTGGTGTACTGTCAACACTCGCTCAGTGTTCATGGCTCACTCACCCAGCCAGTTCCTCTCTGGGCAGGATGTATGCGCTCTAGCACCCTTTCTTGACCTGCTCAACCATCGCCCTGATGTTCAGGTAACTTAAATAAAAACCTTCAGAAGGAAACAAGGAAGAATATTACATTAATTCTCAATTGCTTTTTAGGTCTCAGCTAATTTCAACAGTGACACAAGATGTTATGAAATCCATAGTGTTTCTGGCATTGACCGGTATCAACAGGCCTTCATCAACTATGGCAGCCATGATAACCAGCGCCTCCTGGTGGAGTATGGTTTTGTAGCAACTAATAACCCCCACAGCGTTGTGTATTTGGACAAGGGTAAAGAAGAAAGAAGTGATTGGTTTAGATAACTTTTCCTCTTTTAACGATTTTACCCTTTTCTACTCAGACATTCTATGTAAAGTTTTACAAGGAGACAGCAATTTGCAACAAAAGATTAAATTCCTCAGTCAAAACGAACTTCTTAGGTAAACCTTTTAAGTATGTTGGTAAGATTTTGGATCATTTAAACATTGTGTTCACGCTTGCTTGCAGTAACCTAACACTCTCCAGTGAAGGTCCAGGATGGAGGCTCCAGACTGTGGTTCGAGTTCTGTCTCTACCGCAAACACAGTTGTAAGGACACAACCCTCACACCTTTATTACATGTTTGTTGCCTTTACTGTAGCCCTCACCACATTGCATATGTATTTGAAAACCTTTATCTAGCTCTATAAAAGCAGTAATTGATTCTGTTTCAAACATTCATGACCAACTACCCGTTTAAGGATTTGAATTCAGCAACAGTATGTGCCATTACAAACAGGTTTTGGCAAGTACTGATGTGAACGCAGTTGTATTTATGCTGAAAATGCATTTTGCTGATCATGTTCTTAACATAATGCTCTGTCAGTGGTCTTTGGAAGGCTGTGCTGCTTGGACAGAGACTTTGTGAGGAGAAGGAAAGGTGGTGCACCCAAACCATTCGAACTCTGTGTGTCCATAGACTGCAGGACACTGACACAGCTCTGGAAAAGGTGGAACTTCATGCCTTCACTCCCCACAGAGCCAAGTTTATATCTGGGTATAAAGTAATGCTCTACTAACTGCTGTCTTGATGTGCCTGTCCAGATCTCCAAGCTGCAGCAGCAATGTGACGCATCTGTGACTGAACAATTGGATGTTGTCATGGCTTTACGGCAAGAGGAGAGGATAATTCTGGGAAAGTGTCTTGAAATACTTACTGATTCATGACCTTTTTTTCATCATGAGATTTTTAAACTCTTATAACATCTGACTCTTATAAAAAGCAAAATGTTTAAAAAGTTATCTGATGAAGATGATGAAGTTTTATCTCTGAAGCAGTGAATATTTTGAAGGTACACATTCAAGAAAGTCACCAGAAGATATGGACGTGTTGAAATATTGAAATATAATATGGCAGTCATGTCTCAGGAGAATAGATGTTAATATTAATGCTGATACTGAGATGTACAAAATGTATTTATTTTAATTATGTAAATGGCAGGAAGAATGTCAACAAAAAAACTGCTCTGAAGATTTGCAAACTTTTTTATTTACATCTCTAATGCCACATTTTAGTGCAGGACATGCAGCCCCTATAAAAGTGTAAAATTAGTCCTCAGCTGTGAGTTTCACCACAGCCTTTCTCTTTGGATGATGCTGGATGTTTTCCATGGCAACAGTGGCTTCGTACAGTGGTAATGCCTCTTCTGGCTGCGGTCTGGAAAGAAATGACAGAAATAGACTGTGAGCTGTAGTCTAATCTGGACCAATTTTTGTCTTGCTGAATTGGCCGAAATTATCAGAGAGAGCATGTTTTTTAGTGCAAATTTAAGTATTTCTACCACTATTACCTCAATAACATCTAATGGCAAAGTTTTATAAAGATGTGGTGTAAATGTTATTTTAAAATTATGACACTGTATTTGATCCATATTTTAAATTGAAAAGAGTATGTTTTAGCAGTATTTGGTCAAATAACACAATAAACTTCTACAATACGCACAACTGTAAACTACAGCTGTGATTCTGCAACATAAAATAATTAGCACATCTATTTTGTTTTGCTGTGGAGGTTCCAAGTGGGTTGCGTGATTATTCTGGGGGTCCGGCCTATATGATACTACTAGCATACTATTTACAGTACATTTGAAAGGGTAGTGGTGATGGTAATGCATCACAAGTTATTTGCATTAAACACAAGTTTAACATTTGTCAACACATACCTCAGTACTCCTGTAGACATTTTATCTACAATGTCCTTGAGAATGTCTGATGTCAAATTTATAGGAATCAGTCAATGGGACAAAACACACACAAACAAAGAGTCAACAACTGTCTAGGATACGCAAATATCTTCCATGTTGAGCAGATGAAGCAGTCCAAACTTCAGGGTTTAGAAATGACACAGAGGCTGACTTCAGATGAAGGTAACTGCAGTCTGGAGGGTCCAACTATGGCAAAGAATTAGACTCTTATTATAGACCCAAACCAGCGTACAACAAAATCAATGTATTTTTAGTTTCATACTTGCAAGTGTGGGTGAGAGGTGACCCAGTGGCCTCCAACAGCAAGCACATCAATTAGGTCATGTTTGTGGGGGACAAAATCTGCTTCTTCTTCTTCCTTGTGAAGATGCACTGTTAATGGATTAAAAGAAACTTAACAATTGTTGCAACATACTAATAAAGACACATATAATGAGTTCATGTTAAAGGAAAAAAAACTGAAATAAACTACCTCCAGAGTCTATGACTATATCCACACCTAGATCACCAGTTTCTTCCAGGACTGCAGGCACAAGATTTGAGATTTGGCCCTTGTAGACTGGAATCACCCTGGCTATAAATCAACTCTTAAATTAGATTATTTTAATCAAAAGGTCACAGTTATATTATTTATAAAGAACCACAAGTGAATGCTTAAAACATAAGTGCAAAGCCATACCTACAATAGGATCCTGAACACCTACAAACAGGTCAGAAAGGTTAAAAGATGAAAGAAAAAGCTCAGTGAAGTTTACAAATAATGAGTTATTGATGGCTCACAAAAAAGCTTAAGAAAAACAAACAAAAAAACATAATAAACAGACCTACAGTTGGTCGAAGCTGTTCCAGGAAGGTGTGGTCTTGTGAGGAATGTGAAGTGGTCAAGACCTTCAGCCCATGGTACCAGGCCAGCTGGATGCACATGAGGCCAAACGACTGTCAGGGAGAAAGGTCTTGTCACAGACATTAATTGACACCACAATCAAAGAGTAAAAGAGTTCCCTACATTGGCTCCATCCACCACCAAGACACTGTGTCTGTCTGCCATGTGAGCCAGAGTGTGCAGAGCAGTGTAAGCAGCCACAGCATCGCGCAGGGCTGCAGCCACAGTGACCCGACTCAGCTGCACTGGTTTATGGACTAGGAGACAAAATAAACAATAGAATAATGGTCCACATGTGGATTAGTGCTGAGTAAAATTATATATATATATATATATATATATATATATATATATATATATATATATATATATAATATAATATAATATAATATAATATAATATATATATATATATATATATATATATATATATATATATATATATATATATAATATAATATATATATATATATTGTTTTTCAGATTAAGAATATAATCCCATTGTGATTATTGCTGTTGAAGCAATAAAAAGTAATCTTCTTAACCTCTGGATTTGATTTGTTGATCAGTTTAACTCTGGCAAGCGTAATCACCTAAATAATGTTCATCAATATCAATGACTCCACAGAGCCCCGAGAAAGGACAATCTAGAGGGAGAATTCCTGTAAATCATAAAAAAGAATTGATTAAAGAAACTTAAATCTCTTTAAAAAGACTAAGTAAATCAAAAATTACTCCACCTACAACCTCCTCGTCCGGCTGGAATAGAGACACCTTGGACCCCACTGTAAAGAGACCAGTTACACTTGTGTCATGAACTGTGAAATGATTTTTGGAAGTTTTACCTTGTTTAACAACTCCAACGACCTCTCGACCAACAGATATCAAATCTCGTTCAATCTTCATCTCCCTGAGCAGCTACAGCACAGCACAGATGAAACACACTATTGTATCTGTGAGTTGATTATGGATGGAGCTGCTGCTACCTGGAGGTCCACGCTGCTTAGTCCACACACCTTGACTTCAACACGGACCTGATGACTGCTCAAGACCTCTGGAAGTCTCTGGAAGACACAGCAATACGGTCTCTTAAATTGTGTATGAAACAAATGGACCTTTTAAAATGAAAGGTTTTTGAAATGTATAGGCAATACGCCCCTATAAAACCCTGCAAGCGTATTCTGTATTCAGTAGGCGGTCAAAAGGATCAGGGCAGCACCATAGATCCATGGACAGCATCTAGATGATAATAATAATAACCCGTTTGCCTTAGACACTATAGCTACACTCATAGACTACGGTTGCTACAGCATATAGCATTTGTTATGCAATTAAAGCATTAGATTGTGTCAGCTAAAGACAATGAGGTAATAAATAAAAACATAACTCACCGTCTCCTGAATCATGAACTGGAGTTCCCCATCACGCCCAGTCGCTCGACAATACAAACCTTTCATTCTTAGCCTACAATCAAAGGAATGTGTTATTTTAGGTGGTTTGCTTTCCAGATTCGACTTCTTCCTCTTTTTATGTTATTTTCGTTATCATCTTCTTCTTCAAGAGCAGTTTAGTCAGGCTGGACTCAAACAAACGCATTGCTGCCGCTCACTGGTGGTTGGTGGCACTGGCTTCGGGAGAGATCACATGAGATCAAAGTGCATACTCTTCTACTGATGCATGGTAGCAAAGGTTCAGAATAAGACTTCTGAATGGGAAAAATATTGACTTTATAAATTATTCACCTGTACAGGGTTTTCAAAATGTATAACATTTTGTCCAGGTCAATCCTTTGCTTTATGCCATAGACTGTGTATTATACAGGCTATGCTTTCAGACCAGTGGCTCTCAAATATATTTGGTTTTGAGCAGAGACTGTGTGGTTCTGAGTACCAAACTTGGTCTAACCGGATTATTTCAGGTGTAAATTAGCGATATTTTTTATTTTTTTTCTATTTTATGTTTTGCTCCACAGAAATACATCAATATCATACGTATGTACAAATTAAATGCGTGTATTTGTCACATCCTTCAAAGGCTTTTATCCTCTCGCGAGATTTATGTAAATTGATAAATATGGCGTAAGGTCTCGCGATAGATAGCAGCTGTACCCCATTTTCCAACTGTCCCTCTGTCGGTGAGAGTTTTGATATTCAAGGAAAACCTCAACAGGGGTTTAAAATACAGTGTGAACATCTGGAAGAATATACTGAATTATATAATTCACTAGATAAGCTCTTCGGCTCAGTGTTTGTAAATGAAAACTAAAATATGAGGTAAGTACATTGCATAGTACGGATGCTGTAAAAGATTGTCCTGGGTGTCGTTAGCTTCTCACGGTTTAGCCTGCTTGCTAGCTGTACTGGTTAGGAAATGTATCGGACGAACATAATACAATATGTAATCCTGTGTTTGCTTGTGATTTGTTTGTTTTGGGTGCTTATATGTATCTGATTTCGGTTTCTGAAGTGTGTATGTAAAAGCTATGTACTGACATGTTGATCACTCTTGGCTTTGCTGCCAGTTAGCCAGTATGCTAATGTTAAATCACTGCAACTCTGCTTCACCCTCTGCATCCCGGGGTGGTTTGTTTGTAATTTCACTAATTTGTCCCATTTAGTCGCCTACAGGTTTTTACATAACGAATTACTTTTAAACTTTAAAATATGTCGACCACCAAAAGAGGTTCTGCTTTGCTACATTTGCCTTTAAATATGGCGACCTAATTTTTTTGAATCCATAAATTCATTTTGATGGATGTTTGGCACAAAACAGAGAGTTCCAAAGTCCTTTGTGTTTGAGAGTTCGTGCATGATTTGCTCCACAGTTATCCCTTGAAAACCATATCCAATTGATAAACTGAACACTTCAGTTCTTCAGTTTAGTATGTATTTATTTACTTAGTATGTTTTTTTCACTTCTCTATTCCTTTTGTGTGTGTTTTTTTTAGTGCAGGAAGTGAATAAGAGGTAAAGCGCGTTCACTTCTTTTTTTCTAACCACTAGACCAGGGTCTTGCCGTTTTCCTGCTGCTCAAGAGCCTTCTCAATAAAGAGTGTTACAAAATTTTCCATTTACATGTGATTAATAATATGTAATTTAAAAAGAATAGACAGAACTGAATTATTTCCCAGAAAGAAATCGGGCTGAAACAAAAAAACTGATTAATTACAAGTAATGTAATAAAAAATATTAGTTAACTAGTACAGCAGATGAAAATTGATTAAATTTGGTGATCATAATAATAAGTAATAATTGTTATAAGGACTAAAAACAGACTAAAGCATGTGATTTGATGAGACGTTTTTATGACTCAGACTAAGCAGGAATTAAGCAACACTGGGAGAAAAAAGTAAATTTAGTGTTTTCCTGTCCTCAAGTGTTACTCAATAGCTGTGTCTCTATTAAAATGGTTTTGATGATATGGAAATCTTTAATCTGTGATTGTTTATTATCAGCAATCAAACTATTCTGGCATTGTCAAATTAGGCATCGTTTGTTAAGGGATGATTCAGTCAATTAGGGTAAATCCTGCTTGTGCCTCTGTTGTGGCTGAGTGTCTCAGAATGTTTAACAGTTGTGTTACATTATAAATGTTTACAGTTACACTCGCAGGCAGGGCTTGTACACATACAGTCACATTGGGTGCTTCCTTGGTGTTTTAAGTTGTGTGTATAAAGCCTACTCCTTCTGATTAAGCACTTACTACTCATGTAATGTGATAAATGATATGTCAAGTTCTTAAATACTTAGGTCGCAGGGCAGTTTAGCAGTTTTATTGAAAGACGTAAAAAATCTTTAAAGTGAACAACAGTTTGTGAAAGATGTCAAAGGAAAAGGGGATTTTGTCACAGAAATACATTCTATAACTCAAACTTATTATCTATCATTATTTTTAGTGAGTGAGAGTGAATACTGAGCGAATGGGCTCTGAAATGGTATGTGAATGTATTAACCTGAAGTGACCTTGTTACACCCTGCAGTGGGTGTTGATCCTTGAGGAGAAGCTGATTCTTTCTTACCTTCTTTATAGAGTCCTTGGTCTTACCTTCTTTACACAGTCTATGGTCTTACTTCTGTGTTGCAGGTGTTCTCTCACAGCCCAGGACTGAGTGAAACATGGCACAGTTCCCCACTACATTCACAGGTCAGGCACAGCATAAACCATTTGTGGATTTGTAAGCTAATAACAGTTATGTGTCTTACATAGGATTGTAAAAAGCAAGTGGAAAGATTTGGTTTACTACATGGAAAATCTGATACTGGACTGCTACTACTTATAGTATAAAATATTGCTTAAAAATGTGGAATGCTTACAACAACAAAAAATTATTGAAAGCAAGAAGGTTATATTGAGATTTATGTATTCTATTTATTAACCTGTATTTAAACAATAAAAAACACCCACTGAGATTGAAATCTGTTTTTCAAGGGTGACAAAGTGTAACTTTTTACACATTTGACCTAAAATAGAAATGGTATAAATGCACATGGAATACACTGTAGAATAGAGACAATGTTCACAGGATTCTCGCTCTCTTAAAAAAGCAGCTCACAAAGCTTCAGTTCAGATTGAAAGGCATTTTTAGTTGCAGGAGCAGCATAGCTGAACGTCCCAGTCAGTCTGCACTCGAGGGACAGAGACAGTAAATGTCACATGAGCACAGGGCATAGTGGCCTTTAGCTCTCTGGACCAGGGGGCACAGATAGGTGCACAACCACAAATAGTCTTCAAGACTATTATAGCCAGTCAGCCCTGGCATACAGTTCACAGTGATGGGTAGGTCGACCACCGCCAGTCATGAAGATGTTGGTCAACAAAAGAACACTTGTTCACTGACCAATCACACAGCATTTACTGTGTCATTGGCCTGAAGCTGCAAAGGGAAAAGGGTGACACTCCTTGGTGGAGGTTTGGTGAATGTGGCACTCACAAGTCCCCATGCTTAGACTCAAAGTCAAATCAAAATACAGGTTGAGGGAACCAGAAAGGCAAATTCAGATTCCGTCAAACTGTATTTTACAGTGTATTTTTTATTTTTTTTATTTTACAGGTCCAGATGTGTATCTGATCTCAGTGGATGAGAGAGCCAAACATGATCAGCAGTTTCACAGCCTCTCTCCCAACGCTGGAGGTTACATTACAGGTACAATTCAAACATAAACTCAAGGACAGGACAGGCGTTGTTACAAGACATCAGAGATTTGAGGTTGAGTTGTGCATAACCCCAAGCTATCAGGGTTTTGCGCATAAAACCTCAACATGCTCCTGCATGTATCGTAATACCAACTGTGCATCAACCCCTGAGACCAGCTAGCTGCAGCTGCCAACAGCAGTACTACCACTGTAGGCACAACCTGCTATTGCCCTTATATTGTACTGTGCTGTGCTACTGACACAGTTGGCTAACTGACTATATTTACAACTGCAATTTTAAATGAGGGCTATTAAATGCATCTTCTGTCCCTCTGTGAAGTATAATATCACTTGTTATCTAAGACTATCTTCCAGCCAAGTTACATCTTTAATTTACATTCAAATTAACTCCTTCACAATATACTTTTAAACAATAAAATGTCAGTATATTGGCAACTCCTTAATCATATCTTTATGTTCTTAAGGTATTGTCTGCCTTGCCTTTTGTCTTGTACTAAATACATTATGCAGTTGTATAGTTTGAACCTTTAGCTATGTATAACAGTGCACCCTCATCATTCTCATAATTAGAGACTTATATTAATTGATTCCTGCATGTTTGAGTAATTTAGCATTTTCCTGCATTCAAGGCTTGAATTTGATTTTCATCTACCCAAATTACACCACTTGCACTTCAAAAAAGGCAGACTCTACAAAAATCAAAATTGTCATGTAAACAAATATTATTATATTTGTTTTTAAATTTTTACTTTAGGAGATCAGGCCAGGAACTTTTTTCTCCAGTCAGGACTCCCTCCTCCTGTCCTGGCCCAAATCTGGTAAGTGAAAGCACTTTTAGAAGCCCAATGGAAAACCTTGAACCTGCATTTTTACTGTGAGTGGGATCACCCCCCCACCAGAAAAGTTACAATATATTTAAACATTAGTGCCTGCTCGTAATCTTCCAGCACCTCAGTAATGGTAAAATATGGAAATATAAGACATCATTTTGTGTTATTGTCTTCATTTATCTTTCTCTCTTGTTCTTTAGGGCTTTAGCCGACATGAACAGTGATGGCCGCATGGATATTCATGAGTTTTCCATTGCTATGAAACTCATCAAGCTAAAACTTCAAGGTCATCCCCTACCCCCCGCACTGCCTCCAAGTATGAAACAGCCCCCTCTGCCCTTACCTCCACCACCTGCCTTTGGTGAGTGCCCAGTAATATGTTTCAGCAGCACACAGAGTCTCACAAATTTTTCAGAATTTCAGATTTGCAATTCGCATCACTTTTCAGGTACATATGATGCATGACATGAATTCCACCTCATTCACCAAAGCATCAGATAGCAGTGTTGATCTTTGCTTTGTTATAGATTAAGCTTCTTATGCTTAATTAACCCAACACTGTTTTCTGCAGGTTTGCCTCCCATAGCTCCAATCCCTGCTCCCATACCTGTTGTCCCTCCCCTCCCACTGCCCCCTCTACCTGTTGGCGTATCACCCCCACTTGTCTCAACCGCTCAACCTCCGTTAACCCAGCCTATCGCCAATGGTGCCCCTCCTACAGCAATCATGCAGCCCATCACTGGCTTCTCCCACACAGGTAAGAATCTGCAGTGTTTTATTATTTTAAAAATGAAGTTAGGCTAGCAGCACACACAGTTATGTAAATCGTGGCATTCTGTGGCTATTTTCTGTGTTTCTGCCTTTTTAAATTGATAGCAGTCAGAGACAGAGCATTTCCTTTGACCCCTGCATATTTTTCTGTGGGCAGGAGTTGTACACTGTCCATGCTCTATGAGTCTGACACACTCCTTAATTTTTTCTCTCCATAACGCAACAAAGCGCTCCATATACTCTGTTGGTTATTGGTAACCTAGTGCTGCTTGCTGACATGACTCTTGTGCTGGCTGAAGGACAGGTCATTTAAGTAAGACCCTATTATAGCTGACTAAGAATAAAAAATACTTATTTATGTTTAGTCTTCCTCTGCTTCGGCCCTAAGTATAGAGTTTATAACTCAGTCTCTCAAAATTTATTTAAAATTGTTGACCTGAGGAGTCGGTGCACGGTATATTATTGGATTAATTGCCCACAGCCTTTTTCAGTTGAAGAATATGTTTCTTCCAGCTCCCGCTGTCAACAAATCTTCTTCCTTCAATCGATCCAGTACCAAATTACAGAAAGGGCCATCTTTTGACACTACCAGGTAACATTTGTTTTGTTATCCAAACACCGCAACATAAAGTAAATGTTAACATTGGTAACCTTTGTCTGCTTTACAGTAGTCAGGTCCACTCTGTTCCATCAGACTGGGCTGTCCCTCAGTCGTCGAGGCTCAAGTATCGGCAACTCTTTAATTCACATGACAAGATGATGAGTGGACATCTCACAGGTGAACAGACTAAGACATTTTGTTATATGTTTTATGTGCTGTTTTTTTAAACTGACTTCAGGGAGATTTGGTGTGTGTTTGTGGCTTTTGGTTGATGACCCTTATTTGAGCACAATTGCCCCTTTAAGCCCCTTCTAAAAAGTGTGGTAAAGTCATAACACGTATAATGATAAATGAAGAACTTGCATAATAACTTAACATAACATAACTTACAACTTACATAATCATATTTGCCTTCCAGGACCTCAGGCACGCACAATTCTCATGCAGTCCAGTCTTCCTCAAAGCCAGCTTGCTACAATATGGTTTGTTAACTCAATCATCTAAATGTTTGATTTATTAGTGTTTGGCTTATTGTTAATATTAATTCCCTTTTAGGAGTTTGTCAGATATTGATCAGGATGGGAAACTAACTGCTGAGGAGTTCATTTTGGCTATGCACCTCATTGATATGGCCATGTCTGGTGTCCCGCTGCCTCCAGTGTTACCTCCAGAATACCTCCCCCCTACTTTTCGGTACTGAAACACACAAGTCATACAGTTTTCGGCATATTGTTGTTGAGGTTAGTTTGAGTAATTTAAGTTCTCTATAATGTCTTGTAGGCGTGTTCGCAGTGACAGTGTGCAGTCTGACCAGAAGGCTGTCCCAGAAGAAGCTGAAGAGGAAGCAGACAGCAACCAGGACAAGAAACTGCCTGGTATGTTCATATAACCTTTTTCTATTAATATTTTAAAACAATGGCATGACCCATTCATAGTTACTGGAATACTTATTACGTATTTTCTAATCTGTCCTTAAGAGAAGGCTTGTCGTATGAGGAGTTACTTTTTCTCTAGTTGGAGTTTATTGCTTGTGTATTAGTTTAGTTGTATCTTTGTTGCTTTGTGTCTTCCAGTGACATTTGAAGACAAGAAAAGAGAGAATTTTGAGCGAGGGAATCTGGAACTGGAGAAGCGGCGGCAGGCTCTCCAGGAACAGCAGAGGAAAGAGCAGGAGCGACTGGCTGCTCTGGAACGGGAGGAGCAGGAGCGAAAGGTACATTGTTTAAAACACTTTTTGGTCTGAACAGACTTTCACACACTTAACTAATCGCATGTGTCAACCCAAGGAACGCGAGCGCCTGGAGCAGGAGCGGCGAAGGCAGCAGGAGCTGGAGAAGCAGCTAGAAAAACAGAGGGAGCTGGAGAGGCAGAGAGAAGAGGAGCGGCGCAAAGAAATTGAAAGAAGAGAGGTACAGTTGATTCACATTTAAATGGAAATTGTGTCAGGAATGTTTTATCACCATACCAACTTTTATTACTGTTTCATGAAATGAAATTTATGTTCTGAATGACAATTTTGCTTACCAGATGCCATACACTTTGACAGAAGCTTGGCTTTAGATGTGATATTGTCTTTTTACTAACTTACCAATTTGAATTGTATTCATATAAAGGCTGCTAAAAGGGAGTTGGAGCGTCAGCGTCAGTTGGAATGGGAGCGGCAGCGACGCCAGGAGCTTTTAACTCAAAGAAATCGAGAGCAAGAGAGTATAGTTCTGCTCAAAGCCAGGAAGAAGACTTTGGAGTTTGAACTTGAAGCACTGGTAATTTTGTTCACATCATTTCTTATCTCAAGCTACTTTTGCTAGCATGACTTATCCATACATTTCTCTTATGGGCACAAGGGGTGAGATCTGATCATGCTAATTTGGTTTGACAGATCCTTCTGTTATAACCAAAATTCAGTCTACACTCACTGTTATAGCTCTGCTTGTGTTATAAAGATAGCCCACCTTTGATGCTGTGCAAATTTTGTAACAATCACATTGTCTGTATAGTCATCAAATAGAGCAGGATCACCCTGTTGTAGATGGTGCAAAAAGAGTCAGGGGTAATCTAATAACCTATTTCTTTTGTTTTCAACCAACAAAAAACTATTTTCAGAATGACAAAAAAACACAGCTTGAAGGAAAACTGAAGGATGTCCGTTTTCGACTGTCAACTCAGCGGAGAGAGGTGGAGCAGACCAATCAGTCAAGAGAGACACGTATTGCAGAGATCACCTCACTGCAACAACAGCTTCAGGTTCAAACACTCACAAACCACAAGTGCCAACTCCTTCCTTCACCTTAAACAACATTTTTTAGACAAGTTATATATTTCTATAAAGCTCATATTTGTTGTGTTGTCTTACTTCCCATGTTTACACTGGGTGACTCAAAACACAAGCTCATCTGCTGCAAATACTAATTTGAATACTTAAATACTTATTTGAATTGAATTTGAATAATGACCTAATGAATGAATCATAGTCTTCTCATTGTGCCTCTCAGGCCCTGCTTGAATATTCGATGTGTTTTACAGGACTCACAGCAGTGGCTGGGGAGGCTTATACCTGACAAACAGACTCTGAATGAGCAGCTGAAGCAAGTCCAGCAGAACAGCCTGCAGCGTGAGTATTGTTATGGGCAATCTTTAGCTAGTAAAAAAAATAGGTGTGTAATTCACTGTAAATGTTTAATATCAGGGTGCTGACACGAAATGCCTAAGCAATATACACATGCAGAAAACAAAAACATGCAGTAATCTAACCGTATATGTAGATAAATAGATAGATGAATAGATAAACCATGTGCAATAATTTGGAATGACCCTTTCAATAGGTATTAATGGGAAAGGGAAGTGCAAAAAGACATGGGAAACAAAGACATTTCATCCTAGAAAAGGCAGTGATCAGGTGGCCTGAACAGAAAGATTCCTGACAGAGGCAAGAAAATAATTATCTGATGAATTGTCCAAAATGTTGTGACTGTAGCACATTTAGAAATATATTTTCTGGTTAAATTGTCAGATTTACAATCCATATGGTGCGGTGGGGAATGTATTTTGAGTATGTGACTTGCAGACTGCCTGTTACGCAAACTAAGGTGTACTGTAGTTTGTATTTGATCAACGCAGTGTAGGTTCACATTATTTTGTTGTATTTATAGGGGACAGTCTTTCATCACTGCAGAAAGCCTTGGAACAGAAGGAAATCAGTCGGCAGCAGCTCAGAGAGCAGCTGGACTCTGTGGAAAGAGAAACCAGGGCCAAACTTCTGGAGATAGATGCATTTAACACTCAGCTCAAGGTAAATGTGTCCTCCACGCACACGTCTGTGAGAAAAAATCAGCTAACTGCTTTTTCTGCAAATAAAACCGTGCATGGAACATAAAAATGCACTGAAGCTTAATTCTGGTTCTTTGAGAAAGTTTGCAGTCTTGGGTTGGGCTGGACCTACAGATGAAGGGAAGGGTTTGGGTCCAGGTGGCGTTTGGACAATAGGTGTGTCAGATTTTTTTGGGCTCGATCTTAACATTAATGGGCTATAGTTAACAGTTTTCACTAATGTTTGTTTTCAGGAAGTTTTACCTAAAGCTGCTCCCTTCCTCACAGTGGCCATGCACATATGAGCTGTGTTGTATGAGTATGATGGGCTGGAAGGCACAGCTTTGTAATGGGTTCTGAGTCCGAAGACTCAGACAGTTATGTGTGTATAAGTGCATATATACAGCTCTGAGACAGCTCTGAGAGAAGTGGCCTCTTGCTGAGAACTAGATTTAGATTTTCTGCTCTGTGACGATGGGTAGGGCGGCCTTGGAGGAAAAGGACAAAATGTAGATTATTTTTATGTCACAGTATCCACCAAATTGTAAAAAATTGTGACTTTGAAGAAAAAAAAAAGTCCACCATCAGTGTGTTTGTACCATTCATGGACATAACCTAAATAACATGCATAACATGCACTATGCTTTGAATATTGACTGTGTTTCTGTAAGTCATTCCCATTTAACAGTTGAGGATGGAGAGTCACACTAGTGAAGAATGCACGCCCAAGACTAAGCTTATTCTAATTTCTGCAAATACCTCACACTTATTTTTTCTGAACATCGGCATTGTTAGGGAAAAATTAGTATTGTCCTGACGAGTCCTAGTGTTGTACAGAGAGACAGGAGACTCTGTAGTCTGTAGCTGGAAAAGTTTATTTACCATTAGTCCAGGACCTGGTGAACTTGAATACTCAACACTACGCGTTAGTATTGGCTATTCAAGCCACACAAGGAGGTTTAAATAGGAACTAAGAAGGACATCTTGGAGACAAGCTAGTCGAGATGAAATGAGAAGAGCACAGTGTACCACTTCTGTGAGGAGTTGACCAAGGAGACTGATCATTTTAAAGAAGGACGCATTCTGTAATAGTTGGGTGATGCCAGAGCTAACCACAGAGAAATGCCAACAATGAAATGGAAGTGTGCTTGCTAAGACAAGGGGATATCAAATTCCACTACAGGCATACATTTTAGACAAAGACTACCAGTGGAAATGCTATAAAGTTCTGTTTCAAGAACTATTAATTTACTTTCTAGACTTGCAAAAAAAAGGTTTAAATCTGATGCGATACATAGTATTTGATACATAATATGATAATTTAACCTTATAGTTATACTAGCTATAATATAGTGTTCAAGCTACACTTCACCTGTGACGGGCGATCAGGGGAGGCCAAAAACTGCTCAAAGTTAATATGGCTAAATTAATACGTGATATCTTTTATTACTAAGTTATTTGTCTTATTAAGGTAGTTTCCTGTCATTTACTAGTACTATTACACACACAGACATAGCTGTAATATAAAGAAAATCAGGGTGGAAGCTTGCCTCACACGCATTGCCACATATGCAATAAATGCTGTATTCAGCATATTTTCTCTCTACTTCTCTTGAAAACAAATTATTATTTTGTTTAAAATGTAATATAATATCTGGCATAATTCAGACTGCTACTCTGTGAATGTTACTGCACTAATCACCAATATTTAAATTGAATTTATTTTTATTTTTGAATTAAATTTATCATCTGCATTATTGATACAGTATCATACAACAAACAATGAATGACAATTTGTGTTTTGTCTCAGCCCTGGATGTCTGTCTAATATTAAAAGTGATCTAAATATAAAAAAATGGCATTATTGCAAAAAATCTCTAAATCTCTAACCCATATTATATTTTTGTTCAACAAGTGAATGAATGAACCATTTCTTTTATTCTCACTTATCCCTTTTCTCCCTGAGCCATTTGCTCTTTTGCTTATACCAGTCTCTCTGTGAGTTCTATGCCAACCACTGTGCCAGGATAGAAGCCCTGCGTCGCCAGCTTGGGGACGATCAGAGAGGCAGACAGGTAGCGCACACTGCCACTGCTGGCCTGGGGTTGTACTGCACTGACATAATCTTCACAGGCCAGTCACAGCTCAAAGCCAATGTAGTTTTCTTGTGATCGCAGTCAGCTTTTAGCCATCTGATGTGTCAAACCACTAACCTGCTAATGTATGCTTGTATCGCTGGCTATTTGTTGTGTCACTGTGTGCCTCATTGTGCTAGATGGACTGCAGACATTTAATCCTTATATAATATAATAACCTATAATAACTTTTTCTGTCACTCTTTTACTAACAAAGGCTATGTAAAGAGTGTATCTCTAATAAAAACATGGGTGCAGATTTTTGTGTTCAAAATGCTGGGCGACGTGTGAGACTTTTGAAACTGCTTACCACAGCAGTCCTGTTCCATATGCATATTGTCAGTATGTATTCATAAACAGGTAATTGTACGCCACAGTTCAAACTCTTATTGCTACAAAGTTTCTCTTGTTTTACATTTTCTAGTAAATATACTTAAGATAATGAGGAGTGTAGTGGTGCACTGCAGTCTTTTCTCTGTGTCTCCATTTTTCTGTGTTTGAGCTGGTTTAGGGTTCTCATATTATTCACCTTGTTCTCTGCTCTGGTATGATTATTGGATTTCTTATAGAAAAGGTTTGCTAAATGATAGTGTTGACCATTTTGCCCTCTTCAGAGCCATGACATATAAAATTATCAAGCCTTTGTTGCTCAGGCTAGTAGAACTGAAGGTACATCGATGCGTTTGAGTTCCCCGCTAGTGTCAAGAAACGATTCACATTAACACTGTACCCAAAAATATATTCTTTGGACTCATCCATTGGTCAATGAGTCAATGTACAAGTTATCATGACAGGCCTATTCATACATCATTTCTTTTCCCATCATCAGGGCTAACAGTCAAATAAACTGACTGTGCTCAGACTGCAAGCTTTGTGAATAATGAATGTTTGGGCTGTCCAGTCCAGTAACAGAAGGAGGACATGGGGAACCCTGCAGTTTTCTTCTATGCATGCTCAGGCCTCTTTAAGCAGAGCTACAGAAGGAAAAGAGCTGTGAATCTATCTTGGTTGCACTTCATGTTTCTGTGAGTGGGATGATCTGTAGATAGGTGTGTCTTGTGTGTTAGAGGGGCGTTTTGGTGGTGGGTAGTACTTTCATTAATAATGTTAATATCTTTTGACACTTGGAACTGCATTTGTCTGACATGAATTTTAGTGTTAAAGTCTGCAGTTTAAGTGTTTTTACCCCTCAAACACCTTTCAAAATTCATATTGAAACCAACATCCCCAACTAGTAGTAAAAAGGTTTCATCTGAACAATGTTTTTCAAATCAAGACTGCCATGCGGAAATTACTTTTATCAGGTAAATGGACTCTTGTAAGACCCACCTCCTCCTCTAGGACAGGGCAAATTTAGCTCAGAGCAGTAAATACTAGCTTCTAAGGCCAGTTCCTACAGATTGAAAATTACAAATGGTAGTACGAGTCAAAATGTTTTGATTTCAAAAGCATTTTCCAGATGACTACCATTGAAACATTTTCTACCACGGTTAGGTCCTGGATGAATGAGGGATTACACAGACTGGTGCAGACTTGATTAAGCAGTTAAGCCCTTGCTGCATGGATGTTATTACAATTCAAAGTAAATATTTATTTGCATTTGTTTTTATTGTGCTGAGGATATAGAAATGATCATTTTGGTGCAACATCCCTCAAAATACCTTTTTGATAACTAATGGCGACTGTGTAGCTGTGGCTCATGATGTTCTTTTTGAATCCACTTATTCACTGCTTCTTCCCATGATGCTTTGCAGGAGCTGAGGGAAATCCACAGCCGTCAACAAAAGTTGAAGCAGAAGGAAGCGGAGGGAGATCCCCAGCTTCTTACACACAACTTCTCACATATTCCAACAGAGAGAAGTTCTTCAGAGGTGCAGGATGCCAGGTACAGGGCATCTTCTGGAATTTAGGCCTTCATGTTTGTATCAATAGTACCATTTAAATGAGCACATTTTCACATCCAGGAGCTTAACCATTTGAGAGACACCGGATAATAGAACTGCTAAACTAATACAAGTTTCAAGTGCATTTCAGAACTAAATTAAACTATCCATCTAAACTACAATGTTAATAAATATAATAATTATTTCTCTAATTATTTCTCAGGCTGTCGTCAGATGAAAGCTCATCTTGGAGAGATGACATGGCAGCAAAGGCTCCCAGCCCCGTTTCAAGCTCTGGACCACACGGTTGGCTAAACAGAATTACTCAGGAAGATGAAGAGCGTAAAAGAAGAGTCATGGAGGAGGAAGAGGAGGGAAGAAAAGGGACCAAGGAAGAAAAAGAGGAGGAGGCTCGAGGAAATAACATGCAGGACAAACTCAACAAGCTGTTTAGTCAACCTGCTGACCCCTGGGCTTCAGCAGGTACCACAAAAATTCTGCCTGTTTTTTCAATATGAATTTCCCAAATCAATCATTTGAGAGAGCTCTGTATTGTATTGTGCTGTATATTTGTGTATTTGACATTATTCTTTTTGCCTTTAAGTGGATAAGACCTCTGCACCCAGCCTCTTTGACCAGAAGCCTTCAGTGAGTGGATTTGAGCAGCAAACAGTGAAGGTGGTCTACTACAGAGCGCTGTATCCCTTTGAAGCTCGCAGTCATGATGAAATCAGTATCACACCAGGAGATGTCATTATGGTATGGGACACAGTTCATTTTCAGACAATATACTTTTTTTTTTTTTTAATAGTTATATTCATATACGATACATTGTTACTAAAAGCTAAGAGATGACTTTTTCTAGTAGATTACCACACCTATATCGTGATTAATGCTCTTTAATGAAACCTCATGTTATAGTTTATTTATTTATTTTTATTTATTTTTTTCCAAATATTTGCTTTTTAATTTTTATTACTATCCTCAGTAATTGTAAAACAGTTCCCAGCATCCCTATGCATGTGAATTACTGTGGCGTGATTTAACAGTTTGTTTTCTGTCCTGCTTTGCAACCTGAAGGTGAAAGGGGAATGGGTAAGTTTTGGCCTGCCTGTCGACCAATCACAAGCCAGTGTTCATTAGTCATTTTCATGTTCATTCATTTGCTGTCAATGAATGACGTCCAAAGCCATTCGTTTGTTTCCAAATGGAATTTTGGGGCTTGTATTTCATCTGTCCCAATGATCTGAAGGGTGCTGTTACTTATGGGAATTCACAACAGTCAAGCTCAAAACAAAATTCACATTGATTGCCGAAACATTTAAATTCTTTTTACATTACATTAAATATATGCTCATGTACATGGTCAGTTATTAAAATGGTCTGTATTTTGACAAAGAAGTTAATGTAATAAGTACATGTAACATCAAAAAAGAGCTGGAAAATCACGCATGGATACATTGAAGAACACAAAATGTGTTGTGATTCAGTTATAATAGATTGGGTCTTTCCCCATCAAAATGAGTCATTCTATAGTGTGTATTGTTGCACTGTGTGAGGTGCTTAACCCCGTGTTTTTTTTGTTGTTGTTTTTTTTAATACAGGTGGACGAGTCTCAGACTGGTGAGCCTGGTTGGCTGGGAGGGGAACTTCGGGGCCGCACTGGCTGGTTTCCAGCCAATTATGCTGAGCGAATACCTGACAATGAAGCACCTGTAAGTTTGCGCAGCGTTACGTCCTCCACACCTACTTCTGCTCAGCAGCCTGATACCACTCCTCCCCCGGCTCCTGGACAGTCCTCTTCTGCCTCCTCTTCAAACAGCAATTGGGCTGATTTTAGTACAACGTGAGTTCAAATCAAGTTTTACTCTTAAAATGAATAAGAGAAAAAGCTCATAACATTTATTGTGTCTGTCTTCTCAGATGGCCCTCAAATGCAGGTAGTCAACCCGACAATGAGGGATGGGATGCTTGGCCCTCCTCCTCAACGCCACAAAATCCTTCACTTAGTGTGCCCTCAGCTCAGCTACGCCAACGCTCTGCCTTCACACCAGCCACCATGACAACAGGCTCTTCCCCTTCTCCTGTACTTGGACAGGTAATGTGTGAAACGTTCTATAACATGTCCATTTCAATGAGACTATTAATTTATGTCAATTCCATCTGTTATACAGGGAGAGAAAGTAGAAGGTCTTCAAGCTCAAGCCTTGTATCCATGGAGAGCCAAGAAAGACAACCATCTGAACTTCAATAAAAATGAGGTACAACTTTGGTGGCACAAACTTTTGTGATCATTTTAAATAAGTACTTAAAGATAGATGATATTATGATTTTGTCACTCCAGATAATTACAGTGTTGGAGCAACAAGATATGTGGTGGTTAGGCGAGTTACAGTCTGGTCAAAGAGGGTGGTTTCCCAAAAGTTATGTCAAACTCATCTCCGCCAATATGCCAACTTCAGCTGTGGTTGCATCGCGCAACAAAAACTCAAGGTGAAGTCAATGGCTTTCTTTATGTATGCATCTGAACTTCTCAGGAGTGGTGGGCCGGACTTGAACATTATTATCATACTATTATATTATAATGCAGAAAATGTTTTTTATTTAATTTATTTTCAATATTTTTTGGTGTGTAGTGATGCTGGACCAACAGATAGTCCCCCTAATGGAAAAAGGCCCTCCCCCTCCCCAACCAAAGCAGAATCAGGAGAAGGTATTTTAATAACAATTGCCCTGTGCGTGTGTTTGTGTATTTGTAGTTGAGTACACATTTTCATTTGTTGCAGAGTACATTGCCATGTACACATATGAAAGCAGTGAACAGGGGGATCTGAGCTTCCAGCAAGGAGATATTGTCACAGTGACCCGTAAGGAAGGAGACTGGTGGACAGGTGTCGTTGGTGGCAAGACTGGAGTTTTTCCATCCAATTACGTCAAACCACGAGACTCTTCATCTGAGGTGAAATTATGTGTTGTTGAACGTGTTATGCTTTACTGCAGTAATTATTGAATATTTGCATTCTGTTTCTAGTCTTTGTCACTATCTGGGAAGACTGGCAGCCTTGGAAAGAAACCAGGTGATATTTCTTTAATTCCTACACCATCTGCATTTATTTGTAGTGATGAGTGCCACCTCAACAAGTTGCACTTTTCACACAATTTCATCTTACAATTTGTACTGCATTCCCCCTAGATCATTTAAATGATTTGGAAATTATTATAATTTTATTTTTGCTTCCAACAAAATGTTTTAATGAGTCTATTTCAGTGTAAAATGACCAAGGATGTTTTTGTAACACCTCGATATTCTCATTCCCTTGGTGCTGTGGTTGCACTTTGTCTGCAACACTCACTGAAGTTTCCCCCATTAAGGGACAAATAAAGGTTATCTTATCTCTTAGTGTACAGTGATGCTTGGAAAAGAGATAAATGTTCCCCTCTTTTGGCACTCAATACAACTGATGCAATTCTCAATGTATTTTGTATTTTTGTTTTACTTTAAACTTCAATGCAACAAAATATTGATGACCAAAATAATATCTTAACGATAAATCTGACTATATCTTTGCTTGAAAAAAATGTCTGCAAATGTATTAGATTAGGTGTTATTTTCACATGTAAGTAAAAACAACACAAATGGATACAAAACATAGTTTGTAATCATTTCATCATCCGTGCCTTTTTTCTTTCCGTTGCTTTGGCAGAGATTGCTCAGGTCATTGCTCCATATACTGCTACTGGAGCAGAACAGTTGACGTTGGCTCCTGGACAGCTCATCCTAATCAGGAAGAAGAATCCAGGAGGCTGGTGGGAGGGCGAGTTACAGGTATAATAGAGATACACAGAAATATGCAGTACAATATTCAATATTCCATTCCCTCTCCTCTGCTGCTTGCCATATAACTTGTATAAAGTACTACTTCCTCATGTTATTCAGATATGCCAAACTAGAACCTCATATCAAATTAATCATTTATGAAGGATTTTACTGAGACTGCTTTTTGTAACTAACCTTTTTTCAGATGTTTTCTTTTTATTTTGGCATTCATTTTTTTGCTTTTGTCAACTTACAGGCTAGGGGTAAAAAGCGCCAGATAGGTTGGTTTCCAGCCAACTATGTAAAGCTGCTTAGTCCCAGCACCAGCAAGACCACACCAACAGAGCCGACCCCGCCCAAAGTGATGGCATCCAGCACAGGTGCTCTTGAACACACACACTAATTCAAAAACATTCATTTTGTCATCTTTTGTATATTAACTTCTGGGGTTCTTTTTAAAGACAATACAGATGGAGATGTATTTACCTTGCTGACATGTTTTGGCTGCTACCTGCAAGTCATCTTTAGAACTGTCACTGATTTTGGTGATGATATGTTGGTTGTTAATTCCTGTAGCTTGCAGCTAGCAGCCAAAACATGTCAAGAAGGTCTCCTACTGTATTGTCTTTAAAAAGAACCCAAGAAATTAATACACACGGACAGATTTACTATAATTCTCCGAAGCACATTTCCTGTACTACTGATACCATGTGACTTATCAATGTTTTTGTCCTGAAGCTTTGTGTCAGGTGATTGGCATGTACGACTACGTGGCTCAGAATGATGATGAACTGGCCTTTCAAAAGGGTCAGGTGATCACAGTGATTAATAAGGATGACTGTGATTGGTGGAAAGGAGAGCTCAATGGCAGAGAGGGCCTGTTTCCCAGCAACTATGTAAAGCTCACCACTGACACGGACCCCAGCACCCAGTGTAAGTGCCACACAAATATATTTTTCTGATTTAACTCTCAACTGCTACACCAAACAGATGAGGTGCACAAACACACCCAGAGCCAGTGTAGCAGTGTGTCAATATTGTGGTTAACTGTAGCCTTGCGCCACCTCTGGGTGTGTATACGACTGTGCAAGCATGTATATTTGCTCCACTTGTTTATCATGCATGTCTTTAACTGCATGAGCCTCTATAGAGCAGAGCAAGGGTTTGTAGGTCAGACAAGTTTAGTCCAAAAACACATTCTAAAAACTATAAAGTAAATTACTACAGTAAAGCTTTGTACAGTATTGGATATTTGCATAATTCAACTGACTCCTGGGTAAAGATGATGTGTGATATGGACATCACCATTTTGGTATTTATACTTTGCTATAGACTTTGTTGCCTGACACTGATAGTTTTAGGTTTCTAGCTTTTCATATGAGAATTTGCCTTCATCTGTGAACTGCAAACAACATGCTTCTGTTTTATCTCATAATACTCAGAGTTAAATGTAACACCTATTTGCCCAAACACTAAGTACTTTTTAAAAAGCCAAGAAGGGTTTGAAAAATCACTAAAAGTGTGCTGCCACTGTTATTTGTTTTTGCTCTGTATCATACGTCTATACGTGACATATCGTTCTTAACAGGTAGTATTTTCTCATCATTGCAAACCATAATTATCACCTGTCCATACTTCTGGGACACTTGGACAGCTGGACCACATCAGCAAGTTCTATGACTAAAAGTCTAACATTGTCCATAGTTAGTTCAAATTTCAAATAAAGTAAATAGCATATGACAGGTTTTCATGGTTTTGTGGGATAATACCTATAAATCTGTTTTAACACCAATCGAGTGGCAAATTTTCAAAAAGCATGAAAAGATGGAAAGCACCAGATAGCACAAAAATATGTGCAAATCCCCTGTTTCACTTCTGGGACTTTCATTCATTCAATTTCATATCAAACTAGAAAAGCACTCAGAGAGCGCAGACCTCCGCCAAGGACTACCCCCATTTTTTATATATATTGCGATAAAATCAGTCTTCTGGATCAGATCCGGATCAGCCTTTGGAATATGAAAGAGGATCCCATTGTCCATCCCTGAGTCAAATTTCATGGGGTTTGGTCAATAATTAACCGAGATATTGAGAAACAAATTTTTTGGCCCCATTTACCACAATGTTAACTAAAATTTCAAAGTGATCCAGAATCCAGGATTTCTTCCGGATCACCCCCAAAATGAAATCAGTTCTTCCTTTTCACATTTCCAACAAATTCTGAAAATGTCATCAAAATTCGGTCCATAACTTTTTGAGTTATGTTGCTAACAGACAAACAAACAAACAAACAGACAAACGCCGGCAAAAACATAACCTCCTTGGCGGAGGTAACTAAGCATTCTATAATGTGCAAAGTCACAGAGTCAAAATCTATATTCTGCAATGAGCTTGGAGAGACCATGGAAGATAAGTATAAGGATTCTGTTGAGTAGTACAAGGAACACCCTGGTTCTGCTCAATCACATATTCACTCTCCAGTTAAAGTCAGTGAACAGTTTTCTCTGTGCAAAGGCGCTGGGGTTGGATTATATCCACCTTAAGTACCTCCAGTTTTAGTGACTACAACATTGTGTGCCTATTTTCTACCTCTCTGGAGTGAAAACTATGCAGGGTACATTGACTGTTAAATGCCTTTGGAGTAGTACAGTAGAGGCCAGCATGAGTAACATTGTTCCCACCCTTACACAGTAGTTCTTTTGTAGTAGTAGTAGTAGTAGTAGTAGTGCCCACTCTCCACAAATTATATGCAGAGATGGGATGAATGCTCTGCTCTGTTCTGTCTCTGTGCTATCTTACATCACCACACTTGGTTTACATTTGCTGCATGTCCCACCTAACCTTGCTGCATGCTCTGCTCACTTCACATCCCATTGGTTGTTGTTGTTGTTGTTGTTGTTTTGTTTAGTTGTTTTTGTTTATGTTGTTGTTGTCGTCCTCTCTCTAGGATCATATCATTACCCAGACCCCCTCCTCCTCAAAGCCCTCAAAGAGACCCACTAGGCCACGCCCACTAGGCCACTACTCAACCAATGGAGACAGCAGCGAGGGGTCACTTAACCCGGAAATGGCGACTCTCCATCAATAGAAGCCAGAGACAGACAGTAACGATACTCTATGCATGGCTCTGAGTGGACATGACCAAAGTGTTCTACAGGAGGCAGACCTCTTCCCTCGTAGTCAACTCTTTGTTAAACTGAGGAGCCAGGCAACAAACACACACTTCTGTATTTAGCTCCTTTGTATCAAATTGCACACATTCAAGCACCAGACATGTAATAACAAAAAAACTGATTGTCCAGAACCCTCCTCTGTAAAAGAGGTCTCTGCATCTGAGTATGAACTTTATTTTCAAATACAAAGAGTGCAGCCAGAGAATAGAGCGTGATTAACCAGTGGTTGTGATTGTAAACATATTTAATGCATATTACCAAAAAATAATATAATAATAACTAGGGTGACAATGTTTGGGGCTTTTCTGTATGTAAAGGAAGTGATGAAGAGTAAAACCATGCACTGAAGCTGGCACAGCGTGGGACAGTGGATAGTGGGTCATTTTGTGGCTTTTTGGGAGACCTGTCCTCAGTAGCTTCACCCCTTCTTTCCCTTTTTACCTGGCACCCATTGGTTCAGTCATTTCATTCAATTGTTTTTTTCAGGGCTCCACCCCCATGGGCCTCACTAACCCCTCCCACAGCTTCACAGAAAGACCCACTATCTGCTGGAGGACCGTTTATGCGCCCCTACCCATCTCAATCCCCCCAAGAACTTTTGCCCTCCAACCCCACCCTGATGCTGTCTCTGCCTCTCCTTAACCCTTGCCCTGTCATGCTGTCTTTCTTGCCTGCTCTGTCTCTTCCTCTTACTCCTCATCCATGCTCTCTCTTCCTTTCACCCTTTCTTGCTCTCTCTCTCTCTCTCTCTCTCTCTCTCTCTCTTCCTTTCCTGTTTCTTTTCTTCCTCTTATCCTCCCTCATGCTTCCTCCTTCTCTCTCACCTGTTTGTGTGGGAGACATGCAGACAGAGGCCTCATCACAGTGGTGTGTAAAAACAATGATTCACTTCATAGCTGAACCCCATCCAGACCTAAACATATGAAACACATTTCCTTTATAAAAATTTTAATCATATTTCAGCAATGGAGTTAACACTTCTAATATAGGCCCTTATTCTGAGCAGTTCCTCTCTAGGATAAGGTTAGTGGTAAATTGGACCTGTCGATTAAACACAGTCATTGACTCTGCTTGCAACACACCCATATGTTTAAATGTATTTGACAGCAACAAAGTTTCTAGCCACAGTGCTGCCCCTAAAGTGCTAGCTAAATTCAAACAAATAGCCTAAGTCCACACATCCGCATGTTGTGAGGGAGTATTCTAGACTCTAGTGACCTGCAATACTACAGTGTAAATGCTGCTTTTGTTTCTATAGTTTTGAGAGTATGTATGTGAAAGGAATTGGGCCAAAGCATAGAGATACAAAATACTTTGTGTAGACTTTTGTCTATCTACTAGCTTTGAGGTGTAATACTTCCTTAAATATGTACTGACATCAAATGATCCATCATATTTTAATTGCATGTGTTTTCAGTCTGTTGCTATGTTGAAAGAAAGGCCAGCCTTTTGCAGAGGTATTAGACCAAGTTTTAGTTTTTATCATTCCAAAAAATGCACTGTGTGACCTGTATGATCAATGATCAACTGTGACCTGCTCCAAAGTCAGTATATGTATCTATACTAAAGTAATAGCTTTGTATTAATAAATGTATATATAATCTACTATATATATTCAGCGACCATGCATTAGCAAAAGCACAGACAAACTGGTCCAAGTGTTATGTTTGGCTAAACCAACCCTCTCCTTTATGTAATAGTCCCAACGCCAAATCAGTCCTACTACTTTCTGTGTTCACATAGCAACAAACGACTATCCCAGCTGCCATTATGTGTTTGTCCAACTACAGTATTTTTTTGTTTGTTTTTTTACACATCTGCCCACAGAAACCAGGCAATGAATGCATTACAAGGATGAGTACTGTTGATTTTGTTGGTTTACAATATGGGAGAAGCTCTGTTATAGGTTGAAATCAAGACATATACATATAAATATATTGTGAGTCCTTTTACAAGATAGAGACTAATGCAAAGTACAATTGTTTGTGTGCATCACGTTTCTGTCATTTGAAAACTCTGTGCTGTGTGCACATTCTCCTGCTGTGTCAGTGGACTCATCACTACACTGTACTTGTAGTATTATCACATTATCATGGCCTTTAAGTTGTGACTGGCCCCACTCAGCAGGAATAGAATGTACTCACAGAGCCATATTACTACATGTAATGTCTCACTTTAAAATGCATGTGAAATGTCTTTTTTTTTTTTTTAAACAACCCTCAGTACAGCTTACTGTTTTTAAAAACAAAATCTGTTTGACATACCTTTTGATGCATTCATGAATTGGCCCAGCAATTGTAATGGTCCAACAGACTGTTGAAACATCAGAGAAGTGCTCAATATACTTGAATGAATACATGTGTCAATGAATGGTTGAATGTGTGAAGGTTTTATTGGTTGAAATTGTAATAAAATACAGTATGTGTACTTGTATACTTTGAATACAATTCCAATTTGTGAAGCAGTTAAATACCATTATCCAATGCTATTTTTGAGGACTCACAATCTGAAACTGTGTGAAATGATTACATCTCATTATTATAACATGCAACCAGTGAGGTGAAATGGCATTCCATGCAGACAGTGGATGTAAAAAAAATAAAATTATAAAATTAAATAAAATTAAATAAATTGGCATTGTGCTGACAAGAAAACGGTAATAGTGGGTCATTAAAAGAGGTGACTTCCATATTAATTCAGTGCCAGTTACTAATAAGTATTTCTCTGAAATCTATATACTAGTTATGCAACTGTTTGGTTACCTTCCACTAGAACGACTCGTTCTTCTCACAAGATGGTGAATGTATTTTCTCTGAGTTGTATTTCAACTCTTTGAGTGCAGTAACAGCTTATGTATTTCACTAATTCATAAATTTTTGCAAATCATAGTCAATAAAATGTCATGTTGAGAGAAACACTTCTCTGTGAACATGGTTTAGCATGTGATTGGGTTTTATAACAAAGTCTGTAAGAAAACATATTTAATATTTTAAAAAATACTTTTTCAGTATTGATTTCATGAACATTAACAACACAGAATTTTAATTGGTGCCATTTCACATGGAATTTAAATTTTTTCAAGTCTGAACTCTGCTCCAAACCACATGCTTTTACTGACAGAGGATTGGTTGTGGAACTCTAGATTCAAAAGCCCTGAAATGACTGGTTCTCAGTTTCAATCTGGAATAAATTGTATTAATTGCACAGCTCTAGGTAGGCATGTGCAAATATCAGAATTGTTGTAAAACATAACTGAAACATTAAAAATAGGCCTACTAATGCACTGTAGAAATAGTTAAACACAAACTGTTTGAAATAGCAATGTCACACTGTGTTCATAGCGATCTGTTTTTATGATGTATGTTGTCCTTCAGGGTGTGCCGACCTCCACCTTCTGGACATGCTCAGTCCAATGGAGAGGAAGCGTCAGGGCTATATCCATGAGCTCATTGTAACTGAGGAGAATTATGTCAATGATCTTCAGCTTGTCACTGAGGTAACATTGTAGCTTTTACATCAACAAAATGTGTTACCTTTTACATAATTAAATCTGTCCTTTCACTTCATTTGTTAAGTAGTTTATGTAGTCCCTTCTTTTTTTCTGTTTCACAGTTCACAAATGTAACACCCTGTGTCTGTGCCTTTGTTCAGAGGTTGCATCCTTTTACTTGCATTAAATGGCTCAGGACAGTATGTAGAATGGTGCTCGATTTCTAAATCTCACTTCCCAGCTTTCCTTTCTGACCCTGAGGCAAACTGCAGATGGTTTGACAGAACTTGTCTGAGCAGAAAAGCTCAGGCAGCTATGGGGCTCCACTTCTTGGAGTTGATCCAGAATAACCATTGATTGTTCCCTGTGGATGACCCTGCAGCTGCTCAAACAGCACTGGTTTAATGAAGCCATGCTTTAGAAAAAACACTTCATCAAAACGGTATCTTTCTCAGAATCTAGCACCTATTGAGTATTTGTATTGTATCTGTGCTGCTCTTGACCCCATTTCAAGTGATACTGTACTGTTTATTATGTTGATCCCTGAGTGAGAAACATATTTCAGGTTGACATTTAGCCCAATGTACCCAGTCACTTTCCTCCACTCTGATATTGTACCATTACAGAGAGGTAACTATCATGGATGTGTTTCCTCTGTGTTCACATTTAAACAAAATGGATGATTTGACAGAAATGTGTGTTCTTTGCAGATACGTCCATATGGTTCTCAACCAACAAAATTTCTTTTAAAATGTATGCCCAGTCTCTATTTTATATTTTGATTAGTGCTAGTTAAACATAAAAAAAAAAAGTCAGGTACAGACCATATGACCATAAGACATAGACCTTGTACAGTCCAACAGAGAAGCTGGAGCCCATCACGTTATTATGGCATCTTTACAGAATAAGTGAAATGTGAAAGACATATATACACCTGTGTTGTGCATTTTAATAATATATTATAATAATCTTTTATTATTCAAATTTTGGTATTTATTTTTAATAACTTTACATTTAATAACATTTTTATACTGCTGTTCTATGTGTTTTTATATGTCCAGATATTTCATAAGCCCCTGCTGGAATGTGAGCTGCTCACTGAGAAAGAAGTGGCCATGATCTTTGTCAACTGGAAGGAGCTGATCATGTGCAATATTAAACTGCTCAAGTAAAACTCCACTCTCCCACATGGCCTTTATGACATGATTATGGAATCTTGAGTTTTAAACCTCATCTAGATGACAACTTTTTTACTTTTGTTTATTTAATCCTTAAGACAGAAATGAAAATGTTGTCCATTTATAATGAATACAAAAATATGACCTGCTATAAGACCTGCCGACCACGTTTTTCTGTAGCCCTGCCATGTAGTAAAATTGCAGAAAAAATCTGAATTATACACAAATGATGCAACTCAGATATTTGTTGAATGACAAATATTGACCCGCTTGTTTTGTTCAGGGCTTTGAGGGTGAGAAAGAAAATGTCAGGTGATCGGATGCCAGTGAAAATGATTGGTGATATCTTGACAAATCAGCTGCCTCACATGCAGCCGTATATCAGGTACTGGGTCTGTTCAGCCATGTTGTATGTTTAACTTTTTTTTCAGTGTCCTTGAGTGTTTACTTGTGTTTTCTATGAGCAGATTTTGTTCATGTCAGCTGAACGGAGCCACGCTTATTCAACAAAAAACAGATGACAATCCAGAGATTAAGGACTTCCTCAAGGTTTGTTGTCCCAAAATATGTCCCGAAGAAGTGTTCTCTGTGAAAAACAAGAGAGACCTGTCTGACTATCTATTGTGTTGTAGAGGTTAGCCATGGATCCCAGGTGTAAAGGAATGCCACTGTCCAGCTTCCTGCTCAAACCTATGCAGAGGGTCACGAGATACCCTTTGATAATTAAAAACGTAAGATATTTCTGTCAGTTTACATTTGCCACACACCACATGTGGCATCCATCTGAAGTCTGTTCTTTTTTAGATTTTAGAAAACACTCCTGAGTCACATCCTGACCACAGCCATTTGAAAGCTGCATTGGAGAAAGCAGAGGAGCTGTGCTCACAGGTAGTAATCACATTTGAAATCACCACTGTGCAACCCATTTGACTTAACTTGACTGATTTCTATAGGTTTTAGCTCGTTGATGTCAAAGACTAATCAGTGATGTTTTATGTTTTACACTGTACCTTCTGTGTCCAGGTGAATGAAGGGGTGAGGGAAAAGGAGAACTCTGATCGTCTTGAATGGATTCAGGCTCACGTTCAATGTGAAGGACTCTCAGAGGTGAGCTTCACAGTGACTGTGACTGTGATACACTGTTTTACACTGTAACATTTTCTTACTTCATGTCCTTCAGCAACTAGTGTTTAACTCAGTCACCAACTGTCTGGGACCCAGGAAGTTTCTGCACAGTGGAAAACTCTTCAAAGCTAAAAGCAGCAAAGAGCTCTACGGCTTCCTGTTCAATGACTTTTTGCTGCTCACCCAGGTGAGCTGCTTGTAGATGATCAAATGAACATAGCATTTTGTCACTTTATTGGGCTAGCATATAAATAATGTAATTGTCAGCTCTATGTTGAGCATTTGATTTTCCTATCGATTTAGTCAAATTAGTAAAGTAAAGTAAAAAGTGACATGTGTGTATTCCACAGGTGACTAAACCCCTGGGCTCCTCTGGTTCAGACAAAGTCTTTTCATCCAAGACCCACCTGCAGTATCGCATGTATAAGACGGTAGGACAGCACTTTCCATAATCTTGTTCTTTAGTCGTTTGTAGCGACTTACAGTGACCCTGGCTCTTTCTCAGCCCATCTTCCTCAATGAAGTGTTAGTGAAGCTGCCCACAGACCCTTCAGGAGATGAACCCCTCTTTCACATCTCTCACATCGACCGAGTCTATACCCTCCGAGCAGAAAGCATCAATGAAAGGTACTACTCTGAAATACAAATGAAGTATAGTACACCTTCAAAACATATTCTGCATACTATGGTTTTTGCAGGACTGCCTGGGTTCAGAAAATTAAGGCAGCTTCAGAACTTTTTATTGAAACCGAGAAGAAGAAGCGAGAGAAAGCATATTTAGGTATGTGTTATAGTTGATCCTTCTAGTTGAGTAACTAACATGTAGCTAATATGTTCTTTGTGTGACAGTGCGGTCTCAGAGAGCCACAGGGATCGGCAGACTCATGGTCAACATTGTCGAAGGAATTGAGCTGAAACCTTGTCGTTCTCATGGTACAGGTTCCTTTGATCCATTAACGTGATTGCATATTATCTTGCTTCATGGTTCACTGATATATTTTAGTAAAACACAGAATACTGCAAAATGTGGACTTGCAGGTTTTCACCAGCACATACAACATTGTGTTTTTAGGGAAAAGCAACCCCTACTGTGAGGTGACCATGGGTTCCCAGTGCCATATCACAAAAACTCTACAGGTAACTTTTGCTTTTTCTTTTAAGCTAAATTAACCTTTTTCTTTTTAAAAAGTTGTGTATATATTAATATTTGGTATTATATTAGGTAGTGAAGCCATGAAAGCCTCTTGTATGGTCCAATATGGACAGTCTAAACAAACATTTAAACATGATTTACCCCATCCTTTTCCATGGCATGAGCTTATCCTCTTATTTTTCCCTCTTTAGGACACATTAAATCCCAAATGGAACTCAAATTGCCAGTTTTTTATCAAAGACCTGGAACAAGACGTCCTCTGTATCACTGTGTTTGAACGAGACCAGTTCTCCCCTGATGGTCAGTGTAGCAAAAAATGCTTTTAGTCTCTTAAAGTCCAAACCACATTACTACACCTTTCTCTTATACCTGCAGATTTTCTGGGCAGAACGGAAATCCGATTGGCTGAAATCAAAAAGGACCAGGGCTCTAAAGGACCAATCACAAAGCGTCTGCTGCTCCATGAGGTCCCCACTGGAGAGATAGTGGTCAGACTGGACCTGCAGCTCTTTGAGGATCCATAAGAGAAGAGTGGCAGGACTCTAGTTCTTTCTGTTCCTGGTGTGATACCTGTTCACCCTCCAAGAGCCTCCACCTTGACCCACACACTTCATTTACAGTCTATCGTACATGGCTCCAGTCAATGCAAAGAGTACAGGCCAAGAGTCACCAGAAGGTACTATGGTCACATGAGACTGCAGATCATTTGGGATGTGCCTGAACTTTAAAGACACTCTTTTGTGGCTCACACATATATAATTATAATAATAATAACGATGTTGGAAAGTCTAATTCTTGTTTTATTTAATACATAGCAGTTAAAATTGCTATTAAGCATTGGTAGTGTGCAAAGGAGTCTTTTTCTTTGTTTGTTTTTTAGTTTCAGAAGGATTATTTTAATTTCAAAAGGATTATTTTAGGTCTTTCTTTCTTCCTTTTTTTTTTTTTTTTTTTTTTTTTTTTTTTTACAATTTCTGTGGCTTGTGTATCTTTATGAGTGGATTAGTGCAATCCCCTGTTGCTGGTTGGAAGTTGGGTAAATGATGGAATATACTGTAAACAGAGACTGTCTTCAAATGTAATTTACGTTTTGTCTTAACATACTGTAACATACGGTACCTTACTTTGAGTTGATAACACGGGTCAGTTTTGAATGTTACCATTTAATGTTTTAGTTTTCTCTATTGTTAAAACATCCTATCTACCTTTGTCCATTGAGACTCCAGTGACAATCCCAACAAAGCCCCCAAACTGTGGAAGAGTGTGGCTCTTACTATTGCCTTTATTCTTGGAAATTCTATAGATGTACAGCAAATGACTTCTGTTTTAAAGGTGATGGCTTTTTAAGCATATACTTTGTGTCTGAGTTTTAAAGGAAACTTGTCAGGGTTCTTTCTCTGTGAATCATGCGTTGCTTCCCGTTCACACTCCAGTCATTCCCTGCATTTATGTCTCAGGCCCAAGCAGAGCTGTGGGGGTGTATTCTGATAATGGTGGCCATGCACTTGTGTTTAAAGGTCTTATATTATGCAAAAGTACTTTTCTTTTCTTTCCTCTTATTGTAATGTTTCCTCACCAAAACATTCTGGGGAGATTTGTTTCATCTACTTGTTTGTGTAATCTCGCAGTTTTCAGCTGTCTCTCTCTAGAGCAAAAAAACATGGCAAGAGTTTTGTATGTGACTGCCTTCACTAAAAATCATCTTTTAATCATCTCTAGTGGAGATATTATTTTTATCCTAGTTTGTACTGTTTCACTCCTCATTTTTTCACAATGTATTCCATTATATATTGTGTACTTCTGTTTCTTATCATACCAATGGTGAAGTGTCAAAATGAATGATGTTTAAAAATCCTGGATAATGCATAACATTGGACCTTTAAACTATCAGTGTCTTAAAAAAGGAATAAGAAGACTTCTCTATATTCTGCATACTGATCTGTTTGTTCATCTCCCCTCCCGTAAGATGACAAAACTCTTCAAAATAACCTGCGCATTAAAGAACAACACATTTTGGGGCAAAAAAGAAAAGAACACTTTGACCACTGTCTAGAACAGAACTGAACCATTTCAGGAGGGAACCAAACCCACCATAAACCACTCCATTGTGAGGACTGTACTGTTCTTGTCCTCTTCAGCGTGTCTGAAACTACTGCTTTTGGAGAGTTCATATCTGAGTGCAATGGGGCCAGGGCAACAGGCTGTTATTCATTCACACTGTAGAATATGTATGTTGTTGTGTTTCAATGTTGAGAATAAACTTGAGCTGGACCAAGACTGGGGTTTATATTTCAGCAGCCCAACTGTGTCCAGGGTGTAAGCGTAACTGTATGTGTTTTATAGTTCAAAATACCTAAATTCTTACTATATACAGGCTTGCTTCTCCATAGATCTGACCATAAGCCTGTCTTGTGTGTGATTACCAAATGTATTTCCATACTGTGGAATAAACAGTAATATCTCTATGGAGACGAGTACTGGTGGACTCTTCAACAGAAAAGTTACACAGTGCAAGTAAAGAGTAAATTAGCAATGTATAATATTGCCCAACAAGTATTGACAATTCCAGCCATAGTCAAAAGTTACTTAAAGACATATCCTCTGAACAGATGTGAGCTCACTTTAGGTCCAGGTGACACTGAGACCACTAAGTTAGCCAGACTAACTGTTTCCATCTTGCACTTAAAGCAGCGAGGAGCCATTGGAGACGGCTACGCTTCATTTGGAGCTGTCCGTGGTGCTGAAGAGACCAGTCCGGGAGAAGTCTTGATATGAAAGTTGTTTACGTTTCCCTAGTAAGTGCCCATTAAACATCTGTCAACATATACCATGGGGCAACTCAAATATTTAACAATGATAACCGAAATAAATAGCATATATGAATAAACTGTCTCAAATTCAATGATTACATTGACTTTTATTTATTTTATTATTGTGTTTTCTCATGTGGGAGAACCTCTTTTTGTCGTTGGGAGTATGGTAACCCGTAATATCTGAAGGCGAATCAGCTAATGGACCCATACTGTGTTCAATAAACTCAGGACGATTATAGCAACAGTGAGGAGTGTGAGCCGTCGTCGTTCGTTCCTCAGTCACGAGTCACGATTCACAGAGTAGCCAACCGACGCTAAAAATCGGATTTTCTTCCAAATAAATATTTTTTGCTCATTCAACTACTTTTTTTTAACAACATGTTACTGTAAAGTGGGATTTTGAGGTATATGTCCAGCTGTTTGGTCGCAGCTGCAGCTGTGGGGGGCTGTTGAGGAGGAGGAGGCTGATGATGAGCGATGTGATGGCGTCATGGCTTTGGTGACCGCGCAGAACGCCTGCTCAAAAAACCCTGTGTGGTTTTGTCCTTCACTGTCTACCCGCCCCCTGACATCCTTAGACTGTACTGATGCACTATTGAAGTTTGTGGTTAGCTACGCGTTGACAATAGGACCTGTGGGTTTATCCGTGGTCCAAATCAAACTGTGGGGTCGCTGTGCGCCTCGGCGCGCTCTCGCTCGTGTCATCCCCAGCTCTGCTCATCACGCTCCGGCTACACAGCTGCTTAGCACGCGGGCTAACCGCGCACAGGCTGGCGGTGTTGTGATCCTGTCCTGCCTTTTATCTCGTTGTTATGTTCTGCCTCGCGTTCTGCTGAAACAGAATCTCTGCCTCTCTCGTCAGCTGACCGGGAGCTGCCATGGAGTGCCGTGTTCTGTCCATACAAAGCCATGTAGTCCGGGGATATGTGGGCAACAAGAGCGCGTCTTTCCCATTACAGGTAAACGCACCCCCCTACCCCTGCTGTCGGACACTGAGCGCGAGTACACCTGCACACGGGTAGGTCTGTTCGCAGACAGGCTCCCGCTCAAGTTGAACACTGCTGTTTAAAGCTCTTATGTGTCATGTGTTTTATGAGTGTGTTGCTGTTCACGAGCTCAAGGCCGTAGACCCCGTCGCGCGTGACAGATGATGGAAATGTCTCAAGTGCGACCACCAGCAAAAGGTCGAATGATCTTACCTCAGCTTCATCTGACCATCCTTTTCATTCGTGTTTAATCGTACAAAACCTAGAGTTGAGCTCTTGTTACCCGGTGGACACTGTCTTTTGTTGTGTAATTAGTGATGAAAATAGCTCCTTGATTGTATCGTTTGTCACTGCTGGAACCAAACATTTTAATTTGAAACAACCAGAGGAATGCGTTTTTAATTATACAAATTGGAGAGCAAACTGATTAGTTCCAGTTCGAAGATACGTTTTATTTCTTAAGTTAATTTGCACTGAATGTCCTACACACATAACCTTTGACCTTTATGTGCTGACGGTTAGTGTTTAGCCATGGAGAGACCTCCAGTGTGTCAAATATTCACCAGAGTAATACAGCTCATAGTCACACCAGACTGCAAGGAAGCCTTCCATTTTTATTCGTATAGCACAATTCATGTAGAGTAATTCATATAGAGTAATTCAAAGTGCTTTATAGAATAGACATTGACATCAAAATACAAACAGACTTGTACACAAGCTGCATTAAAGTCTATTCTCTGAGCCACAGGTAGCCAGTTCACAGGACTTATGTAATCGTTTTTTCCTGTTTCTAGTTAGGACCCGAGCAGGAGTGTTCTGGATGTACTGGAGCTGTCGTACAGCTTGTGTGGAGAGGCCAATGAGCAGACCATTACAGTAGTCTAATTTACTGGAGACAAACACATAAGTCTTTCTAAATCTGGTTTAGACGGCATACCCCTGTATTTCTAGCTGGATTTGAAGGTTTTAGAGTGAGAGACTCGAGGTGACTGCTGAGACTCTCTTTGTGTCTGTGTGTCTTGTCTAAGTTTAGCTGGAGAAAGTTGTTTTGCATCCACACACTGATCTGCTGGATGCAGTGGCAGAGTGAGTCCACTGGTCCCTAGTCCCCTGCTGCCAGTGACACATAGATCTGAGTGCCATCTGCATAGTTGTTGTAGGACACATTATTGCTGCAGATTAACTAGCCTAAAGGCAGCAATAAAGGGGGGCCCAGGTTTTGACCCCTGGAGGACCCCATAGGTAAGGTCCATACGTTCTGATACACAGTATCCAATTTCATCAACATATTTCCAGTCTTCCAGATAGGATTTGAACCAGTTTAGTGCAGTACCAGAGATGCCCTCTAGTCTGAGGATCCCATGATCAACAGTGTCTAAAGCAGCACTTAGATCTTGTACGATGAAGACGGAGATTTTGCCTTCATCACTGTTCATTCAGATGTCATTTGTCACTTTCATAAGAGCAATCTCAATGCTGTGGTGAACTTTAAAACTTTACTGGAAAATATTAAAGGAGAGTTCATTCGTAGAAAGTTTGTAATAGTTATTGCAGATTTGAGATGAGTCAGTAATTGTTCAGCATTGTGGTGTCAAGACTGCGCTTCTTTAGGAGAGGCTTAATCATTGCAGTTTTCAAAGCTCTTGAAAATGTTCCAGACTGAAGTGACATGTTGACTATGTGAATGAGTGGTGATAGCAAACTGTTCAGCACACTTTAGAAATCTAGTGGGTAATACATCAAAGCAACATGTAGGTGAACTCAGACTGGTGATGATCTCTAGGGCAGTTTTGTCAATTACACATGCAAAGTGTGTCAGCTCTCAAGTGTCTGTACGATTGAAATTTGCAAATTCATGACATTTTTTTATATCCTGACCTGAACCTTGTTATTAACCAATACCGTAAACCCATTGCACTTAGTTACTTTTAGTTCAAATGGCAAAAGAGCTACAGGGTTTGACAATCTGTTGCAAACAGAACACAAGAGTTGTTACTGTAATTTCCAATAATGTCAGAAAAATACCTCATATTGAACCTGGAGTTTTGACCTGCACCATTTATGCCTGGCCATCCAGCACTACCTTTTCTGTGTCCTCACTGAGTCTTCATTCCTCCAGGGCACTCTCTGCCTACCTTCAACCTTTTTACCTTCTAAACCTGATGTCCAGAACATTCAAAACTCTCACAGAGTTCAACAAATGACCAACAATAGAACCTGATTTTTTTTTCATAGTTGATCATGTCAATGGACAGTGCACTGTGTTATACTATCCCATACCATATTCTTGATTAGACTGCTGTCATAAAGTTTCTAAACTGCCCTTGAATGATATCTGTACCAGCACTTTTACTTTTCTGCTTGATACCATCATTATCTACAGCCATAGATTTTGAACTTGAACTGAATTTATTTACGTAACCCTGGTCAATTTTCATCAGACCAGACCCTAAGTGTAACGTAGTGCTATTATAGTTTATGATGGTGTGACTAGTTGATGGCAATGGTGGGTGACATAAAATTATTATTATTTTTATAAAATCATTATTTGTGTGTTGGGGGGGACCCCAAATTGTAGATGGAAATTAGCAACTGCCTTAATTTTAGTGTCAGATCAGTTAAACTTGTAAACTAATATTTTTGACCAATACTGATATGTTTTGTTCTTTATAAAAAGTTATTCCCCACAAAGCTTATGGTTTGTCATAGAGTCTAAATATCTAGAAAAAATAATCTGGACTTTAACTTGTCCATTGGTTGAACTGTATTGTTATTTATTTATTTTATTTTTATTATATTATTTACACTTGCAGTATTGATTATTCATATTCTGTGTCTATGGTGTCCATCTGCACCAGCAACTGTGTTTATTTGTATTGAAAAACTGACTTTGAATTTTTTTTGTTTTAGGTTTTAGGCTTTGAGGTGGACTCCATTAACTCAGTGCAGTTCTCCAACCACACTGGTAAGTGAATTTATTTACTTTGTCTTCCTAGATTTCAAAGCAAAACATCATTGTGAAAAACTGAAGGATCTCTTTTAAAGCTACCAAAAGTGTATTTGGTAGTTTCCCCCTCCCCTTACCCATCCTTTGTTGAGTCTCAACTGTGGCCTCTGGTCTTCTTCTGTCAGACCAGAAATGGCGTGTTGGCAAGACGAAAGTATCATAGTTAGCATCTAGTGATGTTATGTGAGAATACAACTCGGCCTGATGGGCCAGTCTAATTACAAACGGCTTTAACTATTCCCCTTTCAAATATAAAGCTATCACTAATAATGAATTTTAGGGACATAATTGAGTAACTCTAGTCTAGTCAGTTTTTTGTAGGTTTGGAGTACAAACTAATTGTGACTCTTCCTAGATTTATTAACTTGACTGAAAATAAGAGGGTTATACCTTTCACTTTGTTTTACATGCCCTGGAGCTTGATTGTCCCCTTTTATCAGATAGTTGAGAAAAAGAATTACATGAAGAAAAAAAATGCAAGAGCTCCACAGTAGGCCCTATCTCTTCTTCTCAAGAGTTTAAGGTCAGCAAAAAAAATGGCAATAGCAGTAAAAGTGTATCCAAACACCATAAACTGTGAAATAAATAACCGATGCCTGGATGAATAGTGTGGTGTTTTTACAAAATGCAAAGTAATAAGAACTTGCCCCTCACACTGGCTCTTTGACTATTATAACAATTATGACTTTTAACAGTATTCTACTTTTTATAGCTGAATCACCCCTTTTGATTACAAGATAATTTAATCAAGCTATATCCTCCTTTATGGATTTTTTTAAAATCTGAAACTGATCCCAAGCATGGAGCAGTGACAACACAGACTGCTCGCTCATTGTCACTCATTTATCCTGTAGCTTGTCTCCTAGCAACCAGCCTGCTCTGGAGCCCCATGTGACGTAGCAGTGACTCACCTGAATGTTCCTCCTCCAGCTCAGTGCTCTTTACTGCACTAGGAGCTATGACACATGGGGGCTGTCATGTTGATACACTTTGTTGACATAACCACCCACAACCGGCCAATGAGAGGGCCCAGTGAGTGGCATGTGCTTTCACGATGACAATTCAGCCTGGAGAATCTCACACAAACCCAAAGAGAAAGTATTATATTGATAGTAGTTTTATTGAATCAGTTGGCTTTGGTGCACAGACCCCAGCAGAAGGAAAGCGAAGGAGACGATGAGAGGATAAGGAGAGTGAACGATGAGATGATGAGAAGCTGAGAAGCTGAGGGGGTGTTGGGAAGGAGGTGGAGCACAAACTGAAACGGCCCTGCACCTGCAATGGGGCAGACTGAGCTCTGATTGGACAGGAGAAGGTGCATGGAAAAACAGGGAGGAGTATTTGGAGTGAGGTGATGACTGGGGAGCAGGTAAAACTCTGGAAAGAGTGAAGGTACATGGGAGCGAAGTTAGGTCTTTACGCTAGCTCCATTTGTGATAAAATGTTTAAATAACAATATTGTAAGTATCACATTTTTAAATACATTTTGGTGATGAGCTGTGGTGGTTTGTTTCAGGATACAGCCATTGGAAAGGCCAGGTGTTGACGGCAGATGAGCTTCATGTTCTTTATGAAGGAATTAAACTGAACAACGTGCACCAGTATGACTATGTTTTAACAGGTATGGGCAGCATAATTAAAATATATATATTAACTAATAATTTGATATAGTTTCACTCAGTTTGCCAATATGTTTTTCCTCCTTATTGTTACTAGAGTCAGTTGTGAACTTTAGTGGTCACTGTATATTCACTGAACGTTTGCCACTTTGTTGTGCTCATACTTCTTATGTGAAAGCCAGACTAGGAATGCCCATTAAATTAGTACAGGTTAAAATGTTGTAGTCTGCAATAATGTTGTAGTACAGCAATAAATGTTCCTTCTCAAATTAAACATTATAGAGAATATATACAGAAATTGATTCAGTACAATATACCACAATCACCATTGGTCAGTTTTTACCTGTTTTCGAGTCCCTTTTACATCTTAAACTCCAGTGGTGGTGTTGTGTGTATTTTAGGGTATACCAGAGACACATCGTTCTTAGAGATGGTGGTAGACATTGTTCAGGAGCTAAAGAGAGCTAACCCCAACCTGGTCTATGGTGAGTCCTATTACTATATGAATATTATAATTAATTAATAGGAGACAAAAACAACAATAACATTTTTGTTTGTGTCGATGGGAGCCTAAACACACCACATAGAAGTACATTCATTTTTTTGTCATTCATATGAATAAGTCTGATCTGTGAGTGAGCTGCATGTTTGTGTTGTTTCAGTGTGTGACCCAGTCCTTGGTGATCATGGATCTATGGTGAGTGCTTTGTATATGAACATGTGTGTTGAAAACTTGAAGACTTGAAAAGTTTAACTTTAAAGGTGCACTGCACAACATTTTCTGTTTGGTTACATTACTGCATGTTATTACTGTGCCTAAGTTAGGGTTACCAGGAATGGGCCACACTATGGCGTTAAACATATGTATCAAATATTTATTCAGTTACATGTGTTTTTATTGCTGAAAAATACACTGAAAGAGGGTGAGCTTGCCTCTTCACAGATCTGCCCCATAACTTGGCCTGGTTGCCTTCTAATCTCCATGGCGATAGAAAATGTTGAATGCTGTGATACATTCAGACAAAGCAATAAAATACTTATTATGAACACAAGCAAGTAGTGGACCCTCCACCAGAAAAGTTACATAATGCACCTTTAACTTTCAATATAATGAAATTGAAATGACACATTTTTGCACCTATCCAGACTCCAGAGTAATGTGTTAAACAGTTTTTACTATTAGAAACAACACAATCATGTATTTGTTTAGATCTACTGCAATGCATTCAAATACAAATCCTTCCATAAAAATTACATTTAAAATTGTCTAAATAATAAAATAACTAGTCCATTACTGAAATAATTTTTAGCTGCATTCCTATTTGCCAGTTAGAGTATTTGCATAAAATAATTAATTCCTTTAGTTGTGATTCAAGCATTAAACCTCTCCATTTGCTCACAGTATGTGCCACAGAATCTATACCCAGTCTACAAGAACAAGGTGGTTCCAGTAGCGGACATCATCACTCCTAATCAGTTTGAGGCTGAGTGAGTATGAACGTTTTATCTCCTCAGAGAGCACTGACTGTTTGATGTGACAGATAAGGGGACTTTCAGAACAGAGGCATTTTGACCTTTATTTCGTCAAGTTATTCTCATTTACAAACATGACAAGACCACTGTATATATGGAAACTTTGCAGCGAGGTCGGTTTGCTTTTTTAACTGTGTTTGGTTTTAGGTTGTTGACTGGGAAGACTATCAGCTCACAGAAGGATGCTGTGGAGGTAATAACACCACTGCTTTTACAACTGAAGGCGTAGAGTGAGTGAAGTCAGTATCGTGATTAAAGAGATGGTAAATTCTCTCCACAAATTCTGCCCTCTATCTAAATTTAAACAGCCCATATTATTTTCTGATCTATGTTATAATGTTGTTTCCTCATCAAAAATATTATTATTTAATTTATTGTTTATCACACAAACCCTGCATATTTAGACTGTGTTCTTCTCTCAAACAGAATGCACTTTGTTCCACCTTGTGATGTCATGTGGTAAAACAGGCAGTGCTCCACTGTGTTTTTAAACTGTACATCTTCACTACTGTCCTTTGGACCATTTCAGCTTTAGAGTTGCCAGTCTCTACCCAACAAAAGAGTAGCTGTTAAATACTGCTTCATGACATCACAAGGTGGAACAGAGCATTTTGAGCTTTGGAGATGTAGACAGACTAATAATACACTCAAATATGTAAGAATGAAACAAAACACAACTCAAAGTAGTCAATTTTGTGCATTTATAGGACCTTTTCAATTAAAGGCTCATTGGGACATTGTGACATTATTAAAACATAACTGATTGTTGGTGTAGACACACAGTGAAAATGACCAGAGGTGAAATCTACAGTTGCTCCTCTTGACGCGCTGTGGTGTTCAGGTAATGGACCTTCTTCACGCCATGGGCCCTGACACAGTGGTCATCACTTCATCGGACTTGCCACCCAGATTAGGAGACCGCTTCCTCGTGTCTCTGGGCAGCCAGCGCCATGGTGTGTGCAGTATTTGCTCTATAGTGAAGTCTTCACTGGAGGGCTCCCTTGAAGTGCTTTAACATGAAGCACTTGTGTTTCAGTTCATCCAGATGGCAGCCGGACGACTGAGAGGGTCCGAATTGAAGTCCCAAAAGTGGATGCTGTGTTTGTTGGAACTGGAGATTTGTTTGCTGCTATGCTGTTAGCATGGACGCATCACTATCCTAATGACCTGAAGGTATGAACACTATAATAATGACTAGCGTTGTTCTGCCAGACCACCCTTGAATGAGTACTTTTGTACTTCTTTTGACAGACTGCGTGTGAGAAGACTTTTTCTGTGATGCACCATGTAATCCAGAGGACAATATCTTATGCTCATGGTAAGGCAGTTTTTTCTACTCTTTTTTTACTCTTGTTACCACGAAGACCACACCCTTTCCATCAAGTTGAAATTCACTTAGTGAAGTATATGATGATTTTAAAATCTTCCACCATCTTGTGTCGTAGAGTTGGCAGGTCCCGGCCGAAGACCCAGCCCCCCACAGCTGGAGCTGCGCATGGTTCAAAGTAAAGCTGACATAGAAGACCCAGCTATTGTTGCGGAAGCCACACTCATATCCTAACATTACCCACCTCTAAGACTCATAACGCCCGTGTTTGCGCCACCATAGACCTCTTAATGAATTTACATCATAGTTTCTCTCAGCACTTCATCTGTGAACCTGGATGTTCCCACTTTAACATTTGTCCTTTTATCCTTTACACTATCCCTTTAAGTCCGTAGTGTCCTTTCCCTTTAAAGAGGCCTTTGCCAAGAGCCCCAGTTTGTGAGCCATAGTCAGAAAGTTTGTGAATTTAACTATTTTAGTGTGAACAAGTCCAATTTCAGTAGTGCCAATCTTTACAAAACAAATTGCAAAATATACAAGTGTGTTTAAGCAATCCCACACACATGCAGATACATGATTTCTAATACCATACGAAATATTAAAAAATGTTGTAAGACAGACCAAACCCTTTCTTTCAATGGCTCCACCCCTCATCCTACTTATCCTACTGCTGTGTTGTAATAGTGACCAAGTCATATCCTTAGGATTAAATCCAAAACAAATAGACAAAAAAAAAACGCACAATGTATAGTTGATGTATAGGTGTTGTACTGAAACTGTATCAGACATTTTGTCAATGCTGTTTTACTAGAAACAAATAGGATCCACACAGTTGCTTCAGTGGCCTGTTGCAGCTCTCTCATCTGGAAGTCTTCATCTCAATATAAGTACAAGCTGCTGTATCCACTAGGCAAGCACTGAGCCCAGAAGGCCATAGCTAACATGGACCACCGAAAATGTGGATCAGTAGAAGAGAAGAAAAAAAAAAATCTACCAAAACCTATGCTTCTACTAAATCAGAAGAATTCTTACTTAAATTAAAGAGTTGTGTGAGTGAATTTTGCCTTCTGTTGTAACACAATGATACAAGGCAAATACTGAGTTCGTGTACAATAGAGTACAATGATGTGGCCTCTGCATAGTGTGACTTTCTGGGCCCAGAGCACCTCTGACACTGCCTCTGTCTCCTGCTCACTGATAGAGTACTGACTATAGACACAACATTTGTACTTGGTTGAGTTTTGACACAAATCAAATTAATTTCTCTCACTTAGTCATGATAATGTTTGAAGAAAATAATGGGGAAAAACATGCTTTTATACTGTGTCCTTTTCCATGCCTAGGGAGTTGAGTCACATACATTTTACATATTTGTACATCAGTATAACGATATACTGTAGCTCATATCTTAGCTGTGCTCTTGTGTGTTTATGAGTGTGTACCTGTGTGTGTCTGTGTGAATGTGACTGTATCATATCATTATGGCTACAGGGTGTGTGTATCTGTGTGTTATGTTGAAGGGGCCTGTAACATGAGGAGCTCTCACAAACCATAGACCCGACCTAATTTCAGTCATTTTCATGTTGTATAACCCTGACAGCACTCACAGACAGGACTGTCCATACAGTGCATGGGGAATGGTTCAACTCTACCTGTACGATCGTTGTGGTGAAGGGACCAGTGTCTTGCAGCATAGTGTGCCCTCTAGTGGTAGTCTTGCGTGAGTGTCGTGTGCTTATTCAGTCATTTTATTTATTGTTTACTTATTTTTTCCAAAACTTGAAAATCACTAGACTTGGCTCTAAAACAACCACTTATTCAAAGAGCATGTTCTTTTTACTAATGGTGTCTAGAACCACTTTCTAAGAAGTGTACCAGGAAATCACATTTCTCCTGTACAGACCAGTCCCAAAACAAATTAAGACAACATTACTTTTCAAATAATCTATAGTATATGTGCGTATCTAGAAGGTTTTTGAACCTTGTAACCTGATTCAATTGATTACAGTCCCATTTTCTGCACATGCTGCAGATATTTGCCTGTACATTTTTTGGAGAAAAAAAAGACATTCCTGTTGCAACTTCTTGTCAACAAAACTTTAGTTTGTAATCCAACAATAAATACAATATGATAAAATGAAGTACAATTTGCTATATTAAGCTCAGGCCCTCCTGTTGTAATTCTTGGATTTGTTTAGTGTCCATACTGCCTTCCTTTCTACTCTTCCAGCTCTGCTCCTCACCCCAGACATCTTGTTTTACTTTTTAATTTTTTGGTGGCGAAAACAAAATCAGAAAATGTATTATCCATTGTTTGGTAACTGTTTTTAGTGCTATGTTTTTGGAGCGTAATATTTTCTAACATGTTACAATAAGATTGTAGTGTAAAAAACACATTTATAAAACAAATATATAAAACAAGATATATGAGAAATGTATGTTCTAATGCAATAAAGACCAAGACCCAAGAACTGGATCTTGTTTTCTAATTTTTATTTGGGAACACCAATGTTGAACAGTGACACTTAGCTTTGGGCTCAAAATGTGGTTTCAAATTGTGTTTGACCTTTATGTACCCATCACATGTAAAAGGGATTAGTTTGTCATATTTGACTAGTGAGCTATATTCCTGTGGAGCAGTTTGTTCCTGTAAAACAGTGGCGTAGTGTAGTTGTGCAAGGCCCCTGTGCAAGTCTGTCGCCTGCCAAATACTACGCCATTACTGTATGATGTGTGCTCTCAACAAACCTTTAGGCAAATGAGAGTTAGCAGTCTGTAAATACCACAGCAAACATGACAAATACTTGTACATAGACACTCACACATACTTACACTCTCACACGCATAGGGGGCTGATGACTTGCTGAGATAACTGAGTTTTAGGATTGTTCAAACAGCCCTGTTGAGTCTGTGCACTGCAGCCTTTTTGAAGAGCTCCTGTAGCTCATTTTAAGATTGTGCTTTATCTTGAACAGCAATGGGCACTTCACCTTGGTATAGGCCATCTGTAGTTGCCCAGTTTTAATGCAGAGATGATAACAAGTGACTCATAAAGCACAATAGCCACACCAGAAACCATCTAATAATAACCATCTAATAATCTAAAAACTCTCCTGTAATCTAAATTCTTTCATTATAAAATAGCAATGTGTTCCTCTTGAAATCAGGTCCAGCAGAGGTTTTTGAACTCAAAATGACAAAAAAGAAACAGTTTGTGTGGTGATCATTGTTGTAATGGTAATGGTAATGGCATTGACAGTTTGCCAAAGGTGTCTGTTTGACCATGTTGACTCAGGGAGGTGCTCTGTCTCATTACGCAGGTAACAGCAGGAAGCTGAGCCTAATGATGACATCAATGTGCACAACATTAAAGAATGTTCCTTGAAACAGGTACTCTCACTTGTGAATGCTACTCCAGTCTCACCAGCAAAATGCAGGGAGCAAAACACCAGTGTAAGTGACTGTTCTGACACTAAACGACAAAAAGGGTCAATGTCTCTTATTTTACTCATTAATGTTGTTTTGTCCCTTTAAAGTAACTGAGCATTCAGAAGGACATGGCAAGGTAAGTCATTCAATCTTCATTTAAACTTAAAAGCTTATTTAATAAAATCATGCCAAAGTATTTTATTATGTATTATGTGTTCCACTTTTTTTTTCATATTTGATCAGATGTTTTGCTTGAAATGAAATGCTCTCGACACATTTGCCTTATTTTACTCAACATTCATAATATAATCTGCCCTTAAGTCTATATAAGTCTATTTATGTTCATAGTATTTACTTGTGTCACTTACCCACTTTTATAATATTGCAAAATTTTGCACTGGAAAATTATATTTTCAGATCAGACTAACGTTCACAGAATGTTTGAGATGCTTCTGCTGATTCAACTCAGTTTATTGAAAATATGAGATGTTGCTGAATCCTTGAAAACACAGTTTCACCTTTTAGAGACTTTACAGTAAAGACTTTAAGAAACCACTATATCAAGATTTGTCATGATCAGTTTTTAATTGGTCATATTTGGCATGTAACATTTCATTGTTTCAGTTTCCAGTAATTACATTTTTAAATGTCCTTTAAAATGACAGGTATATGTTGCATGTTTAATATATTCTTATGTTGTTTATAGGCTAATTTTGAACTGGACTTGTATGATTTAAGCCGCTGTGCTGCCTGTTACAACCACAGACCTCGTTACACTGATCATGAGTCCAGTTCTTCAGAGGGTTCTGGGCCTGACACCGACTCTGAGTCCAGCTCCTGCAGCAGCTCAGAGATGGACTTTGACGAACTGAGCACATATGACACATCTGCACACTGCACTGTGGCTCCAGGCTCATCTGTCCTGGAGAGCCCAGGCCCACCTGTCCTGGAGAGTCGAAGCTCACCTGTCCTGGCAAGTCCACCACCAGGGAGCGACTCAGCAGAGAGGAGGCGCACCAACAGGAGGACAGTCTCTGTGCGTTCTGATAGTGTACTGCTGGAGACCCCCAAAGTGACTTCTGTCCTTAACCTACAGGTTTTACCTCCAAGACACACATATGACCCTCACTACACCATCCGTCGCTGCCCAGAGGACATGGGACCCTCAGTGCCACATGAAAGAGGAGAACCTAGTCCAGTGGAGCCCACTGTACCAGTGCAGCAGACCCCGGTAATGCCCCTCCAGAGTAATGTCCACTGGCCTCAGTATGTGTCTCTCCCATCTCTGCTCCAGAGCGCTCCCTCCCCTCCTGTGCAAGCAGTGCACTTTGTTCCACAATACAGCCATACACAGGTGCACTATGGGCCATATGATCCTGCTCTGCTCCATGGCCTGGGATCAAGCCAATCGTACTACCAACCTTTGGGACCACGGCAGTAGTTATTTTTTAAATTCTCATTTGTCTCATCCATGAATACAACAGTGTTGAAATATTTGGTCACAGTGAACTGTGTATTCCTGTTCCTGTTTTATGCAACATTTTGTGGACCTTTAACCATTGAAAAGTTATATTATGTTTTTAAATTGTTGACAGCCCTGATTTTTATGTATATATATATATATATATATATATATATATATATATATATATATATATACACACACACATAAAAACACATAAAATAAACAAGAACAAAAACAACGAATAGACCTTTCCTTTCTTTTTGCCAGTGCCATTTAGCACTCTTCTCCAAATCAGACACTTTTACTCTCACAGCATTCACTGATTATGATTGAGTTTTAAATGCTGGAGTTTGATTATTGTCCTATTATATCACTTTTTTTCTTATTAAAGATGCACTATGTAACTTGCGCATATTTAGGTTGAGGAGGTGGAACAAGGTGGATCACTGTTCTACTTTGTGATGTCATGTGGTATTACAGGAAGTGCTCACTGTGTTTTTAAACTCCATACACCTTCAATAGAAGCATTTTGATGAGCCTGGGTATTGCCACTCTCTACTGAACTAAAGGTTAAAGGAGCTGTTAAAGCTGCTGTTTCATGACATCAGAGTTTTGGAGATGTAGGCAGACTAATAATGCAGGATTATTCCAACACGACTCCAGATATGTTTTTAATGAGGAAACAACATTATAGCATGGCTTAATTCTCACAAGAGTCAGTTCTGTGTAATATAGGACCTTTAAATACTCGAAACTATATTTAAATGGGTTTCTTTTTTAGCGTATGTTACGTGTCAGAAAGATGCCCTGGTATGCATTGATGTGGTACTTCATCTGTCTGTCTATGACCGACTGGCTCCACCCCTCCCCTCTCCTCTGGCCCCTCCCCTCTAGCCCCTCCCCTCTAACCCCTCTCCTCTGGCCCCTCCCCTCTAGCCCCTCCCCTCTAACCCCTCTCCTCTGGCCCCTCCCCTCTGGTCTCTCCCTTCTCCTCTCCTCTGGCCCCACCTCTCTTCTCCCCTTGCTCCTCTCTTGATGTTGTTGTCCACTTGTGACTCTGTGAAAATGGAGCCGAGCAGTCCAAAGAAGATCCAGTTCACTGTCCCCCCACTGCAGGACCAGCTGGACCCACAGGCCGCTGAACAAGTGAGTGCACGAGGAGTTAGGTACGGACGGTCTGATGCTGAATTAAAAATGTTTTGACCAAATAGAAAAATAAACAGTAGCATAATTGAAACCTAGCCTTTTAAACAAAGTGTCAAAATATTTCTGTCGTAAGTTATAATAGATTTATTAGGGTTTTTTTTTTTTCTAAAATTAAAAGTAATTAATAGATATAAACTTAATTTTCCTTATTTTGAATGGTTTGCTGCCTCCCTTTTTAGTGATAATGTCTCTGAGGGCACTAGTAGACCATGTCAACATTTAAATGAAAAATGTACATATTTGTCCTATAGAAAGTAATACTGTTTATACAGTACTGTACTACTGTTTATTGCTAAAGCAGTGGATTCAGTGGATTCTATGTTCATTTTGAAAAAACTGTACACATTTGATCTTTTACCTTAAAGATTCGACGCAGAAGACCCACTCCTGCTACTCCCTACCAAGTCCACAGACAGCCTCCAACAGGTATAGCCCTACAGAAAGAGCATGGAGAGGCATTCATTTGGTCACTGTATTACTGATGTTTACATTACAGTTCATAAATTACAGTGCTCATAAAATGCCTTAGTTTATTTGTTATTGCCATTATAATACAACTTTCTGTTTGAAAGTTTTGGTATTGAGTAATCATTTGGACTCTCTATGTTCTCTCTCAGATACTCAGCATTCATCAATCAGACACTCACAGGTCTGTATCAAGTCAGTGATAAGAGCTCATGTCATGTACATTTGTTTTTCTGTACAAACTTTTACTATTGTATTACTACTTAGCAGAATTCAAACAGCCCAGAAAGGAAATGCAGTGTGCACAGTCCTCCATCAATGAAAGGTAAATAAATATACAGTTAAGTTAACATTTCTTGGCTTTATAACGACAATCATGTTTAAAGTATTGTTAAATTTGCATATTAGCAACAGAGTTAGCGGACTTATTATACTTATTAGCACACCTTCTGTAATGACCGCTTTGTTTGTGATGTAGCGTTCTGAAGCTGTTAAGGTTCTGAGTGCACTGTATCAAATCTACTGAAGCTCTGGGCAGTTTCCAGGAAGGGCCCTGCACACTAAAAGCTTTGCCTTATTGATCCTGGAGCAAATGTCTGTGGAGGAGGATTTCACTATAGGCTTAAAATGTGAACAGAATATATGCAGTTACTCCAATGTGTGAAAGAAACCCTATCTTTGTGTGCCTATATGACTCGCAGGTAACAGTGTGTAAAAGGAAACTAAACTCCTCCTCCACATTAAGTTCCCATAATACACAAAATTGTATTATATAGTGAGCTTTAAGCCATGTAAGAATGTTGTTGCCTCATCTAAACCATACCTGAAGTGGTGTTTTTTTCATTCATACATGTTTGAGTAATCCTTTATGATTAGTCTGTCTAGATCTCCAAAGCTCTGTTCCAGTCTGATGAGGTTCATTTGGTCTTCTGATAATTTATGTTATTAGGTTCTTATTTCAGACCAAGAGTTTGTTTTCATCCTTGACAGTTTCGACTGCTCACTAGCAGTCTTCCTCAGAGTGGTCACGTGATGTTGCTGTGACGTGTCTGGTCAACTGATTTATACAGATTTTTGGTGCTGTCTTCCTACCGGTGGAGGCAGGATGACAGCACCGTCTGCAGTCCACCTTCCTCAGGACAGTATCCCAGGTGTGGTTTATAGCCATGTGGGCACGTTTCTGTATTTCGATTGCCTCTTTAATCCAGCAACGATGTTTGTTTTCCTCTGTCCCAATGATGTTTGCTCTGTCCCAGTCTATGATGTGTTTCTCTCTTTTACAGTAGTCAGAGATGGCTAAATTGTTCCTGTTCTGCTCTGTGTTTTGTTGCTCATGTGCACGCCTTTGCTGTTTCCTGTCCCATGTTCCTTTTTGTCGTGTACCAAAAAACCTTCCTATGTATATATGTTTTATTGTAGGACATGCAGGGTATTTCGTACATGACCTTACATGACCTTACCATCTTTTGGGTGGACGAGTAATTGCCTGAGTTTTCTGTAGGGTTTCACTGGTGTGCTGATATTGTATTTTGTCATTGCCCTTTGTACTTTTTGTTATGCCCCTGATATACCGTGTTACCATGCCTGTGCTCTTTTTTCTGTTTTATTTTTGTTTTTCTCGTTCTGTTTTTCTCCTCCACTTGAGGCTGTTTTTCTTTCTCTCTAACCTGTTGTTATCCTTTGTTTATTACCTATTTTGGGTATTGGCATTGCTTCAGAGCATTGTGAGTGTGTCTGTCCTCCTCTTGCTTGTCTTGTTCATCTGTCACAATGTTGGTTCTGTCAAATAATGTTCTTAAAACCGAGAGTTTGTGGGCTGTGGGATGTTCTGATGTCCATAAGAGGTATTGGTCAGTGTGGGTTGGTTTTCTGTGTATTTTTGTTTTGATGCTGCCATCTTCCTTATGTGTAATGTTCATGTCCAGAAAATTTGCCTATTAGCCACCTATTGTGTTTAGGTGATCTGACGGCTCCTGTGTCTTCTGTGTCCCTTACTGATCTTTTCCAGTGTGTCATCCACATACCTTTTTTAGTCAGTCCACATTTTGCTGGTGCTGTTTATGGCCTTCTCCTCCAAGTCCTCTACAAAGAGCTCATGATGGCCAGTATGGGGTTCCCCGTGGCGAAACCCTCTTTTTGTCAGTATATTTTTCCTTTGTATTTAAAGTATGTGGATGTGGACACAAACTGAAGGAGCTGGGTTATGTCTTCGACTGTCAGGTTGGTTAATTTCTGTAGTGCTTTATGTCCGGAGACGGTTCTTGACTATGTGCAAAGTGATGTTTATGGGAGTTTTTGTAAACAGGGATACCACATTGTGAGATTTTAATATTTCATTGGTTTGTACTTTGATGGTTTTCAGTTCCTGGGCCAGTTGTTTTGAATTCTTGCAGTGCTGTTGGGTATGGCCTAATAGTGGTTTTATATGTTCTACTAAAGCTTTTGATAAATTATAGGTTACTGAGCGACGCTGTTTACTATGGGTCTACTATGGGTAAGTGGGGTGTCCTTTTTGTGTATTTTTGGCGTGCCATATATTCACAGTGTGATATTTGCATTGGTTTAAAATAGTTGTAGGTTTCCTTGTCTATTTTTACTTCCTCTAACAGGGGATGTTGGAGCATTTTTAGCATCTGTTTCTTTTCCTCATTTGGGTCTTTCCTTATCAGTTCGTATGCACTTGTGTCCTTTAGTATGTTTTCCATCTGTTGTTCATATTTTTCTGTATCCATAATCACTGTAGATCTTCTTTTATCTGCAAAATCTGTATAAATCAGCTGAACGGACATGTCACAGCAACATCACATGACCACTCTGAGAAAAGCCGCTAGTGAGCAATCGAAACTGTCAGGTACAAAAACAAACTCTTGTGCTGTGTTCCACCTTGTGACGTCATTAAGCTGTAGTTTTCAAGTTAACAGCTCCTATTATCTTTAGTTCAGGAGAGACTGGCAATTCAAGAAGAGCTGAAATCACCCAAATGATTTGAGTGAAGATGTATAAATTATGGAGCTCTTCCTGTATTTCCATGAACTCTGCCTAAATATGCTGGGTTTATTTGTTAACCATGTGTGAATAAAGCAAAAAATAACTCCAGGTATGTTTTCGATGAGGAATCAACATTATAACACGAAGTAAAAAATAGTGTAATATGGCCCCTTTAAGGCCATTTAGATTCAAAACAAAAATTTCCAAAATGGTGCTATTGTTAGGACTAGAAGTCTGAATATGTAAATTTGCTAAAAAAAAAATTAAAAATTTAAAAAACGACTTACACTAACAAACATTTATTATTAGCCTGTATAATTAGCATGATTAAACTCATTTTATACTGTTTTTTTTTTTCATACAATACTTTTTCAAATTTATTACAGACTTCTCATGTGACGTCACAAAGGAGCTGTCCAGTCCTGGTTCTGTGTCCAGATAGAATCCTTTTCTGTTTGTTCAGCTGCTCACAATGAGGCCTCCATGACTTCGCTCACAGGTTATTATTGCTGTGAGTCTGTGAACTGAAACTTATGCAGTGATTCTCAAACTTTTCACACAGCACACCAAGTACCATAGGATGAAATTGATGTTCTGAAACCTGGACTAAAGTAGATATTAAATATGGAGAAAAATAAGACTAAACCGGGTCTACAATGAGACTAAACCATGGATAGTGCAGTAAATTATGTTTAACCCAAAAGAGGACATTAGATGTTTTAAATTAAACAAATAACAGCAGATGGCCTCATGTACCACCAGTTGTACACACACCCCAGTTTGGGAAACACTGACCTACAGGAAACATGTTTGTGTGGAAAGTTTTAGCTGTAAACTGTGTATACAAATGTAAATAATATGACCCCTTTCTGTTCCATCATCCAAGATGTAATCTTTAACAAAGTGCGCAATACAATGCTTGTATTTAATTTAAAATATGAATGTGCAAAGTCTAATGTAGAGTAATCAAAGCTTTTAACCATGGTTTACGGGCACAATAGCAAACATCCATCAAAGGTTTTTTTTTTCATTTTCAATCACATAGAGTAGCCCTTCACCGACATCTATGACCATTTCATAACTTCATTTAGCCTATCTTTACACACTGAAAAGATACTCAACTGGTAGACTACTTGTGCTGTATGCTTGCGCTGTACAATTGTTCATAAAGGTTAAAAAACGTTAGACATGTGCCTTGATTTGTATTTTATACAAAATTGTTCTGACAAATGCTCAGCCTAAATTAAACCTCAATAAAAACATAAAACCCACCACGACTGCAAAGGTTATGATGGTGATTGATAAGCACACCGCTTTGAGCCCACGCGTCTTTGTTATAACCTGCATATTGTAGACGAGCTGGGACAGTTTGGGGTTTGAAAGAGGCGGGCCTTCAACAAACAGGAACAGTGGGTGAGTGGTAGAAGAAAAGTTGGCTGCTGAAAGGTTTCTTGAGCGCAAACTGCGGCTGTCTGCGATCTTCGTGCTCCGACAGAAGCAGCAGTGATGGAGGAGGAGGCAGATGTGCACTCGGAGATCAGGCACTTCCCGGTGCTGTGGCCCTTGCCGCGGTTCAGGTCACATAGTGACACCTCCGGGTTCCACTCCAGAGTTCTGCTCCGGCTCCGGGGCGCGCGCTCAGGTAAGGGCAATTACAGCATCACCAGTCTTTTTTTATTGACGCGGTAAAATGTAGGTTATTGTTTACTTTTATAAGCCTACAAAAATAGTCTAAAACGAGAAGTGCATCTCCTGTAATGTAGTGGGGATTGGATACAATTGACTGATGTAGGCAACACCGTAACTCGTACAACTTTACAAAGAATGCCTCCTCCCCATAAGGTTTAATGAACAGCAAACTTTACATTTGTATTTTAAAAAGTTATATAAACAGTCATAGGATCAGCTGTGAAATAGTTTTTTTTCTCTCTTTGTCTCCGTGTCTTTTTCTGAAAACTCCTGGAACTTCTTTGGGTTAAGTATCACGGTGGTACTTTTGATGGCCTTGATTACAATGTTCTGCTTTGACCTTCAGCTCTCATCTTCACTGTGTTGCTGCATGCACCCGCTGTTACTGAGCCTTGTTGTGGTTACAGTCACTTCCTTCAGCCAGGTGCACTGTGTGCAGTTTGAAACTGGCCCTTTACAGCCATCCTGTATGTGCTCACTCTATTGTTTCACTTAGGCCTACATTAAGCTTCTACTCTAGTCACATTCTGTCCAGTTTTAATCTAAAAGAAGATCAGGTTTTGTTGTCACGGGAAGCCATAATTACAGGAAATGATGACAGAGCAAAAGAAATGCACTTGTAGGCCTACTAGAGATTTGTCTGTATACAATAGTTAATATTGTTTTACATCTGCATTTTTCGAATCTATCTCAACTAGTCTTTAGTCGTATTATCACAAGGACTAGCCTGAGTTTGGTCTTCTGTATCTATTCTGTTTAGGCATTTCAGAGCATGAAGGAGCAGGGCAAACAGAAGTCTTTGGCCTAGAATTTGCAGTAAATAAACCAGACAATAGAGGGCGCTAGGACACAGTTTTTGTCGTGGCCCTTCTAAGGTCTTTGCTCATTGAACTGCACAAAAAGACTTGTCACTTATGTTATGACCTGTGGCCTTTCATCAAACAGTACAAAGTTTAAACAATATTAATCATCATCATTAAAGGTACAATATGTAACTTTTTTGTTGGGGATCCTTCGCCTTCTTGTCTTAATTGATATGTCATTGTACTGCTTTGAATGTTTCACAGTTTGATATTAAGTAGCTCACCCTTACATTTATTTGTTATTTACAGATGATTTTATTGCTCAAAAATGTGTGTGCATGTGTGTGTGTCTATAAACATACACATGCAGACAGACACGCATATATAGCCTGTGTGTGAGTGTGTGTGTGTGTGCGCGCGCGCGTGTGTGTGTCTGCGTGTGTGTGTAGTGGTGTGACAGACTCTGTTCTAATTGATGCCAGTACAGAGCAAAAAGGAGAGGGTGATTAAGCAGGCGGAGGGAGGACACATGGGGAGAAGGCTCCTTGTGCTGCTCAGCTCAAAATAACATTGATTACAGAGCCTTTTGTCCCACAATAACCACTTGTTAAAATGTGCTGTAATGCAGCTTTACCCTGTCATGCCCCCACACAGTTCCTCCTGACTCCAACAGTTACTATGTACATTGTTACATTTAGGGGAACTTTTCTATTGTGTGTGTATGCAAAATGTTTAAAGGGAACATGTTTAAAGGGAACACATCTTTTAACTCTGCTGTAATGGCTTTCAATCATCATGAGTTATATATATCATACAGTTAATACTAAATACAACTGGTCTTTTTTTATAATAGAAATATGTGCAGGCTGAATTCTAAGAGGTTTCGCACAGTCACGCATAAACATTTCAAAAATTGTATTTAATGTGTGTAAAGGCGAGTTCTGGAAATATTTCTACATCCATATCCCTGCTAAAATCTGGTCAGCAATATAAACAAATGCTTTATTAAAGGGCCCATATTACTCCATTTCTGATCTATGCTATAATGTTGTTTCCTCATCACAAACATACATGGAATTGTTTAACACACAAATCCTCCATGTTTAGGCTGATTTCTTCTCTCAAACTAAAATCACTCTGTTCTGCCTTGTGATGTCATGTGGTCATACATGAAGTGCTCCACTGAGTTTTTAAACTCCATTTACCTAGAATGATTTGGATGATTTCAGCCCTGGATTGCAAATCTCTACCGAACAAAAGGTAAAAGCTACTGTAGCTGTTAATTTAAAACTACCACTACATGACATCACAAGGTGGAACAAAGTATTTTGAACTTTGGAGATGTAGACAGACTAATAATAAAGGATTACTCAAACATGTGTGAATGAAACAAAACAGAACCCCAGGTATGTTTTTGAGGAGGTAACAGCATTCTAACATGACTTAAAGCCCACAAGAGTCAGTTTTGCATAATATAGGACTTCATATGATTCTTTTGGTATGATGTCTGTTCCCTTACCCCAACATGTGTGAGATTTGTTGCCAGTTAAACAGCAAAAATCATCTTCAGTGGACTCGACCTCTCATATTTTCTCATGTGCTCATCTCTCTTTGTGACTGTCTTCTTTTGTGTATTAGTGTGATTGTGTGGGAAGGTGTTGCAGTCAATGAGCCAGGAGTTATTTTCTTCTTGCTTGTTGTGAACTGTTGTATTGGAACCACACTGACGTGCTGCTTTCTCAAAGATTTCTTCCTGTCCCATCTGTCCATCAGTAACTATGTGGTGTAGTTACTGGCTAAGCCTTTAACTCTATTAATATCAGTGGAAACACCTCGACAGCAAAGGAGCAGGATGTGTGTGCTTAAGTATAGCTGCTAATCATGTTGTGTACATAGGCTGCTGCTGACAATAGACATTTTTTGTAAATAGATGATCTTCAAAATCTGAAACTATCAAGACAAATGTATGTAGTATATATTAGAGATCAACTGATACAGGTTTTTTCATGGCTGGTTGAGTAGAGTAGAGAGCAAAAGATGGTCGATAAGCTCTGCCGATTTTGTGGCTGATTTTAATTATTTTCCCCCGAATATGTAATTTAAAACTCACCCAGAGCAACTGCGCTGTGTAGTCAAGTTTTGTGCAGTTATATCTTGGCATTAAATTGTTAATATAATGCTTTGTGTGTATTTTTTAAGCAGAAGATTGACCAAAACTAAATATCAGCTTTTGCTGGGGATTTAAGGTCAATAGCTGATATGCTAAAAAATAACATAATAAAAAAATATTGGCCAATCGATATATTAGTCTATCTCTATAGTTTCTTTCTCTTTATTTTCATTTAATTATTTTTTTTATTTATAAGCTGATTAATGAACACAAAAGTAAGTATACATGTACCCAGTACACTTAATGTTCATTTCACATATTTTTTGTTATTTAAGCTAGAAAAAAAGTGAGAAGAACTTATAATGTATAACTTATTATTATTTTGGATGTAATGATCTCTGTTATGTATCTGTGCAGTGCATCTGCAGGTAATTTTCTCCATAAATTCTGTTCAGATCAATAGTGAAATGACAAATATTTACTGTTCTGGCCAAATGCCCTAAATAGATAACACCATGTTTGTATGTGATTTAATAAACTGTGATAACAGATCATTATTTCTACAGATTAACGCGTGTTACTATCAGATGGTTTAAACAGGATATTAAAAATCAGCCTCGTATTAGTATTTGTTGCACTGACTTTTTCAATAGCTGAAAAAAAGGGAAGTGGAGCAGTTAAGAATTAATATTAATAGCACAGCTACTAATGACATGAAGCTAACTGATTTATAATGTAATAACAATGCCGTTTTTGTGGTACCATTTGTTTGTCTCCACGAGGGCGTGCTTTGACTTGAATGTTCTACAGTAGAGCATTACATTGATCTATCTAGCATTTGTTTCATTATGGGTGTTGTTATGGCTAAAACAATACCTTGAAGAACTTAAAAAACATGCATTCTTACTGTGAAGCAGGTTTGCCTCTGGATCTCTAACTTGTCGTGGTGCCATTACGTGCTTGCCTTCTTGAAGATAAATAAGTGTAATGCCATATTGTGGAACATTTGAGGCAAGACAAAAACATGTTTTTTTGAATACAGGCGGCAGGCCGTAGTTACATAGTGCATCTTTAATCTTAGTAAAATAAAGCAATTTAGCATTACATGAATACTTAAACTGTGTGATGAATTCTACAGGTTTCTTATAGACAAAACAGCCCAAAGCATCCAAACACTATAGACTTTACATAGAAAGCCTCGGAAATAGACAGACAGCGGATGAGCAGTGAAAGGGACTGGAGCCAGATTGCCAGGGGAAAAAGTGATTGGCCAAGACAGAGATAGAGATAAAGTCCGCTGGAGATGCGCGCTGTCGTGAAGAACGGAGATGGAAACACATTAACTTTTAATGCTCTTTATTGGAGTGGGCGGAGGACAGTGGGCCGGACCAGAGAGGCAGTACCAACACCATGGGAGGGATGAGCCAAAAGAGGAGAAGAAGAGAACAGCAAAGAGAGAGAGAGGGAACAGGCAGTGAGAGAGGGGGAAAGGGACAGAACTGGACCATTAGTGGAGGAAGATAGGAGAGGTCGTGTACTTAGGATAACCTGAGACTTCAACCACTGCTACACCAGGCCCAGACATGGAGAATGACGGTGAGATTCTCCTTCCTGTTGTTTGCAAGTGTGGCAGCAGTATAAATAGAACAAGATAGACTGCATAGTGTTGAATGTCTATATTAAACTGCTATTGAACTGCATGTAAAGTATACTGTACTGTATATGTACACTGTTAAGTTTATTAAGGATTTCAATGCTGACTCAGTTTTGAAGAGGCATTAGTTCTCATTTCATTACAATGACGGATACTTTAGTTGGGCGGCTGTCAACATTAGAGCTGGTTTTTCAAGTTTTAATGTTGAGAATTTCAGAAATGACAAATCAGAAATAACATTAATGCTTTTACAATGGTGTTGCTAGGTGTTATGTTGGCAGGCAGCTTGTCTAGGGTTTGTTTACACCTTACTTAAATCCTTACCATGCAGTGTGATGTTGAGAAGCGATTATGGATTTTGTAAGTGTGCCCAAAGTTACATTATGGTATTATTATGTGGTGTGTTATGGAGATGACTCTGGTTTAGTCTGTTTGTTGAACTTTGTTTAAAGTTTGAGCCTGCAGTCTTGTCACATTCCTCTTTATGCATGTCACACAGCCTTCATCATATTCAAAATACTTGCATATACATTAGAAAAGTGTCCAGCTATGTGAATTAGCCACTCATGCACTCTGTCTTACATCTCAAATATGGACAGGGAGGGCGCCTGAAAGAATTATAGGCAAATCCTGAATCACTTCCATTTTCAACTAAATTTAACCTTTAAATTTATCCTAAAAACTATATAATGTTCATTCATCTGTCTGTTTGTAGTTTACCATTCAGAAAGCTGGTGACCTACTATATTAATAGACCATTTGTATGAAAGAAATATAATGTATTTCACAGTTCTTAAGTTGCCGTGTCTTAAATGCTTGTTTATTTCTTCTCACAATCATAGAAACATTAAAATCTGATATTGTGGCATTAGCATGCAATGTGCATGTATGATTTGTCTCTTCATAGAATTGTGTGCAGCAAAAGTGTTCAAAGACACTGGCCAATTTGGAGTTGCGGTTAATTTGACAAAAGCTATTTGCAAGTCAAAGCAGCATCTGTGACAACACACATAAATATGCATGTTTTTATGTGTGTCCAGGGAGACCGTCAATGATCCTATCACATTATTACATGTGTATTTTATATGGTATGATTGTGACCCGGGCACTGGCACTACTCACTATTCCAGTTTAGAGACTGTGACATTGTTGACCAGCATTCTTGATATACATAACACACTCAAGTGTGTTATATAAATAAATAAATAAATAAAATAACAATATATATATATATATATATATATATATATATATATATATATATATATATATATATATATATATATATATATATATATATAATATATATATATATATATATACATACACATATATTTATATATTTATATATATTTATATATAATATAGTACATTTCTGATAGATCTGAGTAAATGTAAGCAACCTTATATAGTTATAGTTCCCAGTTGTATATGCAGCCATCTTGTTTACTCTACACTGTCCTCTTATGGCCTCTTTTCACTTTCACCAGCTACCCATAGAACTTCCTGTCATAGCATTAAGTCCTCTGTGTTATCTATGGCTTTAATACTCCATCAGTATGTGATTCTTCTTGCCCCTATTCTCTTTGTGCCCCTCCTAGCCTCACTTTCCTTGAAGCTCTCTGGGCTGGCAGGATGTCAGGTATTGATTGATTCCAACAACATTTTAGCAATGATAGCAGCTTATGGCTTGTGCCAAACGCAGTACAACAAACAGGAGATCAGGTTTCAGAGCAGTGAGCGAGCAGTTGGAAAAGAAGTAACCAAGCTATATCAGAGAAAAGAAATACTCTGGTTTTATTGTATATGACTGAGATGGTACGAAATACAACTGCACACATGACAGTGCACTTGGTGTAATGAATTGTCGCTCACCCGGAAGTAATAATCAAATAACACAAATCTGCGATATCCGGGAGAGTTCTTTAGCCCAGCACTGCTTCATCAGAGCACTCCAGCGTAGGTGCCAGTGATTCATCTGGAACATGTGTATAAAAATATAAATGTGGAAAAATATGAGACAAATACTTTATTTTAGAAAAGAGATGTGTGCATGAACTGAGAAAGATGTGTTCTACACGACAAAATATGACAAAATACGTATTATTGCCTGTTAGGCTAGTAAGTAACCAATCATATTTACTACTATTTACTAGATAGACACATGTATTCACTCTTGGGTGCAGTTACATTAAACATTAAACCAGGGGTGTCCAAACTTTTTTTCATTAAGGGCCATATATCTAAACACATATGAAGCAGAGGGCTGATCGAGGGCCGTAGACTGATGCTCAGTACAGTGAATAATTGAAATATGTGCATGTTTAACACATTAGAATGAGCCATCAGTCTTTATTCATGCTAAGATCCTTAAATCCACACACTAAATTTTTAATATTAGCTTTATCGAGGTAGATTTTCAAAAAACTTGCAGTAAAATGTTTTTTAAAATGTTAATTTTTAATTGATGTCAGGTCATCTGGGTCAATTCACCCGTTAGCCTGAGGGCCAAGAAAAATTTGTCTGAGGGCCACATCTGGCCCATGGGCCGTAGTTTGGACATGCCTGCATTAAACTGTTAAACACTGACTTAAAATTGGAATGATTCACAAATTGCAAAGACTGGATTTAGGCCCTTTCAAGCAACATAATTTCCTCACAGAACAATTATGCTGTACTTGCTAGACCTGTACAAACATATTCTGAAAGGCATTTCATTCTTGTATTTGTAGCAATTGCTATTACAGTTTCCAAAAACGTTCATCTTAATATGCGGTCAGACACGTGTATTAGTTTTGATAAGCATGCCTGGCTGCTCTTGAGTCACACTCTAACAGTTTTGTGCTGACAGTTTTATTCAAATCACAGCTCTCTGTAAAACACAATAAAAGATTACAAGGCAGTGTGTAGTATTGATCCTCAGAGGAAAGTCCTTTAAAATGTATATATTTTTTGCAATCTTTGTATGTGCATAGCAGTCATATTTTATGAGTGAGCAGGCGTTGCAGTATCAAAAAATCACAGCTGTTTTTGGAGTTTAATAAATAAAGGTAGTGCGGGGAGAGGAGCTTCTATTTAAACAATTATTAGCTTCTGGTTATGCTGAGGTCACTACTTAATATTTGATGACTCTGTTCCTCTCCACTCTGGTCTTCCTCCAGCGCCTCTGACTTTCTGTTTTGTATTGTGGTCAATAAAGACATCACACCGTCCCCATTTCAGTTGGACCTCCATCATATGACATCAACTGTTTTCAGATGAGATCCTGATACACTTTTATTTTATGTTTTCTGTCTTCTGGCCATGATGCTCAGTGGGCTTGTTGCCTTATAGTGCTGGTATCCATGTTACTCAAGTCACAGTGGTCACATCATTTGAAAACTTGAGCTCCAAAAACACATTTAAAGTGATGTAAATGTAACAAGATAACAGAATGGATTCTTTCCCCCACAACACAAAATCAACATGACATTCAAATCTTTGTTTTCCTTCTTTGCGTCATTAAGTGCTTCTTCCTGTCATCTGTCACTATCCTCCAATGTCTTCACTTCCTTCCTGTGACACTTCCTCCTCATTGCCTAATGATTGTCCTTTGAAAACATAATTGTTGTGCCAATATTTTTCAGGTTGACATTTCACAAGAACAGAATAAAGTTTCCGAATGCATACTCCACTAAAACACAAGTGGGGACTTGATCTCCTGCTAGATATCAGTGAAGAGGTGCCATGAACTGAGGCTATGAGAGACAATATATATTATGAGTTCACACATTTATCTAAAATACTGTTATGCCGTGATGCTATTTTGATAGCATGTAAAATGTGAGACACACCAGAGGACATATCTACTTTAGATGTGTTTGTGTATCTAAACCCCTCACAAATCCTTACATTTAACAGCCAGCAGCTATCAGAGAAATAACATGTTATTGTGGCTGCCAAAGGCAGTAGGCCTACTGTGTTAATTTTACTCAAGAACATTTACTTGAATCCAGGCAGTTACTCTTACAATTACTCCAACTTTTGTTTGTATTGCAAATGTATTATTTTGATCTGGGGTGGATCATTTGGAAAATGTATCCTCTCATTATTAACACCATTATCATTGACATCATGATTGTCACTAGAGGGCAGTCTTGGTTTGACGGAAAAGGCTTTTCTTCACCTCAGTCAGCTCTGATGTGAGCCCCCTGGTGGTCGTATGCTGCCCTGCTCGTGTGTTTCTGTGAGGCCTGAGCAGACACTGTTGACACTAATGACGGTTAAATATGACACTCACACTCAGAGCGTTTAAACTGTGGATTTTGCTCCTTAGGGCTGAAGATGACTGTGAGCTCATGCTGTGATCTTATGCTGCTAATATTAACACATGTATCACTTATGATCCTCTATGGAAGCTTGGATGACAAATCAGGTTATGCTTTTCAATTCAAGTTATGAAATGTTATATCATTTAATAGAAAAGATGGCCTATGTTCACAGTTGTATTCCCTATTTTATGTGTTCTCTTTATTTGACTTTGAATTTCCTAGAATGTTTGGATAGATTTCTTAAATACAAAGAGACTGCTAATTTGTAGTATGATTCTTCTTGGTATTGAATCTATAGAGAAACTTTAATGGATTTGTAGTACAGAATGGAGACAGATCTGATCCCTCACTTCCTCAAATGACATAACTGTAAAAGCACTGTAGTACAAGGCATAGACAAATGTGTATCCTACTACTAAATCATTGCATTCGTACTGATGCAACTCGTGCTATAGGCTAACACATTGATAAGCCTTTGATCTATTGTTGCGCCCTATAGCACACAAGCGTCGTGTTATTTTTAGAGTGTGTGACATCTATATAATTTGTTCCATGAGCTCACTCTGGACCTAAACTCCAACACAGTTTTACCAGTTTTTGTTGATCTGTCCACACAAACATGAGGATGAACCACTGCGACTGTTTTATACTGGATTGCTTTTTTTTGTTTTTGTTTTTTGTACTTTTTTTTGTACTTTTTTGTAATAGCCTACTGGCCCGCGCTGTTCGTCCATCTCTCATTTTAAGCTCGTGTTAACCGGTGGCAGGAGGTGGCAGACCCCGTCACCCTCTGACCCCAGTAGTGCTCTAATCTGCATGAAGGAATGAGCGGCATTCTTCAGCTGCTGTGTTTCGTGTGTTGTGCGAGCAGCTCCAGACCAGACATAAGAGAGAGAAAGGCGAGGGGTGGGAGTGGAGGACGTTACGACGTAGAAGTAGCGCGCAACAGCCCAGTCCGAAGAGTTGAGGCACCAAAGTTTCCAGCGAGCGTAACGGCAAGAAACTTTTTGAAATGAACGCGCAGGGGGTACGCGGATGGGATTTACGCGGTGGTAAAAGCTGAACATGGGCCAGGCTGCTGTCTCCACCGTGTCCCAGACAGCTAGCGGTGAGTAGTCGGTCTCATGTGGGCCAAGTGCCGTGCGCAAGCGATGCACATTCCGCTATCTTTATTCAGGAAGTCTGTCACTTCTATTTTAGTCGTATACTCACAAACTCGACGTGCATTCTCGTTGTAAAAAGAATTAGATCCTTTACATAACCATTGTTAAACTCATGAAACGGGCTTAGTAAAAGAATGCAGGCTGCTGCGTAAAACTGTTCCCACACAGGAGTATTTTATGAGTGGTTTATGGCTGCTAAGAAGATTGGGTTACTTGGAAGACACTTTCAAATTAGGACCTACACTAATCAATTTTAACTATGTCCATCTTAAGTTGCCTAAATACAGACCTACCTCTAAATATATACCATTTAATACTACTTTCCACATTAGCAGCTGGAAGCATTTTAGCAGCTGTGGGTTTTTTTCTCTGGAGTGTATAGTTTTGTTTTGGACAGTGTCTAAAATCAGTCAAATGGTATCCTAGCCTACTAGCCTCTTTGTGGTGGTCGCACGCCTACAGTAGATAGTAGTTGTGACTAAAATTGTCTATGCAAACACTATGCAAATGTGTAGAATGATTTGCTCTATCAACCCTAGAAAAATGTCCTACAGCTAGTTTTGATAGGTAGGTTTGCCACAATAACAACAATAATTCTTGAAGAAGGAAATCCAGATAATAAACGATAATATTGAAACCAAACTATAAGCAGAATTATGACCCCGGAATGTTTTAAATGCACAATATTCTTAAAAACATGAGCTGAAATTAAAAAAAAGAAAAATGTATCCATAAATAGTCAGTCATAGAAATTCATGTTTAAATCTTCTACAGCTCAAATCTCATCATAGTACAGAAAAAGAACCAAGATTTCCCCACTAGTGCAAAGAAAAAGTCCCCACTATGACTACTGACCTCCAAAAATTGTTGTTCCATCTATGTATCAATAGGTCAGTATAGAATTTACTGTGACAAGCCTAGATGTGTGAAGTGTGAAATTCTCTTACAATGCACAAGCTATCATTTTCCATTTCTACATAATTTCAACAATTGCCAGGTTGACATCTTAACTAAGCTCATTGAATAAATTAAAGAATACACAGGAGTTACATTAAAGAATACACAGGAGTTACATTAAAGAATACACAGGAGTTACATTAAAGAATACACAGGAGTAATCATTGACTTGCCTTGAACTTGCCTCTAGTGGATCCCTCTCTAATGTGTATTACTAGGCCTGTCACAACAACAAATTTTGAAGTGGGATATATCAATGAAGTAAATGTAAACAATAATATTGAAACTGATTTATACCACTGACACAATAACACAAGAGCAGATTTAAACCACAAAAAGATACTATATCTACAATACTGTTGAAAAGTCATGAGTTGCAAAAAATAAACAGCAGAATGAAACACATCAGTACTTAGTTTGCATCTGCAGTGAGTCAGAGAAGTGGTTAATTCAACTTTTTATGGCGCAAATTGACTAATTGTATTAGTAGTGCAAAGTAAATTCACAATAAATGTTGATCCCGAAAATGTATTGTTCCAGCTTTCATATATTGAACGATAAGTCAATTATAGTGACAGGCCTAAGTGTATTCTTATTATTATGGTGGTAACACAAGTTTATTGGCAGTTTTAGGATTCTCTCTGTTTCATAGTCTAGTTTAAATCCACACAGGGACCTCCAGGCCATACTAAAAATCCATATTGTTAATGCCCCATTTTGTGTGTTGCATAATGCTGTAGTGATTGCTTTAAATGCTGAATTGACAGGACTTACAGGCAGCCATAAAAGAAAGAAGAAGTTCTTTTGTCAGGCTAAAACTCGTGTATTTGGTAGTTTTTGAAATTATGCAAGCTGCACACTCCAGCCTACACAATGTCAGAGAGATGAGAACATTCACTGGAAGAAATGACCCAAGTGTTAAAACAGCAGCCAGTGCCCAGGGCCGCCCTCTCTGCTTGCTCATCTAACACAACTGAGCTAAAACTACATATGCGCTATATAAGTAGTGTTCATGCTATATGCAGAGGTGGGATGAAACTAATTACAAATCATATTATTTTTAGATTATTATACTTTTGATGTAGCTCTTTAAACTTGTACTTGTAACTGAATAGAATTATAGGTCTGTAAATGTAATAAAACTACATATAAAAATCATAAGAGTTACAGAGTACAGTTCAAGCCTTATCTACCTTATCTCAAATCATGACTCTCAGCTCTGTCTCTGCTCCTTTCTTTACCAAAAAACATAATGCGATTGCGGTTTTAAACAACAAACAAGCTTAAAAACAAACAGAAACACTACAAAAATAGCATAAAAAATAACTATAACTGTAGTAGTAGTACTTATACTTTTTTTTTAAATTGAGTACATTATTAGCAAAGTTTCTGTACTTTTGCTTGAGTACAGATTTTCAGTTCTCTTTCCGCCACTGCTTATGTGTTAGCTGTAAAAGTCCTAGTAGTTTTAATGCTGATATTGGTAGCAGAACTGTAGCTCTATTAGTCCACTAGTATCTTCGGTATCTGTTACTTCTGACTAAAATAAACAATACTTAAGTTAATGCATATTACACTTTTTATTAGGTTAATAAATAGACTACCGGTTGAATCTGCGCTGTGTTAATTAGTTTTACATCTGACATTTTCCATTTTCCAGTGGTGATCTCTTGCACTGTGTCCATTTGTAACATTAAGTCTGTTCTTAATGTCCAAGTGAGTCGCAGAGAAGGAAGGAAGCCTCTCCCTTCCACCCCCTTTTCTCAGCACATGTTCCTGCTATAACATCTGAAAAAAAAAAGACTCCAACTCTATATTACGTCACTCATTTGACTGTTAAATGTTGTTTACCAGCTCCACAGCACCTACACATTTGTTTGTCCTGTTTGCACACAATGTAGAGTTTCTATTGAAAAATCTTAACCAATTTCTGTTTGACTTTTGCCGATGATGTGCTCTTGATTATCCACTGGCTCCTTCCAAGCCCTGACTCACACTTCTAGTATGACACTTGTATAACTCTAGTCAGCAAGTTGTTTCATTTTGCATTTGCAGCAAGCATACACTTTATTTGAATGATAAAGAGATGCAATGAGTAACTTATAACATGTGGTTTTGATAGTTAGCAAATCTGTTTAGCAGAGTGTAGCAGGGTTGAGCAGTACATTGAATAAATAAATACATGAGATGGAGCTTCAGTCATTTTTAACTTAGGAGTCCTCAGCCAATCCTGTCAGTAAATACATGTGATTTGGGTTCAAACTTGGAGAAAGAGATGTGACTGCTTTTTTTCTGTTTTAAAGGTGCGCTGTGTAACCTTTCTAGTAACCATATCAATGTCTCATGATACAATATCGTCACAGTATGATATTTATTGCAATATTGTGGGAAAGCTCACAATATGGTGGGGAGGCTGATAATTAGGGATGTAACAATATCTAAATCTCTCTGTACGATATACATCTCATGGTACGATATTTATTGTGATATTTTGTGCAAAACTGTGAATATGCTACTTTTTCTTCTTAAAATGCCTTGACAAGACTTAATCCAAAGAACTAAGACTTAGAAGTGCTTAGAAGTGTTATTTCTTCTTGTTGTTTACACTGAAATGGAGCAAAGGATCATGGTCTATGTAGTTCCCTCTCTCTTTTTTAGCTATCATTGCACCATAAGTCTTAATTTAAACAAAGAGACTTGTGATTTGATATATTGTGATGGTCGATGATATTATTGTGAGAACTTTGACAATACAATATCACGATATTCTGCTTATTGTTACATCCCTACTTTCTAGTAGATGGCCCACCAGTTACTTGTCTCCATGGAGATGTTATTGCTTTGCCGCCAATGTTACAAAATATGGTATTTCTTAAATTCCATAGAAACAAGCAAGAGATGCCACCAGGGCAGTTTACAGGTGAGATCTGTGAAGAGATGAACTCACCAACTCAGTCAGAATGCATTTTTTAAGATATTTTGAGCAATAAAAATACCCATAATTTAATAAATGTGTTTGTAAATAAGCTTAATACTATACTGTGGAATATTACAGGCAAAGCAATAGAGTCTCCGTGGTAGTGGACAACCAGCCTGAAAAGTTACGCAGTGCACATTTAAAGTTACTAGTCAAAAGTGTGTTTATCTTCAGTAAAATCAATATAGAAAGATATTTTATTCACTTAAAAGAGGATCAAAAACTGTAATAGAGCAAAGAAAAGAAGATTCAGTATTTTATCGTACAGTATCATCCTGTCCTAGACTGTAGCATTGATTTCGTGTACAGTTCATTCTCGGAAGGAAGAACATTTAAAGCAGTATAAGACTAAAACTTGTCAATGTTAAGATGGACAGTTGCTCTCTATACACCCAAAATCTCATGTTCTCATTTCTGTGGGAGTTTATATTAAAAAGAGGCTCATTCCAAATTAATTCAAGTTTAGTCTCAGCCAAGTCCAAATGTTGCCTCTTTATTGTTATTTTTCTGCTTTGTTTGTAGCTACTTGGTCAGTAATGGGTGAGTAATGAGTATCAGATTCATGTATTTAAAAGTTATCTGTCGTTATATGCCTTGTAATGGAGCTTTTATTGTTTGTTTTGAATAGTCTCTCTTCTTCCTGGAATCCTAGTAGACATTGTCCTTCCTTAATCCCACCACTGGTTTAATAGCGCAATCATGTAGTTTATAATCTATGTTACTGCCGGTCCCTTCATAAACTGTATACAAAGCAGCTGCTCAACTGCACCTATTGTTTTGATTTGAGATCCACACAGGAACAGGAAATGGTGCGTGTGTGAAGGAGAGGGCCTGAGTGGAGTCTAGGGACACAGAGCTTGACCCAGCACTGCTCTGTAATCATATGATCATATTTTCCTTAGAGCTGAGGAAGTATTGTTGGAAGCATTCAGATTATTATTATGTCATTGTTTTTTGTTGTTTCATTCTCTCATTTGAGCTGAGATTTTTCTCTGAGGTAGTCAGAAGGTCACAACTTTGCTTTATTTTACATTTACAGATACTTTACATAGATATATTTTACATACTTCCTGTCAATGTATTTTCAGTTCATAAAGGAAGGAGTAAGCTAATAGCAGTATAGTACTGATTTTGAACTGAGATATGTTTCTGAAGTAAATATAGACGATAAATGATAATACTGAATATATATTGTTAAAATCACATGAGCTGCAGCAAATAAATAGCCGAATGAAACACTGAAGTAATTAGTTTGTGTCTATAATGAGTCATAGATCTTTTTTAAATTTCAACAGCGCAAATCTTATCATATTGTGAAAAAATAACCAAATCTCTCCCACTATCTCAAAGTAAACATACCCACGATACATATTAACAATTGTTCCATGTCTCATTTATTGAACGATAAGTCGATACAGTGATATCGTGACAGGCCTAACCAGTACTATTATTAGTATTGAGTATTGAGCTCAACAAGCATTCCTGTGACTAATCAGCTATGAGATAACTAATGACACTTAATGTAATTAACAATATCTTTTTGAAACCTCATAAACCTCAAATTTATACAAACATTTAGATAATTTTTATGTAATCAGATTTGGCCAATTAGTCCAATGTCCACTCTGATGGTCTCATTTTGTTTGCAATATTGTTGCTGATAAAAAAAATATTTGGATCAGCTGATTTGTTTTGCTTAACTCTGTTTGTGATACGTCTTACTGGTGTTTGTTGTTATTGATATCAGCATCTCTATATAAACCTTTTTGATGTTCTGCACTATCTGTAATTTTGTTTCTTCAGTCTTATGTCATAACGTTGTGTTGAAACCGCCTAAACAGAATGATCACATGACCCACTTTTACTACCATTGTGTTTATTGACATTTACAGATGCACAGATCAAAGATCATTGGTTCACTTTTACTACTATAATAATTGTCCCACATTATCTCTCATTCCCGCATTTACAGATTGTACGTGTCAAAAACAAACACTACCATTGCTAACTACCTAAATTATGCTGTGGTTTAGGCCTGTCACAGTAACAAAATTAGAAATATGATATTTTGCTGAAGAAAATAGATGATAAACAGTTATATTTAAACTACTTTATTCCACTGACACAATAACTCGAGAAGATTTAAACCACAGACATTATTTTACATCTACAATATTGTAAAGGAAAAAAAAAACATGAGCTGCCATAAATAAATAGCATAATCAAGCACTTAAATACTTTGCATCTGTAATAAGTCACAGATGTTATGTATTCAACCTTCTATGGCTTAAATCTTATTTGCCAAAAAAAATGTACACATGATAAATACTGACTTGAAAAACTTATATTGAATGATAAGTCGATATAGTTATTATAGTGGCAGGCCTAGTTGTGGTCTGACTAAACATCCTGAGGAAACATAAGATTCTTTATCGTTCATTTGTACTCCTCTTGCCTCAGTTTAAATCCTGAAATGTCCTTATAGCTTGATTAAAACTGTAGATTCCTTCTATTCTTCGTCCCCACATTGTACTATGGAACAGGACTTTCACAGCAGTGTAATCTGTGCAGGAAGAGGAGGAGCTGTGGACGGACATGAATCTGGCCAAGACACACAGAACCACTGCACCAAGGCGCACTAGAAAAATATCCTGCTGCAGCTGATAGAGCACTCAGAGCCTGTAATTACCATCATGTGCTCCAGGACTGTACTCATGTAGCTGCACGTTGCTGCAAAATAGTTTAGTTCCTCAATTAGCTATAAATATTAGAACTTCACCAGGTTTTCTAGTGTGTAATGTGCTTTATAAGTGGGTGAGAATCATCTATAAAATAAAATTAGAGTTGTTCTTTTGATGTTATGCTAAATAAGAATATCAAGTATATTGGCACAATTAAACAGAACAGTAAAAATGTATGATTCATGCACAGAGCATGAATCATACATGCACAGGATGCAGCAGAATGCTCCAAACAGGGTATAGGGTGATATTTTCTCAGATTTTCTCTTCTGATTATTGTTGTAGAGCAGAAATATCCAAACTTTTTTGTTTGTTTGTTTGTTTTTTAGGCCCTCATTTTGAAATGTATATAAAGTAAACACAGTTTTATTCCCCTTGGAACCTTTTATCTCAGGTTTTATTACATCTGTGTGTTTATTACTGGGGTTATGATTATAAAGGAATTGATAAAATAGTCATAAAAACTACTGTTTAAAGTGCTATTCATTTGGGCCAATTCAGCTGAAAGTCAGAGGGCCACAATATATTGGTCTGAGAGCTGCATGTATTTATTTCAAAGACAATGCATATTATTATTATTATTACTGTATGAAAAAACAAAAAATTGATAAAATAAAATAAAAAAAAATATGGCACCCGGACCATAGTTTGGACACCTAAATAAATAACTGTTTTATAACCATTTGCTGCATGCTTTGTTTTTTGCATTTATCATTATTACTGGCCAATATATTTCTTTCATTTCAAACCTGCTTCTTCAGTAATGAAAACAGATCCATTCAATACTTTCCCATTATGTGTCCTTTGTTGTAGTTGATGGGTTGGAGAAGTCCTCATCTCTGGCCGGCTGTGACGTGGTGGTGGACAGCGCCACAAATACACCCAATGGCTCCCGACAGCAGAGAGGCAAGCTGTCGTCTTTAGGAAAAATCTTCAAACCGTGGAAATGGAGGAAGAAGAAAACCAGTGACAAGTTTCAGGACCTCTCCAAAGGTTTGTGTCTCATTGTAGTACAGATAGATCACAGCATTTAGTTGACTTTAAAGGGCCTATATTATGCTATTTGCTGATCTGTATTATGATGTTTCCTTGTCACAAACATACCTGGAGTTGTGTTTTGTTATATTCACTCGATTAACACTTAAACCCTGCATATTTAGACTGTGTTCTTCTCTCAAACTGAAAACACTGTGTTCAACCTTCTGATGTCATGTGGTAATACAGGAAGTGTTTGTAAACTCCATACGCCTTCACTAGAATCATTTGGATAATTTCATCCCTGGAATTGCCGAACAAAAGTAAATGGTAACTGTTAACTTGAAAACTACTGCTTCGTGACATCACATGGTGAAACAGAGAATTTGAGCTTTAGAGATGTAAACAGATAAACTAGGATTACTCAAACATGAGTAAATGAAATAAAAAAACAACTTCAGATATGTTTTTAAGGAGCTCACAGAAATCAGTTTTGTGTGTTATTGGAGCTTTAACATTTTAAAAAGGTCAAACTTTGTCATGTTTATGTGATTTCTATTCCTTCAAATGAGTATCTAGTACTGATTAGTATCTGGTAGTGATAATTTTGACTGTCCTACTCAAAGGTAAGTAAGTGAGATTCCTGTTCATCACAAGCATTAGATTACTGAGGTGTGAAGCTAAATTATTAAGCGTCAAGAGAGAAATATATTCAGTACTGATTGTTGTGAGTGGTTGCTTGTTTCATAATAGTGTCTTAGAATTACAGGATTAGAAGCTTTTGACAAGAACTGCAGCTATTACGGTCTCCTTCCTTCTCACTAGGAAATAGGCCTGTCACTATAATTACTATATGGACTTATTGTTCAATATATGGAAGCTGGAACTATATATTTTGTGGGTATTTTTTCTTTGCACTGTTGTTGTTTTTTTCTTGCACTACAATACATTTTGAGTCCTAGAGGGTTGAATAAATGGCTTTTATGACTCATTCTAAATAGAAAATATTTTCACTTCATTCTGCTATTTATTTATTTCAGTTTGAGTGTGTTTTTTTTTTTTTTTTTTTAATCACATTATACATTTAGAATAGGGTTTGTTGCGATAATCCTGCTTTAGGGTGTGTTAGTGTCTTAAATTAGTTTCAATATTATTGTTTATTGACTATATTTACTTAAAGGTGTATTGTGCAACTTTCCTGGTGGAGGGTCCATCACCTGCTTGTCTCCATGGAGATGTTAGTAGTTTACCTGGAATGTTCCGTGGTATGACTTAAAACATATCCATCTAGTATTTTTCATTACAGGTGTTTCTATGCCAAAAATACAGTAATTCCTCTAGTGAATAGGGGAACTCTCCACAGATCTGAATTGTAATGTAACCTAGTGGCGAAAGCTGCTTATGATATTTAGGTTTAATCTATGCTGTGGAACATTTTAGACAAAGTAATAATATCTCCATGAAGACAAGCAGACGGACCTCCACCAGAAAAATGACACAATGTACCTCTAAGCAAGATATCACTACTGGGGAACTCCCTTTGAACCTATAGATGTTCATTCTTGTCTATGTCTAACAAAGATCTTCCCATAACAGTTTCAGTACATACACTGATGTTGCAGCCTGTACATCCAAACTGAAAATCTAGGACTTGTTTTATGTTGGCTGTAGTCCCCACCAAACCAAACTATGATCATATTTCAGACTGTCATGTTACTAAACACGCAAATGTCTTCATGATCCCAGAAGTGGTTTTGTGTTGGGAGCTGGAGGGGTCAGAGGTCATTGTGCCTTTGGGAGGATGTCAGAAATGAGTTTTAGTGCTTCCTCTTATTAAACTCAGTAAGTGGTGCAGCTACATGCCGTGTTGGGCAGGAATTGGTTTACACAAACAATGTGTGGGAGGATATGAGCAGAAGTGTTTTAAAGAGTACATCATTTGTGAATTATTCTTAATGTATTTTGGTTTATTATAGACAAGTTAAAACGAAAACAAGTGGACTTACTTTTTACTTTTTTTTCTTAATAAAGTTCAGTTATTTTTGTTTTAACTCTCAATTCAAGTATCAATTTATTTTGGTTTATCTTTCAGTTTTAGAACGAAAAATCTCAACAAGACAAACGCGGGAGGAACTCATCAAAAAAGGAGTACTCATCCCAGACCAAGGTTTGTGATTTGATTTATTGCAACTATAGAGAATGCAAATAAATGTTACATAAGACTTTCAGAGAGAGGATGAGGAGAGTGAAGTGAACGATGAGAGGATGAGAAGCCAAGGGGGTGCTGAGGAGGAAGTGGTGGGCAGCACAAACTGAAATGGCCATGCACCTATAATGGGGTTTAAATTGGACAGACTGACCGCTGATTGGATAGGAGGAGGTGCAGCAGTTAGCGGGGAGTGACTTTGAAGTGAGGCGATGAAGGAAGAGGTAAACGTAGTAACGTAGTAAACGTAAAAGTTGTGAGGTACATGGGAGTGAAGTTAGGTCTTCCAGGCTGAAATTATGTGGCTTCATTTGTATTCAAGTATTAATGTGCTGTATTTTGATATTGTAGATCACAGCACCAACTGTATGTGGCCTATTTCCAAAAGCCATGAGTTTAATGGAATAAAAAGTCTCTAAAGTCTAGTCTCAACTAATTGTTATATTTGTTTAACCTCTTCATATACAGGGGTATTTTAAGAATCTATGTTTTCCTACCCCCTTACATGTTATGAAAACCTAAACTCGACGCAAAAGGCAATGTATTTATAGTGTGGTTTGCATTATATAGTCAAGAGATAATAAATAACTTAATTACAGTATGTTTTTCCAATTCTTTAAGTCATAAGTTGTCTTCTTGTAGATGAGCCTGTGAGCAATGAGAACCTGAACGGCCACGCCACATCAAGTGTGACGTCGGAGGAAGTCAAGGTGGACATAGAATCACCTGATGCACAACGGCAGGAGCAAGCTGTCGCACCTGTCGACAACACTGAGGACAGAACAGGTCTGATATACCATTATCCCTTTAGCCTATTTTGTAATGTAGTAAAGTCAATAGAAAATCTGTGTAGGAATGCAAACATTTTAAACTCCGGACCTTTCTGTAATTGGGCATTTTAACCCCAAACTGAGATTTATGTATTTGAGTTTGATCTCATAACATGGAATATTTTTGTTCACACTTGTGGTTTTGGAACATGGAGGTCTGTTTTTCAAATAAGTGTTGCCGGATTTATTTGTAGCTGTTACAAAATGTGCCTGGATCTGAATGTGTGAAGCCCACTCATGTAGATCGTTGTATTCTTCTAACATCTACCCTTGAAAAGACATGTACTTAAATATATCTGGAGCTTAGACCCTTTTTGCCTCCTGATTCCTCTCTCCTCTTGAGCTGTTTCTTTGAAGTCTTTGTCTCTGGTGAAGGAACGCATTTGGCTCAGCAGCACAGTTAACTGGCTGACACTCAATCCTCTCTGGGATCTCTGCCTAATGTGTACAAATAGATATTCCCATTATATCGGCCTACTACAGCAGAGGCTCACAGTCCGAACAAAGCTGTGGCGGTCTCCTAATGCCCTGCTCTCCCCTAAGAGACCAGCTCCTGCCTAAGTGTTTTTCATCTCTACTGTGTTAGCATTGAACTCCCCCATTTGGAGATATATTCTTGTACAGGTCAATAATCACAAAGGCACAAACATGCAGGTTGTAATGTGTTTATTTTGTATTTGGCAGAATCATTGTTTTAGGCTTCAAGCTTCAGACAATGTTTATAAATATCTTAATGTATGTGTAAAATACTTTATGTGGTATAATTTATGTTCAAAATATTTAGATGATGAAACATCTCATGGAGATGTGATTGCTTTCTCTAAATGTTCCACAGTATGACATTAAATGTATCTGTCTTGCATTGAGCTTGATATAGTAAGTGTAATGCCATGCTGTGAAACATCCCAAGAAAAGCTATAACCTTTCCATGGAGACAGGTAGGTGGTGGATCCTCCACCAGAAAAGTTACATTGTGCACCTTTAAAATAATAGTTGGTTGTTTAGCATAGATATTTGTAGCAATTGATCTTGCAACTCTCATCTGACCTTCATCTTAATTTAACCTCCCACTACCTTTCCCTCCTGCTTCCTCTGGGCGCTCAGAGAGGAGTGACTCTAAACCCATCGCGCGCTCAAACCAGGTGCGCTCCCGAGATACTCCGACTAAAAAGCCTCAAACAGCCTCCCAGCCTGCCTCCTCCAAACCCTCAGGGGGCGCTGCAAGCACAGTCAGGCACAGAGAGGCCTCCACTGGGGCTAAAAAAACAGCTAAACCACTGGAAAAGCAGGCTCTTCCAATCAAACTAAAGCTAACACCCGTAACAATAACAACACTAACCGTGGGACTGGTAAGTTTAGCTGGTGCTAGCCTGGGCCCTGCATGCACGTGAATGAGGTGTCACTACCCAGCATCCTCTAGCCTTGTTAACACGTTTCCCCTTTAAGTTGGTAGCTCTGTTCCATTGGGTCAAAACTCTGAAAGTGGTATTAGGTTTGCAATCAAACATTTTAAAGGTCTTATATTATGCAAAATGACTCCTGTGAGCTTTAAGCCATGTTACGTCATCAAAAACATCCCTAGAGCTGGGTTTTGTTTCATTCATATCTTTCAGTTATTCTTTATTAGTCTTTCTACATCTCCAAAACTCAAAATGCTCTGTTCCACCTTGTGATGTCATGTAGTGGTACTTTTCAAGTTAACAGCTACCTTTTACTTTCTGTTCAATAGAGATGAACAGTTTCAGAGCTGAACTTATCCAAATGATTCTAGTGAAGGTGTATGGAGTTTAAAAACACAGTGGACTGTGATACACTTCCTGTATCACCACATGGACACTGGGTAGAACTGGGTAGTGTTTTCAGTTTGAGAGAAGAACTTAGCCTTAATGTGCAGGATTTGTGTGTTGAACATGTGTGAATGAAACAAAACACAATTACAAGTCTGTTTTTGATGAGAAAACAACATTCTAACCTAGATCAGAAAAAAGGGTAATATGGGCCCTTTAAAGTACATTGTCTAAAAATGAATGCATTATTTTTGCTTTTGATCAAACATTAAATAGATTAGCAGATCTTTTTACTGCATCATCATCTGTAGACATTGTTCCTTTTTGTTGCTCGACTCCATAATATTAAAAACTGGATTGTTTACATTAGGTCTGGGTGGTATGATTAAAAAAAATATGTATTTTGAAAATATTGATCGAGCACCAATATTAACATTTTCCTGAACAGAAAACATCCACAACAGCCAATGACATTTGCGACTCTTGATCTCTCTAAAATATATTTCACAGCCCTAGTTTATAGTTAAAATGGTTATCTTCTTAACAATATCTTCACTTGTATTAGGTGTATAATTATAAACTCACATGCACATAGAGGGTTAGGTCTCATGTAAACACGTAGATTCATTACACTAGTAGTGTGTGGGTGGGTTTTATTGCATGGCATGCATAAAACTGATTGTGAAGATTGTCATGTGGATGGTATTATAAGTGTGACGTTTGGCATGACTAATATACCCCTATGTATGTAGCACATACTATATTCTGAATCATATTTTTGTCCCCCTAATACAAAGTCTTGCGTGATCTCCTTGCTGCTTCTTCTTTAATGAATGCCTGGTGCCTTTTGTAAAATGGCACAAGTTGTTTTTATAATTTTCCATTTAACTTGAGGCTACTGTAACCAATACAAAGACCCTTGTGAAAAGCTTTTAAGAGTTACTTCAGTATTTTCATCACATTTGGTCATCTGTCTAACAGAGAAATACATTTATTATTACTATTATGTATCACATAAATATGTGGCAAATATAGCATATTACAGGTTTCTTTGGTATGTGCATATAGACATGCACACAGTAAAAAACAATATGGTTGAGAAATGCATTTTAAGTTGCTGATTTTAAGTAAACTGCATTATTCTGTAAGTGATGTAAAGGTCTACAAAAAATTGGTACTTAAGTAAAAGTGTGACATGTTGCATGAGTTACATGGTTAAAAATGAACTCGGTTACACATACTACTGCCAAAATTGAAGAGTATGCATGAAAAATACTATTAAAAGTACTAGTTACTTTTAAAGCAATTTTAGTATAGTATTGGCTTGTATTATGAGTGGTTTACACAAACTTGACCAAGTAAACAGTTGAAATTGAAATATGGATTTTCTGAGTTCTGGCCAAACAGAGCAGGTGAAGCAGTGCTTTGTGTTTGTACGTTTAAAAAAGTAGTAATGCAACGATGAGAGAGCTGTGGATTGGAACAAGTGGGGCTTGCACTGCATTTCTCTCATTTTAAATGTAATGAAGGATTGAATTGCATTTCTCAAAATAGTAATAAATAATAATTTGTAATTACAGCTGCAAAACAATTAAAGTAACATGAGTATTTCTATTCTTGAATACAGAAGTGAAAATTGTGTATGTGATGAAAATGGTGTGGGTCTGAAAGGGCATCCACATAAATCCCATGCCACATGCTGACAGTTAATTGTTATGGTGACTATACCATCAGTGTGGTGATGGTGGTTTACCATGTTTTAAAGATTTTTAGCTCTTTCAAAATAAGAATAGGAAGACTACACATTTTATATAATTCATCAAATTCACCTAAGTTAACTTCAACAGGAAATGGCCTTTATCCATCAATTCTCTGAATACATTTTTCAACTACAGCCACAAATTAACCTTTCTCATTTCTTTTTAGCCAAATCTTCCCAGCCAAAGAAGACAGGCACTACCACAAAAACAACCTCAAACTCCACATCCAGTCCTCGCTCTAAGGACTCTGGAACTACTGCACGCGCTTCCGGAACAGATGTAAAGGTGAACCGGAAATCTGACTCTTCATCTTCCTCTGGACCTCACAAAACACAGGGGCAGAAAGCAGACTCCAAATCCTCTGATCCAAAACCTGCTGTGTCCAAAAACTCAGAGGGGAAGGAAACTAAAGTTGTACCTAAATCTGTACAGACTGCTCCCAGTTCAGTGGAGGAGACACAGAACGCTGTGGAAGCAGAGGCCAATGCAGCCAGCCCCTATGTTAACCCCGCCACTGAGGACACTTCCTTCACAGAGAAGGACACAGAGAACAGTTCACAGGCGGAGAAGGAGTCGCAGGAGGGGGGGCAAACAGGAGAGGAGGAGAGGACAGGAGAGGGGGAGCCTGCTCCCCAAAATAGTCCCAGGTACCAGTACTCTTCAGATACTCATTAAATGTTTATGTAATGTCTATTATTACTTAACTGATTAACACTGTGTGACCCTTGAACTCACCCCTGAAGTGACAATTTGTATTTGCTGTATGTAGTTGTTAAAGATGCACTATGTAACCTGTTTGTGTACATGCACATGGGTAGATATAATTGGTGAATAGTGCCATAACATTCCAAGCAGTAACGTTTCCATGAAGATAAGCAGATAAGCAGGTGGTGAGCCTCCAGAAAAGTTGCATAGTGCGACACCTTTTTAAAGTAGTGCATCTAAAAACAAAAAAACAAACACACACACAAAAAAACAATAATATTAATTAATAGTGGTAGGTATAGAAGCTCAAATGTGTCAAGATTGGTATTTAAGTATTTAAGCTGATTCTAACCCATGTCAGATTTTTTAATTAGAATTTTGATATTTAAATGTAAATACAAATTTGCTTAAATATTGTTGGAATTGTGTCAGTTATTGTTTAAACATTGTCCTATTTTTGCCCTTAGTTCAGTGGGGGGTCAGTCTGAAAAGCAGCAGAGCCTCAGTGTGAACACGGAGCACCCGGAGGTGACGGTGATCCCAGACCGTCCCCGGAGTCAGACCAGTGACTCTGACTCAGACGGACCAATCCTTTATCGGGACGATGACGAGGAAGAGGATGATGAGTACACAAACAGTATGTTATTACATTTTTAACATTTACACATAAAATAAGCTTCAGGTTGATATATATTGTATTCACCTGTCCTTTGAAGGCTCTCTGGCCAACAAAATCCGGAGGCGAGACACTCTCAATATTAAACTTGGAAACCGACCGAGCAAGAAGGAGCTGGAGGAGAAGAACATTCTTCCACGGAGCTCTGAGACTGAGCGGCAGGAGCTGCGCCAACAGATTGGCTCCAAACTCGTCAGGTACACATACACGGTCATAAAAGCAGAGCTAGGTGAGACCGGGCTCTGCCAAACTGGCTGAACATTGTGTTTCTGCCACCGATAACAAGAATACACAAGAATAAACTGGCCATGTGACACATTTTTATTCATTACACTTTTTTTTCCCCCTTAAAACGTTTTCAGGCGTTTAAGCCAAAGACCCACCACAGAGGAGCTGGAACAGAGGAACATCCTCAAACGTGAGTTGTAGTTGTTTAGATGTACTTTGGTCACGTGGTCATCCCTTCACTGTTAAACACATACCAGTATATCCTCTTTGAAGCCTATTCATTATTCTGAGTTAAATACCACAAGTCAATGAATGTTTGATTTGTCTATTCACAGAAAAAAATGAAGCAGAGGAACAAGAAGCCAAACAAGAGATTAAAAGACGGCTCTCTAGAAAGGTACCGTAAATACAACGCACACTGAACAGGAACTGAGAGGAAGGCTATATTTAGACCTTGATATGTTTCCCTCCACCTCATGAGTCATAGTGCAGAAGACTGGCCTTTGTAATGAAACAACCCCATCTAGTGGATACAAGGGATTTTGACAAAAGTCAAATTAATGCATACTTAAAGGTACATTATGTAACTTCTAAGGCTCCTCTACTTGTCTCCATGCATGGAATGTTCCACTGTAGGGCCATACATGCATTACTTTCAATTACAGTATTTTATAGCTCAAAAATACCTTGAAAAGCATAAATTCTTGTCATGTGCACTCTTGCTCCTCCATAGATCTTGCCATTAACTTCATTGTCTTCATTGTGATTAACAAATTTATTTCCATACTGTGGAATAATAAAGGCAAAACAGTATAAAATAATATCTCCATTGAGACAAGCAGGTGGCAGGTCCTCCTCCAGAAAAGTTACACAGCGCACCTTTAGCAATGCTTTATTGGTTTGTTCATCTTTTAACAATAGAAAATTATTTGGGAAGAAGTTTTATTCTATAGTGTTTCAAAGAAAGACCAATACCATGACCATTTGTATTCATCAAGTAAATAAATTTGTGCTCTTTGTTTCTAGCTGAGCGTGAGGCCGACAGTCGCAGAATTAGTTGCGCGCAGGATTTTGCGTTTTAATGAATACGTGGAGGTCACAGATGCCAGCAACTACGACCGCCGAGCAGACAAGCCCTGGACCCGGCTCACTCCTGCTGACAAGGTAATGGGTGTTATGCATTGCAATAGGAATTTTAATATTCTAATCTGTGTTTGTGCATAATTATTTTTCTTTGTGCCTCTAGGCTGCTATTCGTAAGGAGCTAAATGAGTTTAAGAGTCGAGAGATGGAGGTTCATGAGGACAGTAAACAGTTCACCAGGTGCTGGCTCCTCTCACCACTGCGCCTCACGCACACACACGCACGCACACACACGCACACACACGCACACACACGCACACACACGCACGCACACGCACGCACACGCACTATTGTACACTCTGACCATAAATCCAGCTTCATCACTTATTTATCACCGTACAGTTTATTAGGCCCTGTTCGATCAATATTAATATTATATCGGTCCCTCTAAGCCATTTCCACCATTAGAGACATTACCTCTCATTCATTAACCCCAGGCATTGATTACCAATAAAGTTCAGATTTATTCACTCATAAATCAAAACATTCACAAAGTGGCAGCACTGCTCTAAAAAACAGAATGTGTGACAAGTTCAGTAGTAGTTGTCATTTAAGACCCATTACTGCTGAAACCAGAATATGTCAAGATTGTTTATCTTAATCTTTAAGATTGTTGGGCGGCAGCAGATCAGTTGGTAGAGCGTTTCTCTTGACATAAACAGCAGTCAGATCCACTTACCCACAGGTTGGCATTGTTATTTCATCTCCTACAGGTGAATGCTGTTGTTGTGTCCTTGGAAAAGACACTTAACCCACCTTGCCTTCAGAGTTGGCGTACACTGTTGTATGAATGAGTGTGTGAATGGATGAGTGGTTCCTTGATGTAAAGTGCTTTGAGTGCCTTGAAGGTGGAAAAGCGCTATATAAAAATGTGACCATTTACAATTTGTTTATGCAACAAGCAAATGTTTTTCTTTTAGGTGCTGTTGTCAAGCTCTTTTTTTGCCTTAAAATGTTCATATTGACTGCTCTACTAGATCCTGGTGTTTTTATTTCACAATTTTGTGCTAATATGAAACTTCACTTGATTGACTATGGGTGACATCACACTCTACACTGTGCCTTTCCCTAATTAATAACAAATTTAGGATATCTTATTTGCATTTCTGAAAACAATATTCTGAACCTTTTAAAACTAAAAATTTGTTTTTAAAAAAACTTTTAAACTTACCAGCTCTATATGTTTCAGATTCCATCGGCCCTGACCATCTCTGATGTTTGGTCATCATAACCCTCTGGTGGTCCACAGAGCAGAGTCCACTCTTCTGCTTCACACCTGTATCCTCACGTTTGTGTGGCAGCTCCGGACGTGTCTTGGACCTTTTTGTTTTTCTCAGACAAACATTTGCACATATCTCAAGCCTTGTGAAGCACTCCAAGTATTTATTTTAATGGCCAAGAGCTGCCTGTAATAATTTATGATTCTTTTTAATTTCCTTTTTTTTTAAATTTCAGTCCAGTATTTAAAGGATTTGGGAGTAAAATGACTAAGCTGTACATGGTGGGAGAGATGCTTTCTGCCCCCTCCCATGTTGAACTATCTCAAGCCAAAATGCCAGATATGGACAACCTGCCGAACAAGGAAAACTGGACATTTGAGTGGCTGAGCTCTGACGCCTCTGTGAAGGGAGTGTGTGCCTCTTAGAATGAATTCAAATACTGCTGTTTAACATATTGAAAGTGTGTTGCCACTAGAGGGCATTATATCATAAGGATTCTTCATCTTAGTGTTTTCTTCTTCATAGTCAGTGTTATATTGTAGGAGCACTGGTCACTTAGGCTTTTACCTACAAGTGCAATGGCAAAACCGGTCTTTTCTCTTTGCATACTGTAATATAAGGACACAGCGAAGATCTGCTTTTCTTTCTTTTATTTATTTCGTTTCAAGTGACATATGGACAACTTGGTGCCAAATAATGTTTGGACATCTGTTAATTAAGTTTTAGTGTCTCTATTTGGAACAGCATTTACTCTGCAAATATTTTTTATATCCTTTTTAAAAATTATTTACAGTTAAAATGATTAATATTCAATGAGTCTGGTTAATTTAAATTACAATGCCTGCTAATTAAGAAGTTATTGGTGGTTTTCAGATTGTACAATATGATAATGTTATACTCCCAGATGGGGGACAACAGCCAGATATTCCTGTTGATTACATTGTACTTTGCCATGAAATATCCAAAAGGTAAATTCACAAATGTTAAACCTGATATTTTCAATTAATGACTAAACCCAAGAACTCTCTGTATTACATAATTTTGCATTTTAACAATATTTTAGCTGCCCCCATCTGTATTCATAAATAACGGCCTATAAAATGTCATCTGAAACCCAGGAATTGCTCTGTCTGTAGGAAAATTTACCTTCTCCATCCAACTTGTCAGGAGCTGTGAGCTATGCGATAGGGACTCTATAATGTATTATAATATTTGTTTTAAAACTAAGAAGAAAAAACAGTAAACAAATGTACAGACTGCACATAGAAAGTCCTGGTCCACCAAACCTCTTCTGTTGGAGCTGGTAGCACAATTTTACTGCTGCATGTGCTAGTCTGACTTCTTAGCTGAGTCAAAGTTTAAATATTTCGAGCCTCTTTTGTTTTGCCCCTGTTCTTTTGGCTGTGTGCAGTGGGTGGAAAGACGAGGCAGTCGAACTCCCCATGGTTCAGACTCTTGACAGCTGGTGGGTTGTTTGAAATCTAAAATCTATTTTGAGTCCACACTCCTAAAATCCACAGGAGATGCTTTTAAAAATAAAATAGTAAAAAATTTAATAATGCACACTAAAAACATTAAGCATTTGAAGTGTAAGTGTAAGACCCATTTTAAAGCAGTTCTTTCTTATGAGATCAGTCAAAGATCAGTACATTTTGGCTGTATAATTCTTCATGGGTTTTTTTTCAAAATCACATAAATATTTCAAACAAGTAATTATTGAACGTTAAGTGCACATGAATTACATTTTTTTCTCCAGTGGAAATTGGGTTCGAGGCTACAGTGACCTACAGTTGGAACTTGCTGACGCACTTTGCTTTTGATAAAAGCTCTTCATAGTCCCACAATATGCTCCTCATTGTTGGTCACAGAAACAGAAAATGATGAATAATTCAATGAATGACTGCACCAGGATAATTATGGATGTACAGTCTTTCAAAGCAGTATTCAAACATTTGTGTGCTATTTTCAATTGATTATTTTGTACAGATGAGTAAATGTGTCAAGCGTGTGCATCAAGAAATCATTTTTACCACTGTTTCCATACAGTAGATGTGAAGGTAGTCCACCTTCAGGATTCATCAGCTACATGGATATCAAACAGTGAAGAATACACTGAGGACTTCCTGCTTTGCTTTTTCTCTATATATTATAACTACATCCAAATCAATTTCTAAGCCTGTCACGATAACAAATTTTTAAGTATGATTTATTATTGAAGGCGATAAATGATAACACTGAAACCAAACCATAAAGCAGAATTCTCCCCCCCAAAAGTATTTTAAATGTACAATATTGTTTAAAGTATGAGCAGCAATAAATAAGTAATTGATTTGTGTTTATAATGATTCATAAAAGTAATTTATTGCACCCTTTATAGCTCAAATATTACAGTACAGAAAAGTAATAGCACTTTTACCACTAGTACAAAGAGGAAGTCCCCGCAACAAATATTGACCCCATAAAATATAGTTCCATCTTTCATGTATTGAAAGATGAGCTGATATAGTACTTATCGAGACAGGCCTATCAATTTCCATTAAAAGTTTATTTGCAAATATATGCTACAGCTTATTTTGAAATCTTTAAATTCCAATTGTATTATTTAGAAGCCAAATGTTAATATTCAGACAGTTGAAGTTGAATTTGAGGCATTCCATCATCCCTTTCTGCAAATCAAAAGTTTGAAATTGACAGCTAGAGAACCAATCTGTCAAAATGTTTACATCCCAAACATGTCTTGGTGCTTGAGCCTTTTCTTCTTTACTTTCCAAATGATTTTGAGAGCCATAATCTGCTGCTGTTACGTTTTTACGATATGTTCAACAAATGCAGTTGCAATTTGATTTTTTTTTTTCTTCTGTAGGAATTTAAAATGTGTATATGACTTATAGGACTGGACCATTTCCACTGACAAGTTGCTTATTATTATACCCTATGTTTGACCTGAAATCCATATTGTAATTGTACTGTACAGTATATCTACTAAACTGTTACATCTAAATATCTGCAATGATTTTGTACATAAAAAGTCAAACATCGATGTGGTTTGTTTCTTCATAGCTATTTTTTTCCCCTCTTCTTATTTCAGCTAATCTTCCCAGGATAAATTTGGACCAATTTGGTTAGTAGTTAGTAATATAATTTTTTTGAATATAGATTTTGCCCTATTTTCTCACATAATTTTAAATATTCAACAAAAAGGCTTACATTAAGGTCCTATTGTACAAAAGTGATTCTTGTGAGCTTTTAGACCTGTTAGAATGTTGTTGCCTCATCAAAAGCAAATCTAGAGTTGTGTTTTGTTTTATTCAAACATGTCTGAGTAATCCTTTACAGGATTGTCTACATCTCTAAACCTCAAAATGGTCTGTCCTCCTTGTGATGTCATGATGTGGTTTTCAAGTTAATAGCTAACTTTTACATTTTGTTCAGTAGAGACTGACAATTCTAGGGTTGAAATCATCCAAATGATTCTAGTGAAGGTGTATGGGGTTTAAAAACACAGTGGAGCACTTCCTGTATTATTACATGACATCACAAGGTGGAACAGAGTGTTTTCTGTTTAAGAGAAGAACTCAGCCTGAATAGGTAGGGTCGGTGTTTTAATCCTTGTGCCTTGTTAAGGGAAATTTATGTATCTGAAGGTACATTTATCATGACAACTTTGGCTGTGGTTGTTTGATTGCCATGAAAATTCACACAGACGTGTTTTTACAGCATTTTAAACATACGAGGTTCATCCCGATCTGACCAATTTTGGCGACGTGAGAAGTTTTGTAGACACTTAGCATGTTTCGGAAATTTACGTATCCATTGACTTCTATTATAAACTCATTATTTGAATTTACAATGGAAGTCTATGGGAGAAATCAGCATGGGCAAAACCTTTTTGTTTAAAATGACAGTATACCAAAACAAAAAAAATGCAACAAACTCTATCTTCCCACTGATGGTTCATATGGATGAGCCAGTATATAGTACCATTTCTTTTAATTCATAGAGTTAGAATATATCCCAATATAGCATTAATTAATATATCTATGAATTTAAGGGCTCATGGAAAAAGTCAGAGTAAAAAAAAAAAAGTGTATTATTATTGAATTATTGCATATAACTCAAATTTGCTGTATGTGGTATTGGGCTCAAAGTGGCATCTAAAGGGTTAATTATTTATGGTAATGTACACAATCAATATGTCAGTGGAAAGAGAAAAATAATATAAAAAAAATATTAATCTTTGACAATTTAATAGCAGTTTAAAAACCAAAATACCCAATTTGTATGAAACACTCCCATTATGACTTTTTTTTTTCAAATTGACTTTTCAAATTGACTTTGGGCGGGTTTTGAAAAACTGGCCCAAAGTCCATATTCACACGGAACATCCACACTGACAGGTCAGTCAGGTCAGTGTGGTTCACTTCACAGTTAAGGGAATTAACTCTGCAAAATATATATATATATATATATATATAATATATATATATATATATATATATATATATATATATATATATATATATATATATATATATATTTATGAACAGGTATGGTAGAAATTTAAAGAAGGTACACATGAGCTTTGTATTTCCAGAGATGTGACCACAGTGAATGACCATTGAAGTATTCACTTCCAGCCTTACCATCGTCCCTGTACCATCATCCGTGTGTGGGCGTAATGGAGTTTCATGCTTGAGAGATGACAAGAAAAAAAAAAAGAAAAAAAATACAGACACAGGAAAGAACAGAACAACTGCAATCTCTTGTCCTTGATGAGTCATTATAGAATCGTCATCCTCAAACTGAAACAGGCCTTAAGTTTTCACCTTGCAAAATAAGATATTGTTTTATTGCAGAATACATTGCTTGGTGGCTGCTGGGAGCTGGCCTTGTAACACTCCTGCTTTAGTCAGTCATCTAAATATTCTCCTTTGTCTTTTCACTTTTATAATATACAGTTATATCTTACACAATTTTGAAACATCCACATATGCTGCAAATTATGACTCATTTCATTCTTCAGTTTGTACCATCAGACAAAACTATCTGGATATTATTTTGTGGGAAATTCACTATACTATGTATTAGTCTTGTAAATAGTGCTCCATAATTAGGGCTATAGTCCAGGAGCCGGCACTCTCCTTTGTGATTAGTGTAACTACGAACTACTATTGTAGTCATAACTGCCTTCGGGTAGACTGACTTATTAAAAATATCTGCATTTCTAACAAGTTGAATTATTATTGCTATTTTAGAGATGATAAATATTCAAACAATAAGCTAATTGAATTGTTGTTTGCAGTTAACCCATTCTAACCAAATATGTATTTTGTCATTCTAATATAATCTTTTACAACAATTACACGGGCTGGAGTCAACACTCCATCCATCTATTTTCTTCAGCTTATCAGGGGCTGGGTCGCAGGGGCAGCAGTCTGAGCAGGGCCTCCCAGACTTCCCTCTCCACACACACTTCCTCCAGTTCCCCTGGGGGGGATCCTGAGGTGTTCCCAGGCTAGCCGAGAGACATAGTCCCTCCAGCATGTCCTAGGTCTTCCCTGAGGCCTCCTCCTGGTGGGACGTGCCCAGAACACCTCTTCAGGGAGGCATCCAGGAGGCATCCGAAACAGATGCCCGAGCCACCTCAGCTCCGAGGTAATGAAAGTAATGAAATGCAGTACTACCTCTGCACAAATCTTCTAGATCAAAGTAAATGCTAACTAAACCATAACCATGACAGAAAGAAAGTAAGATCCATTTTATGTTATTTAGGCTATTACAAAAGCTATCTTTTGAAGACATACATACTCGAGGAGATCTCCTGCACAGTGTGAGCCGAGCCTCCTGCTGCTGGCTCACTGCCAGTGTCCTGGGCTGTAATAACCAGTGGTTAAAAAAGGGGACATTCATCTTCACCCCTGTGGTCAGTGAAAATGTCATCATTACTTCAAGATTTATGCTCTTTTAATTTTATACACTTATATTACACTGGCAAAGTGACTGTAAAAAAGTGTTTTTAAAATGTCCTGACCTGTGACACTATACTAAATTACAGCGAGAACCATGCTTTCATGCCTATGTTAAGTACAACACTTTTTGGACGTTTTTTATAAGTTAGATTTGTTATGTTTTTTGTTGTGAATTGGCAAACAAAACCATTTGTAAGGTTAGATATATAATATTCTCTTTTGTCAATGTTCTGGTCATTAGTCATTCATTTACAAATAAAATAAATAAAACAATCAAGCACTATTGTCCTTTTTTTTTGTTTTGTTATTCTAATTCAGGATTCAGGAGGTTCCAGGCAAACACATCCAATATTTAGAAACTGTTTGCAAAGTGAGCTTGCACTGGGACTTGCAGCAGTCTCACCTCCTCCCGATCCGCACAACAGGCATGAGGCAATGTGGACGCAACTCAGTCCTCTCATTCATAATCCCACTTTTGTATTTAGACCAATATTCTGCCATTTTCAGACTGATTCATTTCCTATAAACCAAATGCCATTCATCTTTTAATTTCAGTCCCTGCATTTATGCCTTCCAAATTATACTCTTTATCTCTTGTGTGCCAGATCCGATCATGACTAAACTCACAACATTGGATAACCTGGTAAAGTACAAGCAGCAGTATGCAAAACAGAATGCATAATAACCACTGTAGGAGTTTTAAAAAAGTGCCATATTTAACATATTACAGTTTTTGCTTTGTTTGACTCAGAAATTAGATGCTTATATGGCATTAAGTACTAAAACATGTGTGGTTGGACTTCTTAATTCCTCTATCTAAAAGTAGACACTAGTACAAGATTCTATATGAACAGCAGTAAAAAATAAACAGAAGCCATAAAACTGTGTACCTATCCATTTGGCTATGTAATTTAGTGTAGTAAAAGTAAAGGAGACAAATTTCCAAATATAACGGTATATAAATATAACCGCAATGATTCTGATCTATGTTGACACGCATTGACGTCTGACATGTGTCACCTTTTATCTTTGCAAGAGCTTTCTGCACCTGGAAGAACAGATTCTCTCAATGCACTACTAAGAAGAGCAATTGTGTGTGTGTTTTTTTTTTTTACCCAGATAATAATGAAAGCTGCCCACACTCACACTTCATTAGCATTTAAAAGCTAATAGTACGAGGTGGGTGCACTTTACAGCAGCCAATATTCAACAAGTAGAAATATGTTTTGCGTTATGTAGACCTCAGGGAGAAAAGCATGAAAAGCTTGACAGCATATTCTAATCACTAACCAAAGAACTCAACTGAATCTAATTATTTAATATTTTCGTGTTTAATAACAGTGCTACAAACTTGATATGACCCAAGTATTTCTCTATTCATTCCTTTATCCATCTCTTGTGAGGGTGGTAGATTTTTACTTTTTTTTTTCTTTCAAAGTCACTCGATGTATTTTTTGATTATTTTCTGTCCGTTTCCCTTTTTCCAGTGTTTTCAGATTTATTGTCACTATCCAATTTAACACATTTCTTATGTTTTATTAACACAAATACTACACAACAATCCACTCTTGTTTTGTTTAATTACATTTCCTATTTTTTTTCTCTCATTTAAGGGTGAATATATACAGTAAGTAGTTTGTGTCTCGACTCCACATTGACTGAGCTCACTTGGCAATGTTGTTCCCATGCTTGGCTCAGTGGTAACAGATGGCAAGGACTTACCCCACTAAGAAACCCTCCAAACACACATGCATGAGTGAGGACATCATTGGCAGCCATGGCCCTATCTCTGAAGCCAACAGTGAGTCATCATGCAGAACATCCTCCTCTGACTATGTGCGGGTGACTGTTTGGCACAGTATATCTTGTCATTAACAACTGCACGTATATGTACTGAAGGAGCATTCATGTTGTAATGCAGTAATTTTTGATAAAAATTCAAGGCCAGTGCTTACTACTGTCAGACTGTAAAATATGAAAATGCTGTGCATGATGCAGCAATTATGCCGGTATTTAAAGTAAGTTTCTTCTCATGATGTTAAAATGCATTCACTCACTCGCACTCATGTTCCACATTTAAATTAGATTGGAAAAGATAGCAGAGAAGGGGGTGAATATAAAGTTATTTAAACAAATTCTCAAATGCATTATATGATTAATTTTGTCCAAATATATCCACAAATTCAGTTCAAAGATTTCCACTACTTCCATAACTCATAACCACTAATTATTACTGCATTTAATTGCAAAAAATTGATCTGAAGCTCAGTGTGTGTGACTGAATTGAAGGGATGGGGCAAGATCTCGAGCCACAAGATCTTGTGAAACAAAGTCGCAAGAAGATTGTGCACAAGTGAAAAAACATATCCTGTAAGATTTCTTTTTTCCATGCTTTTACAAGTGGATTTGATTGCTGTCGAGTAAATATTTTTAAGAAGCTTTAGTTCAAAAATACAGTGCTTCAATGACAGAAACTTGTATAACATGTAACATGTATACATTAGAAATAAATATTAATATCTTGTCTTGTGGACCCAATCACACATGCGGTCTTGTGGAATTTATGTCTCGTCTCCTCCCTACTGAATTTCGTAATGTTCATAATTGCACGAAAGAAAACAGGGGTGTTAATAACATTTTAATGACATTGCTACTTTTAAGAGAAAAAGTTATACAAAAACATCATGAGATGAACAAGGTCTTATACCTGTACAGATATTGTGATTCAAAGTAGAAAAATAATAATTACACTGTTTTGAAATAGTTTAACCTTAGCCACAGAAATATTTAGAATTGCAAAATAGGTGTACAATCAGATTTGGCCAGTCTTTAAGATTGTGTTTGAGTTTAGGAGTGGTCCAATTACGTTCAAGAAATCCAACAAATCCTCTGTGAAAAAGACCTGAGCATGTTTAAACTAGGCATCGTCTGGTTTGTCTGCTGGTGGTCCACAAGGCTGTAGCATTTTCTCCATTAGATTGAAGCGAACCCGCGCCTTGGTCTCATTCTCTGCCACAGAGAAGTAGTTGAGCAAATCAAAATGTCCCATGTATGAGCAGTAAGAGTCTCTGTGCTGGTTCACTAGCCATTCCCACTTGCTGGTGTCTGCATGTCCGGTACCAATGTATTTGGACTGGAGGTGCTCCAGCTGACTGTGGATGTTATACCGGTCTGTCATTGTGGGCAGGAGTCCGCTGTTGGAAAAAATAAATGTTTTGATGTTATTTGATGTATATTATTAGTAAACCAATATCTTTTGACATTTATTTTATAACACAAAATAATGTAATTAAGAAAATCATTACCAACCATAGACTATACGTCTTTTATTACAGTCTATATTACCAACAGAAACACCAACGTTTTACAAAAATGTAACGTGCTGCTGAGGAAACAAAGCATGCTAAAAGCCACAAAAATGTCTACCCAAACCAGAACGTAGCTACTTTCTTAAGCTTTTTTAAGCTACGGTGGTAATGTTATTGAGCATACTGTATTTACAATAAATAAATAAATAAATAAGTAGCTACGGTATAAATAAAGCTAGCGTTAAATGTTAGCTCATTCAACATTAGCATGCTAGCTACAACAGCAGTGAATCTCACGAGTACTGAGAAAAAATATAGCTAAAAGCATTTTCTACACCTGTTATACAATCGTAACATTAAACACATAAAAAACATACGGAGTTAACATACACAACAGAAGAGATCAAAGCAGAAGTGAATTTATAAGAAGTAACCGCTTCTTCCACACGGCAAACGTCACACCTCCACTATGTTCCGCATGAAAATAGTTCCGGGCGAAACAAAGGTTGGGTCGTCGAAGGTACCGACTGAGTTTACAATAGATACAATTAATGGGCTAGTAGGCCCTTAGTGTTCATTCTGTTTTAAGAAATAAAACACTTATTTATTTGCATCGTCTCTGTTGTTGTTATCATAAAGATATTTTATTGTTGTGTTATGATACTGAAGTGCAACGGGCTATTTCTTTCTTTTTTGTAGATTCCCATTTTCAGCTCAGTTTCTATCTTGTCTGAATGGTCTTGTGCACAATGGATCGTAGCTTTCCACAGCCGTATTTGAACATTCCTCATTCAGATAGCAATTTGTTGTCTCACATTTGACTGCAGTTCCGTTTGACCATTGATCTCATTTTAAAAAGGAATGCATTTTCGATACAATAAACAATGAAACTGCAATTAAAATCATAAGAGATTTTATTTTGTACAAAACTAACGTTATATAATCTGCAGGTACTCTGCCAAAATGTAGATCTGAGGCACTCTGTAGTATGATGAACGAAAAGTTCTTTGTTACCAGAAGGACAGCCAAGACATTTCAACACATCTTCATCATGTACATGTCAAAAATCACCAGCTGGTGTTGTTTAAAAATTTACTGGTTGACTGATTGATAGTCATGTGACCTGAATGACAATACATGTTTGAACAGTACAATGTAAGTCAACAAGAATATATTAAATCACGTGGAGTGAAGACACCAACTGAGGAGGCATAACGAACAGTGGAAAAGACAGCGAGTATACTCAACATTATATTCTTCTTAGTGTTTAGAGCACACATTCATGAGAAGATGAACAAGGGATTACTCTACCCATTTATGTTTTGATTTATTTTTTTTACTTCATCATCTAATTGATATAAAGATCCCTCTGGTTCCCCTTGTTGTAGTAGGGTGGCACACTGGCAACCCTAGCAGTGGTGAAAACTAACAGTAAGGGCTTTATTACCCATGGGAGACAATAAAGGATTATCTTATCTTATCTTATTTTATCTTATTTTATTTTAGTCAGTGTTCCACATTTCTATGATTACAATGGATTTGTTCTAGAGGAGAGCAGAGCAGGATGACATAATAATTAGGAGTATGAACACTGTCCTTACTTAATGAACAAATAGGAAGGCATGAGTATTACCTTGTGTGAAAAAATGATTCATTTGCATTTGATGAAAAGCCTTTGCCAGTTCATTGATAGTGCAAGCCTATATGCTTAACATGAAAAATGAAAGAACCCTTGATTTTTGAGTGGTTTTCTAAATAGCATAAATGGTCATAATGAGTATTGCATTGCAGTCTGTTCTCCAGCTTATTATCTAATCGAATCCAGCTCTCGACATAAACATCACAGGTTGAGTGGTCAGATCCACTGACCCACAGGTTGGCTGGTGTGATTCCAGCTCCCACAGATGAATGCTGCCGTTGTGTCCTTGGGCAGACACTTAACCCACCTTCAGTGTTGCGTACACTGGTGTGTGAATGTGTGTGTATGGGTGAGTGGTTCCTTGTTGTTAGCGCTTTGAGTGCCTGAAGGTGGAAAAGCGCTTGACCAGCATTTAATCTTAGTAAAGCTCAGCAGACACTCCATAATAAGCAGTGCAATGAATGTGAACATGCAATAGGACAGTACAAGTCGGTATTGTTTGGCATTTGAAAAGTGTAATTGTTTTGTTTATTTGTATGCAGACACAAATATAGACAAAATCTATATTGTGAAGGAACACCAAAATGTCAAATTAAACTGTTTAATTATATTACCATTATTATCTCCATAATTTGCAGCTGAGCCCAGCACTGTTTATCCCTTAGGAGGTGAAATTAAATGTAATGGATAAAGCAGAAAGGAGCTCAAAGTTTGTATTCACGTAAACAGTGTAAATCTCAGAAGATACAAACAATAAATGCTTTCTCTAACTGAGTGTATACTTTAAAAATGCTCTTTTTTTTCATCTGGGATGACTGAGTAACTAGTTACTTTAGCAGATTTCTATTTCATAATCACATAGGCCTACTGAAAGGAGACACAGTCTGTCACTCATTTGATTGACTTTCTAATTGGCTAGAGAAGACTTAGTATTACAAAATGTTATGGACAATGCTTACTTTTGAAAATCCACACAGAAACCTACCACTGGTTTGGTGAGAAATCTTATTAATAGAGTCTCCATGTATCAGAGGTGAGTAGCAGAGACAATATAAAAAACAATTTAGTCAAATTTGTTGTTATGTTTGGATCCCGGACTTAGAATGGCCCTAGTAAAAACTCACCTGGGTGCCATAATCAAACATGGATCGCCAATATTTCAGCTCAGTAGAAGGTGAGGTGCAAAGCCAAGCACTTACAAAGAAAAGGTAATGAAATCAGGTGGATGGATGGGAATATTGCCTGAGTGGAGAGCCAGGGTGCCCTCACAGTCCCTTCTGAATGATGGCATTGTAAAACTGGAGTCAGCGATATAGTGATTTAAACCAAGTGCCCTGGGAAGAAGCCATCCCAGAGATTCAGCTCATGGGGAAGTGAATAGAGACAAAACAAAATGTGTCCTGCAGTGTTGTTCCAGTGCGCCTGGTTGGTCCTCTGACAAAGTGAGGTACTGTGATTGGCCGGAGAAGCAGGCGGTCGAGTGGCTGCTTTATTGGCCTGGAAATGGGCGCCGTGACAGATTGGCCCAGCAGAAGAAACAGTGGTATGTCCGGATTATTTACTCATATACATTACATCACTTAGACAGACCTGACTCTTGTATAATTCTGTATGGGCTGTGACTGAACATTCACTGTTGGTCATATGTAAACAGAAAAAATAGGTTCAAATATGACATATGGTGTATATTATGTTTTTTTGTTTGTTTTGTTTGTTGGTTTGCTTATTTGTTTTTATTCTCTGTTGTTTTGACCCACATAGACTAAAAACATAAAGAAAACAGTATATAGGTTCAAATTTAAATTATATTTTTCTCTAAGCTTCATACATAACCATGTTTTAAATGTATATAATAATGAGATTATATAATATTGGAACCATATCTGCTTGGCACTGCCACATGTTGTCAAATCTTGTAAGATAGAAGGCCGGGCTGGTTACTTGGATAGGAGACCATTGGGAATATACAGTGAGCCAACAGTGGTTCTAATGCAAATTATTGTTGTATTGTTAGGCAAGACACTTTTCCCAAACTGTTGTGTCGAAATCAGAGGGGCTGATGGCATAGATAGTCAGTCTCACTTCTGTCAGTCTGCCCCAGGGCAGCTGTGTGGAGTGAATAAATAATGCAGTGTAAAACACTTTGGGTGTCTGGAAAGGTGCTAGCTTATAAAATCAATGCATTATCACAACATGAGTATAAACAGAAGCATTTGTATTGGATAACCTGTAGTCAGTGACATGGGACATGACCCATTGCCCTCATACTAGAACCAGCAAAAATGACATGGAGTGGGGAATATAACATGATGAAGGTGGGTCACATGATTCCAGCATGTTAAACTGCTTTAAAAGCAATAATAAGTATAAAGTATAAAGTAACCTTTATGATGAGCTGGGTGCAAAAATTATAAAATTAATCTGACATTTAGATCAAAATATCTACAAAAACATTCTTGACATGATGATTTCAGATGTAAATGTTTTGGACTTTATGAAATATTTGCATCATACATTATGTAAAATGGGCTAAATTATTGTGTATATCCTTTCACGCCTATGGAAACCCTAGGCAACATGTGTGAACATATCAAATGTTTTTTTTTTTTTTTTGCACCATCATCCTTTTGATCTCCAGAATACCCCATGAAACCAGGGCCATGCCAGAACCTTTGATTAACATTTATCACCACTGATTTGTAATGCCTTTTGCTTACAGACATCTGATTTAAAATAGCAGCAATGTACACCATAGCTACATATTTTTTAGTACACTGATACATAAAAAGGATGGAGTAATAAGACCATACTGTATAAAGAAGTAGACTAAGGGAGTGTGACATGACCCATACTGTTCAGCTCCAGTCAAATGAAGCTCATGAGGCTAACAATTATAGGAGGGACTTTGGAGCCGAGTTCCATATTAGGAATTAGGAACGGCAAAATAAAAACACCAGGATGATGTAGTAGCTAATACAAACATTTTAAAACAAGGCTCAGTGCAGCAGTCAAATAAGAGGCTCACTGCAGCAATAACAGAGAGAGAGGTGACAATTTTTTAATCTAAAGTCAATTGGAGCCAGATTCGATGGAGCGAGAAGTGCCCACTCCCTATTTGGAACGCGACAAGTAGCAGGTTTGCTATATCCATTTATATACATAGTCTATGGATACAACATTTGAAGCAAAATTGTACACACAGCTTTGTGGAACCCCCAAAGCTGAATGCAGTGTTCATGAGTAAAACCTCTTTCATATTATTTCCCTTTTCTAGGAACCATGCCGAATAGTGTCTAGTGGTGAGATGATGAGGGCCAGGTTCTATTTCATTTAGGTGTGAAATAGCCTGAGGGAAGCACTGCAGTATGTGACAGGGTTGACGTGCTCATGGTTTCGCCGCTTCAGGGAAAGGAATTGTGTTTAGCTCAATTCACCCCTCCTCTTTCTATTGTTGTTATTTGAAAAAAAAAAATGCTTTATTTATATTTGTCTGTAGGTAACACTCATTATTTGGCCCATACCTGGATCAGACAGCTGCGTTCCTATAAAGTGTCACGCACTACTTGGAAAAACACTTGAGGAGGGCGTCATAACATCAGAGAGTGTTTGTTGATGATTAAATGTTCCCCAGACTGGTCGGAGGCGAACAGCTAGGGTAATTCAAGGATTCAGAGAAAGAATGCTGGCAACAACAACAAAAGTTTGAACAAGGGCAACAGAAGTCAGAAGAAAGGAAAAACTAAGTAGACCTGAAATAAAGCCTTGTAATCAGAATGTTCAAAATTCTGAAATGGAGGCACATTTTCAATTAACTTGTGTCAGATCAAAATGTTATGATTTTTTAAATAAGCAACAATGTTCAATTTCCAGGGT